TTAATAATTTAAGATGCTTTCAACTGAATCTTGATGACTCCAAATTTTAAATTAGCATATTAATGAATGATAGAGAATGCAAATAATATCATATGTTTTATAATTTAAAGGATATTCTTACAATTATTAAATTGGTATTAATTAAGGTTACTTTAAAGGTTGGATAGGTTTGAGTGATGTACAATACTCTACTGGATTATATGAATTACATTATTCACATTCATTAGTGCTAAATGCCATATTTGGTACATTTCTATGAAATTAATTGATATGTAAAGTATATGCACTAAAAGCTATATAATCATAGAAATCCTGATAATTCTATCTATATGATTATACATTTCCAGGTATTAGTTTATCTAAATGTAATAATTAATGAACATTCAATTCTTCTATTTCATTTAGAGTTACTCCATAATATTATAATGCTTCATCTATATTCTGAAATGCCTTTTATTAAATCAATTTCTAGAAATATGATATTGCCTTATCATTACTATTAATTATATCATAAACTGAAAATGATACAAGTGGATTTCTTTTATTAACATAGATTCTATTAAAATCTGAAAAACTATTTTGAGCTGAATTTGATAGTTTAAATTCATTAAATTCACTCATGTTTTCTCCATATAATAATATATTATTTCTGTTCTCATTCTTAATATCAAAATATGATTCAAAAGATCTATATTTTTATTGTATATAAGATAAACTATTGGCTTTATAGCAATCTCCTAAAAGGAAACAATTATATAAATAAATCTAATAAAATTCATCTCTAGAAAATTAACAAAGTTGACATTCAACAAAATTAATTTTCCAATTAAACATTTATTGAAATTTGTTGGATTTTAAATATCCTGGAGTAATGATATTTAATTCATAATCAATATTATCTTTTGTAAGTTAAATTTTATTTTTATATGCAAGTATTCTATCATTAACTTTTCTATATGAACTACCTTAATAATAAATTAAATATACTCAATTGATTTGGAATTCTACCTATGAGTTGATGATTAAATTAACTTTAAATTTACTTCATTTTAATTATAAAATTTATAATACTTAAAAAATAAATAATATAATATATACATATATAAGTATACTAAATTATTACTTACTAATTTATCATTTATAAATATTTTATACATAGAGTGATGATAGATATTTAATTAGTATTATTATTATATTTAAAACAAATTTAATTTCTAAATTTTACTTTAACAAATTAAATCAAATATAATGTTTAAAAATTATCCATAATGAAGTTGGCTTTAGGATTTCACTTTAGTAAACACATTATTAATAATTTTAAGGCTCTTTTAAGTTTAATACATTCATTGTTAAAAAGTATTTAGTAAATGATTGTTAAATAAGAAAAGGGACACCATATGATAGTTCTTTTCCATCAATTGCTAATTAATTTGGTTAATATATTACTTAAAAATTCCCAATTTACATTTAATGGGTTTTTTTTGATCAAATTTACAATTTTTTGATCTTCTGTATGGATATATTTCTCATAAAAAAGATTAAGAATTTAAAATTTGTTATCAAAATTATGAGTTTTTGTTAAATTCCATATTTCACATTTTTTATTGCTTCTTATTGCACCTAATGCTAGATTTTAGAAAGTTAGAGGATGTATATATATATTAAGGGAATATCCAGTTACATAATTCCTAATTTCATACTCATATTGAAATTAAATAAGAGGTCTATTTGGTGATAATTCTTATTCATATAGAGGTATAATTTAAAAATAACTTCCAGGAGTAGGCTTTTCTTAGAAAGTAATTTTATCATTATTAATTGTTAAATAAAGATTGGTTTCAGAATTTAGAAAGACACATGGTTGGTTTTGAACTAAGTTATCTTTAAGTCTCTAAAAAGTTTATGCTGAAATGATTAAAGTATTAGGTTATTGTATCAATAGAGGCTATTTGCATAATAATTGACATTAGTTTTAGGATTTAATTGTAGAAATTTAGAGAAACTCTCCAAACCTTAAGGAGTAATTTTAATTAAAGTTTACAACTTAATCCAAACTAAGTATTCCCCAAAAATACTCCTTATCATTTATTTCTTTTGTATATTTCAATGAACCTTTTTTATCAAAAGTAAAGTATAAATTGTTGAGTAATGATTTAATCAAATACTAATTATATTGTGAATACTAAATTGGGTTCATTTTTATGATTATTGAAATGTATTTCTATTATAAATTAAAAAATAAAAATAACAATCAAATATATTCTTTATTTAAATATATATTAAACTTTAAATTAATTACATCATTAATTAAAAAACTAAATACAACTAAGGTAGAAATTCAAAAATTGAAAGCTATTATTAAATTTGATAATTTCTATATATTTTATAGGATTTCAGATTGAAATTTAATAGTTTTAATTGATATATTGGTTCATATATTGATTAATCATGATTCATACTTTAATTTGTTTCTGGATTTCTTCTATTCTATATATTTTATATCATTATAATGTAAATTATGATAGAAAAATAGTAGTTTTTTTTTATGATTAGTGAATTTCCAATTTTTGAAAATAATAAGTTGAAATAAATATTAATTATTAAAATTTTATTTAATAGATATGATTATTCCTCTTGTATCAATAATTATTTGCACTAATCTAATATAGAATATATCTTAAAATTAATAATTCATGAAGATTTTTCTAAACTTCTTTAAACATAAATAGATAAAAAATTTTAGTTGCGTAACATTGAGTCTATTTGATTTTCAATACATAGATCTATAATTAGTAAGTTAAGTTATTAGATTTTTCTTAAATCATTAATAAATTAACTAAAATTTTTTGCTTTATTTCAAATTGTAATTCACAATAGTAACTATATTTTCTAAAAGGAAAGAAAATAAAGGAATATGAAAAATGGATTTATATTTAAATATATATAATATTATTATCATTATTTGAGTTTTGGTCTATGTGAAATACTACCTCTTTAAGTAATTTATGAAGATAAAGTAAAAAGTGATAACTATGATAACTAGGATTTAAGATGTGTGGAAGTGCTTGAAATTCTTTTCTACAATTATTGAGGTGGTCTTTATGATAATTCTCTATTAGTAGGACTGCTATGTTATAATTGTAATATTTTTTAAATCTAATTATAATTAATATGATTAACATAGTTCCTATCCATTAAAGATCTTTCGGATAACAGAGTTCTTAAAGTTGGATTATTATCTTGATTCCTTAATGATGGAGCTTTCTTTAATAGAGTCTAGAAACTCTTTCTTAACAAAGCTAAAGTTGCAGCTGTTGGAGTAGTACCAGCTAAAGATTTAGGTTATTTTGGTGTCTTCATGTTTAATTGATTGTCAATATCTTATAAATTAAGTTATAGCTGCTTCTTAGGTGAATTTTGAGTACTATGATGGCCAGTACTAAATAATTAATTACTTATTCTTGGTGAACTAGCAGATTTTAATGATTATTTGACAGAATTACACTTTTTTAATTGATTAGGATTAACATTTGATTGTCTATCATTTAATACTAATTTTTATTTCTTCTCCATTATCATATCACTTGAAGCTCTATTTTTAATATTTTATTATTTTGATTCTATCAAGAATTAATCTTAATAAATAGGATTAATATAATGGAAGAACTCAAACAAGTCATCTTAAGGTTTCAAATCACCCGTTTCGTTTTTTTAATTAAATTCTGTAACATCAACTTTTAAGAATTCTCCATGAATATGAGTTTCATAAATATCTATTTCAATAGGCATTTTTAATTGTTTATTTTTTATAGTTTCCCAATTGACATCACTTAACCATTAAGACTTTTTTAAAACTTTAAAATCTTTGATACGTTTATTAACATTCTTTTCCAATAAATCTATTAATAATTAAGTAACTTCTTCTGTAAGGTCATCTGGTAATTCTAATTCTTCATTAATTATTTTTTAAAAGATCTCTTCAGTGTTTTAAGAATAATGTGGTGGCAATCCTAAAAGTAACTCATGTAATAAACAGCCTAAAGTATAAAAGTCTGCAGGGTATGAATATCCTTAACGACTAAAATAGTCAGTAATGTTACCTAACAATTTCTGGAGGCATATACTCTGGAGAACCACAAAAACTATGTGTTACATCTTCATTCATTAAATCCAATTTAGATAGACCAAAATCTGTTAATTAAATATGACCTCTAATATCAATCAAGATATTCTCAGGCTATTTTAATCTATTTAAATAATACCTTTAAATCTCTATAAAGTACTTTATGTTTATGTAATTCTTCTAATGTACAAATTACTTCACAAAAGTATTTCTTAGCTTCTTCCTCTGTAAATCTATAATTTTATAGATGAAAGAACATCTCTCCTCCTGGACTGTATTCCATTAAGAAACATAAGTGTTCTCTAGTTGCAAATGTTGCATATAATGGTACAATAAATGGACTTTAATTTAATACATTCGATAATATTTTCTTTTCTCTTAATACCTATTCTAAACGTCTACAATCTGTAATATAATGCTTTTTTATCATTTTCAGTGCATACAGTCTTGCATTTCCTTTATGTCTTATCAAATATACTTCAGATGTTCCTCCTTTCCCTATACATTTTTCAAATACAAAATCTTTCAAACTTAACTATCCTGTTTATTATTTATAAATTCCTATCAACCACTCATTCTACTTCAATTTATTTAATGGAAATAAACCTAATCATTATTATTTTATACTTCTATCTTCAGGTCTTGATAGAATATAATCTAAAGTTAAAGCTCCTGATACAGTTTTGAGTCCAATCAGTTAATTTGGATTCGGAGTCAAAGGATGTTCTTTAATCTATTTCTTTAAATAATTATTACTCTTTTGTAAAGATCACTCAAAGTAGCATCATTTGGCATTTCTATGAGAATTAACTTATCTTATAATTTTACATTAATCGCCCTTGTCATTTTTATCAATTTAATTTTATTATATATTTAATCAATTTGATAGCATTTTCCTATGTTGAGGAAAGTGATGTTATTTCCAAATTTATTATTTCTCTTTAGCATGTTTCTCATTCAATCTTTCACTGAATCTATTTTCCAACAAATCCTTATTCTTGAAAATTTCCTTTACATCATTCTCCATTCCTTCATGTTCCATTATTTTCATAGCTTCTATATGTCTAATTTAATTCTCTTTGAAATTTTAATAATTCATTTTTACTTATTCCTTAATTTTCTATCCCTCCTATTATTACTTTTCGTATCTTTTTTTCAATTATAATAACTTACCCTCAGCATTCACTATTGAAATTAATTTCTATTTTCTATCATAGTCTTCAATTATAGTACTAAATTATGACTATTCAGTTGTTATATGTTAAAAATGATTCAATTTAACTCTGGCTTCTAATTTCTTCAATTCATTCAGTAATTATCTCTTTCTTTTACTCATTAAATCTATTATTATTTATATTCAAATACTCTTATCATCTAAAATTTTATCAATTTATTTATCTAAACATATATTTAAATAATCTTTCTAATTCTTAATTTATAGATCATCTCTTAAATGATTTTCTAAACTCTATCTATTTTTTGGACCAAACAAAGAAAGATTGGCAACCCTAGACAAATTTAGAAGTGCTTAATCAGAAAGACTTTCTTAATATAGTGGATTTTAAGTTTTATCTATCTCTGTAAGAAGAGCAGAACTACAAAAATTATTCTTTATTTCTGGCAATGATGTTTTTAGAATAGTTTTATTAGATTTAATAGTCTTAGTCAAATCTCTTTTCATTTCTGTTCTCATAGTATCTCCTAATTCTGTAATCAATAGTCTATTCATTATATATATATAATATATATATATATAATTTATCAATCAGTATTTATTTCTTTGTTACAAAAAAATTTTTATTATACTCTTAGTTTTATTTAAGAGTTATTTTTATTTATTAATTCTTTTCTTTATATTGTAAAACCAGAAAAATTGATATTTTATCTATTCGAGCTTCTTTCTTAATTTTATTCTAAACAACTAATCAATCTTTATCTCATTCTTATATCAATTTGATTTTATCTTTAATATCTTCTCTATTCTTATTCTATTCTTCCTTCAAAATTCATAATTGATCGAACTTAAAGAATTGTTTTAATTTTATCATTATCTTTAATGGACAAATTATAATTCGACTTACTCCTATCATTTTATTTAATTAACATAAGTTATTTCAACAACTAACTTCTTCGTTTTGTAAATTAATCTCAATCTTTTAGAAATATTATATATACCTTTATTAACAATAATTTTATGTTCAAATCTGTCTAAATTCTTATTTAAGTAATAGCTCTTTTTTTGTAGATTGAGATCTTACTATTATAAATTCTTCATTTATTCAGTTTAACCTTTAATGGACTATTTTGTCATATTATTTAACTTAGTTTAATCAATTGATATGAGTTCTTATTGAAATATGAACGGATTAATTGTATTTGATCTTTTCAATTAAACAGTAGATTCACTAGCATCAGATTTTAAGCGAAGATATCGTTTATTTTAGGTAAAATTATACTAACTTGAATTAAAATCATTTTTGAGATCTTTTCTAATAAAATCTCCAACTTCTGTATTCATTCTTCTTTTCATTATTATTATTAAAAATAATAAAATAATTTGTTGGATTCCTTATTTTGATTAATAAAGCTTAATTAATTTTTAATCCAAATTGATTTCTTATAGGTTAATTAAATAATTTCAAGTAAGTTGGAAATGATCAATTTAATGTTTTAAGTATTTATTAAAATATTTTAATTGACTTCATTAATAATATTATATATATATATATATATATTTTATTTATCATAACTCAATGTCTACCAGGCATTTACTCTTTCTTTGGTTCTAATTTAATCATATCATCTATTCTCAATATTGTTATGGCAGCTTCTGTTGCAAATCTAAAACAAATATATTATTGTATTACTTTAATGCTTTCACTTTACTTACAGTTGGTTCAAGAACTCCATGTCTTAGATTGTGTCTGACTTCTCCTTTTATTAAATCTAAACCACTGTACTTAAATCCCTTTTCATCTACTTAGAGTGATTAAGATTTGCTATGTAAAACTCTTAATTTGCTGATTAAATCTATTGAATCTTTAGCAGCATTTGTAGCTAAAATCTTTGGAATACAAGTTAATGCTTCAGCAAATTCAGCAACAGCAATTTATTCAGTTGTGTCTAAAGTTCTAGCATAATCATCTAAATAAATGCTTAAAGCCATTTCAACAGCTCCACCTCCAGCAACAACTGAACCAGATTCTAAGGTTCTTTTAACAACACATAATGAATCATGTACTGATCTTTCAATCTCATCAGTCATCATTTCATTAGCACCTCTAAGTATAATACTTGCTGATTATTCCTTTTTCATTCCTTTAAAAAATATATAATCATTATCTCCTATAGCTTCTTCATAAACTTCCTATATATTATTATACTATTATATACTTCAGCTTCTCCTAAACTTGAAACATCAAATGACTCTCCTGTTTCTTCATTAGCAAAGGTAGTTATAACCTTTGCACCTGTAGCTTTAGCAATTCTCCTTAGATGATCTTTTGGGACTCTTCTTAATCCAATAGCTCCTGCTTCTACTAAATATTTATTAGCTAAATCATCCATTCCTTTTGAAGTTAAGATTACATTGGCTCCTGCTGATAATAATAAATGAATTCTTTCTTTCAAAACATCCATTTCCTTCTTTCTAATTTTTTCTAAATTATTAGGATCATCAACCAAGATTTAAACTCCCATCTACATTTTGAATTTATTTAAATTGATATCTAAACAAGCAATTTTAGCATTCTTAACTTTTGTTACCATTTGTTATGAAGCTCTTTGTAATTAAAGAACATATCCTTTGATTAATTCAGATTAATTAGATGATTATCCATGACTTTTAACAATATTTATAGATTGAATTGGATATTTATGTTTTCCAGATATTGCACCTTAAGTTTTGATTAGTCTAACTGCATCAACTGCTAATTTAGCAAAGATATGACTCTCTGGACCAATAACTTTACTATTCATAGAAGTTTTGGCTGCATTAATTAATATCTCAGTGTCATCTTCAGTAATTTTATGCACTAAATGAGATTGAATATATTTGACTGCTTATCTGGCAGCTAATTTGTAACCGGATATTATAGTGGTAGGATGTACTTTAATTTTAATCAATTCATTAGCTCGTTTAAGCAATTCAGCAGCTAATACAACAACTGATGTAGTGCCATCACCTACTTCCTTATCTTACAATTGACTTAATTCAACAATGACTTTAGCAGCAGGATGCTCAATTTCTAATTATTTAAGTATAGTTGCTCCATCATTTGTGATTACAACATCTCCAATTTCATCTACTAACATTTTATCCAATCCTTATGGTCCAAGACTAGTTTTGACAACATTGGCAATTGCCATGACAGCAGTTACATTACTTGTACGAACATCTTAACCTTGATCTCTCTCACCACGAATACCCACAGCAGACATTTTAATTAATTGTATAATTATTTAAATAAATTCAGAAAATTTAATCCATTTTTTAAATTATTTCTTTTATAGTGAATTTTTCTTCTTGCATTTCATTATTCACTCTTACTATTTCCCCCTTCTTATTAATTAAAAATATTCTTTCATATTACACATTAGCCATTTTATATGCTTGAATATCATTTAATCTATCTCCCATTCCTCCTTAAATTGTTCCTGTAATTCCTATAGTAAAGACTAAATCATTGAGCATTTATGATTTAAGAATATCAGTCTATTTCTTAATAACCTCTATAGTAAATGCCTCTAATAATTCTTAGGGAGATAAAAAAACAGGACCTGGAGGCAATTAAATTCCGTCTTATTATTATCGAAGTAAATATTCTTTTGTACTTTCATATTATACCATTGATCTTGCAGACATATATAAAATTAGATAATTCCTTTAATGAAGCATATTATAAAAAGCACATATATGATCTTATGTATAATCTCTACCAAATGTAGAAAGAATCATACCTTTTGTTGGAGATTTTGTAATTGTTCCATCTATATCACTTATAAAAATCTTTTGATTTTGTTTTATCACAAATATTTCACATTCAATATGTTATTAACCTAATCTCTTACATTCCACTTCATACACAATTGAATTTTATCCTTGTTTTAATTTTAAACTTTCAATAGTTTTAGAAGTAGGCACTCTTGACAAACATAAAAATTTATTATTATAATTAGGCAATTTATCTTCTTATAACTACTACTACTATTATTATTGAATATTTTATTTTGTTTGTTCATAATATTTTTATTTAAGTTCATCTATATCCTCCTTTTTATTATATGCAAAATGGCCAATTTATTCATCATCCAAATAAAATTAAATGTCATTTCTCTCCTCACCATTTATATAAATTACTAATTTTACTAAATTCATTTATTTGATAACAGATTTTTCTCTTATGTTCAAAGCTATATAAAATCTCAATTTATATTTACTCTCAATAACTAATTCCTTTTCTGGATTTAAAAATTTGAGTTTACCAAATTTAACATTAAAAGGTGTTGATGTATACTTTCCATCCCCTTAATCAACAACAATTACATCTGTTACTCCTGAAAATACAGCCTTATACTCGATCAAATTTTAATACTTTTGTTTTTTATCTCATTTTAGCAAGACCTTTCAAAAAAGATGACATTTTTTCAGAAAAAAGCAAATCTTTTTAATTAATTTATATTAATCATTTTGTAAATCTATTAAATCTTCCTTATTTCTCTAATATCCTAATAAAATCTAAATGCTAAATGGGACTTAAGCTTTATGTAAATTAATTTACTGATTCTTCCACTTCTTATTAGAGAGATCTCAAATTTTTAATATCTTAATTGAATTTTAACAATAGCCTATCATAAATATTGATAAATATACTATTAAGATAATTTTCGATGATTTAACATCTTATCAACTGTAGGCAATATCTTATACACTTAGTTATCATCTTCCAACTTTGCCTCATCCTTTACTATTTCTACATAGTGATTAAATTCTTGATCATCTACAAATAGTTCACTGTCTATTACAATTATTTATATGATTATTCCAACTCATAAGTAACAGACCATAATTCCCCTTCAAAAAGTTTTTCTATATATTTTTTACTGCATATTTGAAGTAATCTCTTCTCTTGATTCCACATATGCCATATCTCATCTACATTTATTAGTATACTTACTATATAGGAATCTAATATCAATTAGGCTTAATCAGGAGATGAGCATTCCATAACCTAATCAATTGCCGCCGAATTTCCAATTATCATACTATTTAAGATAGGATGTGATTATAAGATCTAAGTCAAATATTCAAAGGATTGACGAGTTGTTTTCTTGTATTCTGAAATTTATTAATCTAAATCTGAAACCTTACTTACATAATAATATATACCTTTTTCTCTAATAATTTTAGATATACTTTTTTACGAAGTCTTGACATTTTAGCACTTTATCTACCTTTTTGTTTCATCTGAGTTTAGTCATTATTAGAATTCAACAGTCCATTCAATTTATCTTATTTTTAAAGGTCTGAACAACTTTCAATTTCAAGATCGTCATGAAAATCATCATCTAATAATTTATCACCTTCTACACTTAATAATGATGTTATTTTCTTTATATATGCATTTTTGACATTTCCTTTAATTTCTAAAAGATGTTATGCATTTTCCTTTGTATTTGTAGCAGATGGAATAACTTAAATGGTTTTATTTGTTTTTTTAATCTTTTTACTTTCATGGTTCACTTATGTTTGTACTATAGGATTGAGTAACATTAAACTTTAAAGATTTAAAATGGATTATTGTTCATGTAATTATTGTAATAACCTAACATTTTAAGCAAGAAGCTAATCTTATGTGATAGCTTATGAAAGAATATTTGGAATAGATTATTGTGGTACATATGAATGAATAAATTAGTCAATGTCTTCTAATGATTGATCATTATTCATTTTATAATATTAATTAATTAATCATCTTCTCTTTGCATATTGTTTGTTTCGCATAAATTCATCTAAATCATTCTTTTCATAATGATTATACTAATCTTTTGGATAATAGACATTCTCTTTGTTTTTAATGTTAAATGCTAATGATCTTTCTTAAACTTTACTCTTTTTATTATTGTTGTTACATTACAAAAATACTTCAATAAATTATTCATTTAATGGTTCCTTTAAATCATTCTTAATATTTTTCTTAATAAATACTCTACATATTTTAATCTCTATTGGATAATTCTGGTAATATCTATTATAACTTATTGAATGGAAGTTAAGTAGTATTTTATAATAACAATATTAATTAAGAATTTTAACTATATAATAAAGTCTCCAAATTTGATATATTATAATTCATTTTTAAGGCTATTAATACAATGTAAGTGATTATTGAATAAATTTATTCATCTAATTTATACAATAATAAAGAATTTATAGTCTATTCTAAAGATAAGGGTTAAATTCTATGCTCATCCATTAATTGATGTAACCTATTTAATAATGGCATTGCCTAAACTAATTTCTTATAAATTATGTAATCTTATAATTATTAATAATAATTGACTGAATTAAGGAATTTGATGACAAAACTGATCAAATATATAAATTCCTATATGATACTACTATTGATTGAGATAGCATTCCAAAATCAATTAAAATAAAGACTTATCACGATTAATTAAAAAATTTATCATAAATTATACTATTTCATTGATTCTCTTCATATTATTTCTTCTACAATGTCCTTTTTATAAAGTACTAAAAGTAATGATATCTGGTTTGATTGTAGATTCAACTAATTCTTAAAATAATTAATCTGATTAATTGAGTAATTCATTCTTTACCATTCCATTCAATAATGAATTATAAGTAATGAGATTTGGATAAGTTTTTGATGCTTATTTCATATGATTAAAATATTTGATTACTTCATCAATTTAATTTAATTTACAAAATTCTTTGATAATTATTGTATAAAGAACAGTGTTGATTGGAAGATTTTATGATTTCATTTAATTAATAAATTATAATGTTTGATCCAATCTATCATCCCTCACACATGCATCAACTAAACATCCATAAGTTAAATCATTTATTGGTATCTTTTATTATTTAATTTCTTCAAATATTTTAAATACTCCATTCAAATCATTCTTTTTTCCATATGCTTTAATTAAGATTTCATAAATAACAGATGATGGATCAATTTGTTTATTTTTATTTCTCTTTATAATTCCATGCCTTTCTAAATCTCATTAAATTTAACACAAGCATCTATTAATTAATTATAAAGAATTTCATCTGGTTTGAATTAATCAGTCAATTAAATCAAATCTAATAGACTTTTAGCTCTTAATAATTCATTTCTATTAAATATTAATAAATATTCTGCCATCTCAACTTGAGATTTTCCGAAAGCATAATCAATCAATTTATTATAGAATATTTCAGATGGATGTGAATTGATTAAACCTTCACATAATACTTCATTGAAAATTTGATACTGTTCATTTACTTAAAAATATTATTAAATTAATAGTATTTAAATTCATTTAACTGTTAGTTTTAAATAATTATATGCTCATAAAATGTTTCATATCAAATTCTAATTTCCAAATATATTCTTGGGATCTATCTATTATTTAATCTTTTTTAATATTTCTACTCCAGTATCTCCAATTTATCTTTACATAAATTATTTCCTGAGCTTACCAACACCTAAAATAAATGAATTTAAATTATTTACCATGATGATGAGAAATGGATCCTCCATTTTTCATTATTTCCTCTCTTGCAGCATCCTCAATTTCAGAATAACATTTAACTGGATCTGCAATACCTTTATAACCAAAACCAAAATAAACATAAATAGTAGCTCCTGTATCATAAACTTAAGAAATTCTAAATGAAACAAATGGTTCCTTCTCAACTCCTCTTTTTGAACATTCTTCTACTATTCTTCTTTAAATCTATTAATCAAATCATTTTTTTACATTTTCACAAACAGCAGGAACATTTTTCCATCCTACTGCTGTCTCAAAAGATTCTGCAATAAATTAAAATTACATAGCAAAATCTCTTAAATATGCAATCATATATGTTAAGAAATATCCTCTTTCTCCATTTTCAGCTCCTGCTCTAAATCCCTTATAAAATTTAGCCAACTCAAAAACTTTCTTCTCTTAAAATTCAACTTCTTATTTAGTTCCTTCAAAAACTACTGTAACTAAACACATTTAATCTGGATCATATTGCATAAATTATGTGATGAAATACTTTTTCACCTTATCCATAAATTCTTCTCTTTTACTATGAGGCATTGTTTTCAAAGCCATACCAAATTAAAATTAATTATTATCAACTAATCTAACTGAAGCTGGCCAAACTTTACTTCTTGATAATTTATACATAAACTCAGTACCCAAAGCAAAGTTATGGAAAAGAATTGATTCATATTTACAAACCTTTATATAATATTATCAAATTACTTCAGGTTGAGCTTTAATTTTAATAACTGCTTCAGTAATAATACCTATAGTACCCTCAGATCCCAAAACAATTTAATTCAAATCTGGACCACTACTTACTCTTGGATAATCTAAACTTTAAGATAAAGTTCCAGTTGGAGTAACAACTTTAACAGATAAAATGATATCTTCTATATTTCCATAACGATTCTTTTTCATCCCTGATGCTCTTGTACTAATCCAACCTCCAAGAGTTGAAAATTCTACTGAATCAGGTTCATGTCCACATACTACTCCATATCTTGATAATTCCTTCTCTAAATCCTTTCCTGTAACTCCAGTTTCAACCAAAGCTGTCATATTCTTTCTGTCTACCCATCTTACATGATTCATTCTTGATGTATCAACAGAAACAATCATTCTTCTTTCTTCTTTTGGACATTATAATGCCCATGTAACATTAGTTCCTCCTCCATATACTGTCAACATTACATTGNCCTTTATAACCAAAACCAAAATAAACATAAATAGTAGCTCCTGTATCATAAACTTAAGAAATTCTAAATGAAACAAATGGTTCCTTTTCAACTCCTCTTTTTGAACACTCTTCTACTATTCTTCTTTAAATCTATTAATCAAATCATTTTTTTACATTTTCACAAACAGCAGGAACATTTTTCCATCCTACTGCTGTCTCAAAAGATTCTGCAATAAATTAAAATTACATAGCAAAATCTCTTAAATATGCAATCATATATGTTAAGAAATATCCTCTTTCTCCATTTTCAGCTCCTGCTCTAAATCCCTTATAAAATTTAGCCAACTCAAAAACTTTCTTCTCTTAAAATTCAACTTCTTATTTAGTTCCTTCAAAAACTACTGTAACTAAACACATTTAATCTGGATCATATTGCATAAATTATGTGATGAAATACTTTTTCACCTTATCCATAAATTCTTCTCTTTTACTATGAGGCATTGTTTTCAAAGCCATACCAAATTAAAATTAATTATTATCAACTAATCTAACTGAAGCTGGCCAAACTTTACTTCTTGATAATTTATACATAAACTCAGTACCCAAAGCAAAGTTATGGAAAAGAATTGATTCATATTTACAAACCTTTATATAATATTATCAAATTACTTCAGGTTGAGCTTTAATTTTAATAACTGCTTCAGTAATAATACCTATAGTACCCTCAGATCCCAAAACAATTTAATTCAAATCTGGACCACTACTTACTCTTGGATAATCTAAACTTTAAGATAAAGTTCCAGTTGGAGTAACAACTTTAACAGATAAAATGATATCTTCTATATTTCCATAACGATTCTTTTTCATCCCTGATGCTCTTGTACTAATCCAACCTCCAAGAGTTGAAAATTCTACTGAATCAGGTTCATGTCCACATACTACTCCATATCTTGATAATTCCTTCTCTAAATCCTTTCCTGTAACTCCAGTTTCAACCAAAGCTGTCATATTCTTTCTGTCTACCCATCTTACATGATTCATTCTTGATGTATCAACAGAAACAATCATTCTTCTTTCTTCTTTTGGACATTATAATGCCCATGTAACATTAGTTCCTCCTCCATATACTGTCAACATTACATTGTATTCTACAGCTAATTTGACTAATAATTCTGCTTAAGCATGAGAATTTATAAACACTACACAATCTACTATTCTAGCTAATTTACCATGTCTTAATTCATAAATCTACATATAATATATTATATACCTCTTACATTGTATGTCCATGAGAATGCAATATTCTTTATGCATTATCAAAGGAAATCTCATTAAATTATCCTTAAATGGCATTCATAAATTATTCATTAATGATAGGTGTATCTGCAGGAATTTCATTTTATGCTTCACAATTAAGACTTAAATCAATTCCAACTTTAGCTTCTGCCCATTCTTTAAATTTCATCATCCTCTAATTTGAAAATCTATATTTATTTCCAGTCAATCTAACAGCTCCATCTTATTCTAAAACAAATTTTGTATCCTTATATCCCCATCCATTATTTTTGAACCATTCCAATTTATTTTATGGTCTCTAAACATTTATAATGATCAATTTTTACTTATTCGTAATACTATCCTTTAAGTCCAGCTGGTTCCACAATTTGACTCTGTAATTACTAAATACGAATCATAAATTAAAATAAAACTTATTCAAATTATTTTTTTTATTTTCAAAGTAAATTCAATGATCTCATAAAATTTAACATTGGCAAAGTTAAATCATTTTCAAATTAAAATCTAGTATGTGTCATTTCAGGTGGTGTTCTTAATAAACATGCACTTTTGCATAATTCTAAATATTAAATATATATAATAATATACCATAAAGTTTCTTTCCTTATTCAACTGAAACTATATTATCCTTTAAACCATGTAAAATAAAAACAGGAGATTTTACTAATTGAATTTTATCTTTATTAACAAATCTCTCCTTAATCATTTTCTTAACTAAAGGATATTTCTCATTCACAATCTCTTACAATGATAAAAAAGGTGAAATCAATACTAAAAGTCCAGGTTAAAATATAGATGCCAAATGACATGCAACACCTGTTCCTATTGATCTACCCATTACTATCATATTTTTCTCTTCAACTACAGAATGAAATGCAACATATTTATAAATATATTCAGCATCTTTCAATATATTATCTTCGTTTGGCTATCCCTAATAAACTCCATATCCTGGATATTCAACTGATAAAACATTCATTTTCATATTATGTCTTAAAAAGTCAACTAAATTATATGAAGACAATAAGTCCTCACAATTAGCATGAAAATATAAAATAGTTTTTTTAGTAGGAATCGAAGCTTTTAAATATAAACATGGAATTTATTTAGAACATCTATAATTTTTATTATTACTAAATGAGTTCAATGTATTAGAATTACTACTTATACGAGGAGTATTTGAAACTTTCAAATTGTTTCTAATTTCTGACATTGTAAACATATTTTATTGTCTACTTACAGAAATTGTTTTATTCATTTGAGGAATTCGTTAACTAGGAAGTTCATCAACTTAATCATCATAAATTGAAAGCTAACTAATATCCTAAATTCTTATTATTGAAATACATTTGGAATTTCCTCAGGTGGTTTAAAAGGATCAATTTTATGAAATTAAATACGAGTTTTAGGAGATGCTTAATAAAACTTAAATAAATCATCATAATAGGGAATCTTGACAAGTTCCTAAAAATAACTATGATATTAACTCTTAAATGTTCTTCACGATAGGAATGTTTTGGAGCTGGAAATATCATAAAATTTAATTCCATTGAATTATAATTAATAAAATAAATTTAAATTAGTTTCTTCTAATTTCATTATCTATTTTTCACATGTTTTTTGAACAAATTGAGAATTTAATTATAAAATTGATTTCTACATTATTAGTGATTTAATAATAAAATAGGATGCAATATTTTTATGATTATTTAAAGAAGAAACATAATAGTTTATTAAACAGTTTTGTAATTTAATATTAAAAAATATGAATGTAATTATGGCAATACATTATTAATAAATTTGTAAATTTTACATATTTAACATATAATTTTAAAATTATTATAATAAATGCTTAAAGGAAATAAATGAAATATTTTATTAAAAGCAAACCAAAATATATGATTCCAAATTTTGATTATTTTCTTTTTTAAAGTTAAATAATTTGGTTTGAAAAGAAATTTGATATTATTAATAGTAGATTTTTAATGTTTTAATTTCAAAATTAATATCTTATTGATTGTTATGAGCTTAAGCAATTTTATTATAATTTCCTATTTTAAATTAATTATCATTAGTTATTTAGTTCACAATAATAATTAAAGTAGTTCAGATTTTATTAAATTAGTAGTTACATAAACTTAAGAATGATTCATTTTAAAGGATTTTAAATTATTTTTTACATTTAAGATTAATGAACTATGAAAGATGGCTGGATATATATCAAAATTACATAGTATATTAATGATAATTGCTCAATATATCATAAAATTTAGTTAATTATAAATTCATTATATTTATTTTAATCTAATATTAGGTAAATAGGTTGATTAATTTTATTTTGCAACAGTATGCTTAGAAAGTAATGGAAGTACTATTTTTTATTATTGCTAATCAATTGATTTTTATTAAGTTTAGTTTAATTTCTTTGTAACATATTAATTTAAAACTGAATTCAATCCAGTTATTAAGTATAGTTTTTATTGAGATTTAGATAATTTCTTATGCATATATTATTCATCTTATGAAAATTTACGCACCAATGACTTTCTTGGTTTAAGATGATAAAATTCCTCATCTGAATCTTAAGGAGAGTTTACTGCTGTACCATTTTAAATAAAGACAGAATCAAAGTTCGTTGCAGATTTAAATTTTGGACTTACATGAAATTGCTTTGATGCAAAGTCTAATACATTAAGAAAAGTCATCCTTGGATTATCTATTCTTGTTTTAAAGGCTTTTTTCATTCTCTATCTTTATCTATACCTAATATTTTAAACTATCTTATATCTGATTATGAAAAGCAAACAATAAACTAGTTTCTTAAAGGTTTTGATATATTTAGAATTTCTGTAACGATCCTATAATTATTACTATCTTTATAGCTCTTATTTCGAGTATTATGTCTATGTAAAGGTATAATTTTTAAATATTCTTTATTTAAAATTTGATTCTTTTCCACATTCAGAACAACAACAGCTAGAATCACCTAATTTTGTAGAACTAATATCAAGTTTATTTTATTTAATAATTCTTTAACTTTTTTATGGAGTTCGAAATAATTGATATGTTGTAATATTTTTTATAGCCCATTTCTTTCTTCTTTCTTGTGCTTATTCATAGTAAAATTGTACTTTTGTTTGCCTACTCTTTTTTAATTTTATGTTCATAATAAGTAAAAATTTAATAAATTTTATTTTTAAAACATTCATGAAATTTGAAGATTATTTAGCGTTTAGACATAATAAATATATTGGAATTGTTATTTTAATGTAAATTTATTAAATTCAAATTCTATATAAACATATCTAAATTTATTAGATTATCTTTTAGTTATTTTTAATGAAATTAACATGTATTTTATAAAATTATTCAATGTTAAATAATCAAATAATATCAAAATAAAATTACATATTAGTGAGTTTTCATTAATATTAAATAAAATTAAGAAAAAAATTAATTATTCAAAAATTTACATTAATTATCATATTTCTTATTTAGCATTATTTATATATGCTCTAATATATTTGCTATTAAGTATTTAATTGTATTAAAAGACAAGATATTAATTTATAGATTTTAAATGATTAGTTTTGTATGAATAATTCAAAAAATCCTAATAATTACTTTTATTTTTAATCCTATTTTATTTATTATTGAACTTATAATAATTAATTTGATATTGATAAAAATGATATTTAAAAAAACAAGAAATGTTTAAATTACTTTAAGATTTAATTATCATTAAAATATTATGAATATATTATCATTAAATTCTATGATATCAAATTTAAATATATTATAAATAATACTAAATTTTTAATTTAATACAATTGATCTCATTTATCATAGTGTTTATGATTATTTCCAATAGTTTATTCTGGTTAAATTACTCTTTATAATTTAGGAAATCCATTTCTTGGATTTGGACCATTATCTTTATTTGGAAATTAATCTAAGGAGATATCTAATATTAAATTTAATAAATTACCATTTGGATCTTCTCCTCTATTAATTCTATCTTATTATTTATAATTCAATAACTATCTTTTATATGCTTATAATATTTTTTATCCCTTATCTTTTAACTCTTTTTAATCACCAGTTATTGCATCTAATTAATTTATATTGATTTATACTTAATATTTATTTTCTTCTAAACAAACTGACATTTAACTTAAATGGTATATGTTTATCCATTCCTTTTTCTAATTGACCATTACTCATTTCTAAAATAATTATGTATTAGTTTACTTTTAAAAAAATCATAAATAGGATTTTTTTCCCCTTAATCAACATTTCCACCTTTCTAAACTCCTCTCATTATAGTTAGAAATTCTTTAAATTCAATTTCATTGGTTCCATCTTCATCAACTTCACTCATAATTTTTTCAACTTCCTCTCTAGAATTAACTAAACCTAAAGCAATTAATGGGTCCTCTAATTCCTCTATTCCAATAGCACCTGATCCATCTCCATCTAAGGATGAAAAATATTTCCTCAATTCTGTAATCTCAGAGTCCTTAAAATCAATCCGATCTTAATAACCTCTTTTAATTAACCAAGCTCTCTCTTAAAATCCAGATTAAAACTAAAATTATAATTAAAACAGTACAATATATTTAGATGCTTTATTGAAATTAAAGGCTTCTTATATTTTAGTAAGTTTCTCTTGTTTCTTAACTGACTTAGCATTATCTTAAGGTTTGCGACTAGAAAGAGACTTAGATTATTATTATTTTTTCATGAAAAATGATTATATTAATAAATATTATTTTGTATAAAAAATAATTTATAATCATATTCTAGTTATTATTAGAAATTTCAAATAATGAATATAATTAAAAAAAAACAATATTATTTCTAATGATGAAAAATAAATTAGGAATTAAAAACTTCAATTATTATGCTGCAAATGAATTAGAATCAGATGCTTATTCTAAATTTTATTAAATGGATGAATTTTTATTAGAAAAAATATATATTACTGATGAAAGAGAATAAGTATTTTTAATAAATGCTTTTGAAAACATAATAAAGTTAAATCTTCCTAATATTGTATAATATTATGAAATTGATTATAATGAAAAAGAAAAATGTATTGAAGTTTTAAGGAGATTTTATAAAACTAAATTGTTAGATCATTAAATTAGAAACAAATTTTTAGTTGTTACAATAACTCAACAATTATTTTAAACATTAGCTTCTCTTGAAGGATTTGGAGTACATTTATTAGGATTAAAAGCAACAAACATTTTTTTTGAAAATGATAATATTTACATCAGTGGATTTGTTAGATCTGAAAAATTTCTACTTTCATAACCAATATTCTAATCTAAACATTTAAAGAGTTTTATATAAGAATGCATTACAACTAAGAAATATAATATTACCTAAAGATATCAAAGAAAATCTCATGCTATGATTTATGCTGCATTAACTGTATTATTACAATTCATTTTAAATGAAGATTTTGAATAAATAGCCAATATTATTAGATGGTTAGATAATGGGGAAGATAATCTAAAAGCTGTTCCAAGTACATAAAAATTACTTGCAATTATTGAAGAAAAATATGATTGCATGAGAATTTTCATTGAATAAGCAAAATGTCTTTTGACTAATGAATTTCTAAATCCAACAGAAGATTTAGCCATTTAAATGATGCTTTTAGCCTCTGAACTTAGATTTGAGAATAATATTATAGTGTTAGGAGAATACTATAACTTAAATTAAAAGACAGAAATTAAATAACAATAATAATTACAAAAAGATACTAAAATTTAACAACCCAAAGAGCTTAATGTATAAATTGAATAAAATAAATAAAAAGTAAAATCTGCTTAAGCTAAAAGATGTGGTGGAGGATTTGTAGTTAAATAAAAAAAATGACATTTATATTTATTTGAATTATAAACTAATAATTTGAAGCAATATCAATTATTTTTAGATTTTACTTTTTATAGACTTGAAAATTATGAAAGCTATTTAATTAAATCAAAGCTTTTATTTTGTAGTAATGAATATGGGGATTTGTTAAATTAATATCTTAGTTCAAAACTTCTACATGAATTTTATTAATTAAAATTTTATTAAGATCTTTGTTTTTCCTTTACATTTTAATTTATAAACTTAGAAAGTTATGTTCCAACCTAACGATTTGAATAAGATAATTTATTTTCTGGGGATTATCCCCTAGAATAACTTTATTTTAAACCTACGTCTGTTAAAAGTCTATTTTAACTTAAGGAATGTTATAAATTTGATTTATTTGCTGTCTAAAAGGATTTATGATTAGATTTCTGCAATATGGAATATTATTATTTGATAAATTCTTAATTAAGTTAAGTTTTTCTTGAATTTTTGTTTTGATTAGAGAGATATATTTTTTTCAAAAGATCTTTGAAATTGTCTTTCTATTAAGGTTATTCTTGAGGTGAAAATTATTTTGCAATAGGAGATTCTGAGCTAAACTTTTAATTATTTTCCTCCATTCTTGGAAATGCATATTTATGATTAACTTAACTTTTCTTGAATCTCTTTTCAATTTAGGCAACTGAGTTATTTTTTGAAGCTTCAAGTAAAGCTTCATCGTCAGGAGATTTCTAATAATTTTCAATCATTGATAGTAATATTCTACTCTTTGAAGATTGTTTCACATTAATTTGCATTAAATTTATAATTTATTTTTGTTATTACTTAAGCATTTATGATTTTACTATTATTACAATAATTAAGATGTTATAATCTTATTTTTTATTCAATTTCTTAAATTTATCTCTAGAAAGCTTACAAAAATGCAAAAATGATCAGAAATTCATTTTCAATTAAATTGCATTTGTTATCTACTTAAATTAATGAAATATTGATTATAATAAATTCTATATTAATCAATTATGAATTTTTCTTTATTTTTATATATCCTAAAGGTTATGAAATCAATCAACATAATTGTTTTGAATCGTATATTTTTTACTTAAAAAACTAAAAATAAAGTATCTTAATACAAATTATTAAATCAATATATTGACTTTTTAAATTTGTTAAAGTCTAACTAGTGTTTTTACTGTTATTTAGAAACTAACAATTTAATTTTCTATAAAGAATCCTTAAAATTTAACGGCGTAATAGTTATTGTCGATTTTAATGATTTTGTAAGTTAAGGTGTTTTTGTTTAACATTTTGGTGTGACAATTGAACCTTAATATGGTTTTAAAGAAGGAGTCTTTATTTTGTAATTAATGGGCTTATTTTCTTTTGACTTTTTATTATTCTCTTTTTGTTCAGTTATTAATCTTTAAATGCTTCTTAAATTTACTGTAGTCTTTAATTATTATTAATGTCTGCTATAAAATTAAAGACTTAGAACTTATTGAAGATCATTGTCATTTCCTTTCTCTTGTCTTCTTTAATCAATCTCTTTAACTACTAAGACACTTTCATAATCTAAACCATAATCTAGTTATTCATCTTCTAATGTATAAAGACGACTCATAATTCGTTATAATTAATACAAATTTGGCACTATATTAAATTATTATAATTCTTAAATAATAATCAATACTAAATTTAAGAATCTGCATTTTATTCTAAATCCTGCCTTTCTTATTAATCAGAATTCTTCCTACTATTCCTTAACTCTTATAAGTTAGTTCTATAAATATTATTTATTTAACATACTTTGGAACTTATTCAAGCTCAAATTTTTTCTAATTATTTTCCACTTCTCTAGAATATTGAGTGAAATCTAATTGATTCTCATTATCATCTTATTCATCCAATACTCTTTCATTCCTTTAAAAACTCTAAACATCTTATTAAAATGGTCTAAAATTATCTTAATACTATCTTTATCTATTATCATTTTGTATTTAATTATCTTGACTATTTATCAATTAATCTGTTTTTTAGTCTAAAAGAGATCTTTAATTTTAGTTATATTATCTATCAACCCTATTATATAAATATATCAATTTACCCTTACTATTAACTTTAAAATCTTTCCTTTATAAAAAGATTTGAATCTTGCCTTTATGCAAAAGGTTAATTAAATTACTATTATTCTAAGGCTGCTTAAGGAATATTATTATTGGAATTTGGTTTAAAGTTGTCATTAATTCTATTAGTAGGAGGAAATTGATCAACTTACAAATCTCCCTATCAAATTTAAAAATTATATACCTATAATTATTATGGTATAATCTTTGGGTTTATTTCTTAAATTTTAATATAACCTTCATTTAATCTTTCATCTTTTAATCTTAAATTTTGAGATCTTCCCTAATAATCTAAATTAGGTTGAATAGCTTAAACATTTTCTCTTAATTAAATTTGTTCCTCATTAGGTTTTAAGTTGTTAAAATTCTGTTATGTATTTGGCCCTAATTATTGAGATGAATCTTTCCTAATATATTAGCTATCATCTTATGGTCTATTTAAATCTACAAATTATCTAGTATTATTTTCTCTGTAATTATTATTGTAATCATTATTAATTCTTCGATTTTATGGATAATTTTATTAGTTTTAATCTTAATTTCTGTCTCTGTAATTATCAGTTGGATTTGTTTTCATTTATTATTAATTTTATTCATAAGATTAAATTCCTTATCTATTACGATTGTCATTATCTTAATTATCATAAAATCTATAATTTGGATTTTTATTTCTTTAATTTTCAAATTAATCGTCAACTCTGGTATCATGATAGCCTCTTCCTTAATCAGAAGATAATTAATTTTAATAGCCTCTTTAATCTTAATTATAACTTCTTTAATTTCCATCTTTATCATTAACAAAAGGATTATTTTAATAATTTCTATGATTACTATATTAATTTCTTGAAGCATTATTTGGTTATCCTCTTTTCTCATTATCATAAGTATTTTACTAAAATTATTAACTTCTGTTATTGTTCAATTAATCTCTCTAATTTGAATTCCATTAATCTTTATTTTAAGGAGGATAACTTTATTATTATTATTGAGGATAACCTTATTATTATTAAGGTGGATAACCTTATTATTAATAAGGAGCTTATCTATTTTAAAAATCATTTTTTTCTCCTCTATAATCATCTCTTCTATTGTCTTATTATATTCCAAAATTTTAGTATTAATTATTTGGCCATATCTAATCATTTCTTTAAGAGCCTGCCCCTTGATTTCCAAATCTAGGCTATTGATTTGATCTGACATTATCTCTACCAGAATTTAAATAATCTTCTCTTCTTTATCCTTGAAAACGGTTCTGATCATCAAATCTATTTTCGTTTTAAAATGGAAATTATTATCTCCTTTACTAATTATTTTATTGATATCTGTCTTTATAAAATTATTCTTCATAAGTTTTTTATTTATTATTATGATATTATCCTTTATTAGGTCTTAATTAATCTTATCTTCCATAATTATTTGATCTATTTTTATTTTAACTAAAAATAATGTTACAAAATATTACACATTTTCATATTGTTAAGGTTGCATATAGAATTTAGCTTATTCTTCTTTAGTTAAATTTGGAACAATAAATTTAGAGTTATTCTAATGTGTCATAATTTAACCACCATATTTAGTAATACCATTAAAATTATTATTTCTTTCCAATTCTATATTATATTTTATTGATAATTACTTATTCCATTTGCTAAATCTTGCATAAGTTATTCATTTAATTTTAACTTATGTATTTGATTAAATTTCAATAATTCTCTTGCCATTTAAGGTTAATCTTTTCCAATAGAAAAAAAACTAATAGCTCTTCCTTTCCTACCAGCTCTTCCAGTTCTACCAATTCTATGAATATAATCATCAAAATATTTTGGAAAATCATAATTGACTACAACAGTAATATCAGATACATCCAATCCTCTTGAAGCTAAGTCAGTGGCACATAGTAATTTTGTATCACCTTACTTATATAATGCCATAATAGAATCTCTTTATTACTATGTTTTATTTCCATGAAGTGCTACTGCATAATATCCCTCATTAGTCATATCAACTGATAATTATTCACAACTAATTCTAGTTTCTGCAAATATCAGAACTTTATCATTAATTTTTAATTAATCCAAAATATCTAGTAAGGTTTATAATTTTTGATTATTATATAAACAAATAACTTCTTAATCTATATTTTTATTTATTGTAAGATTAGATCTACCCACTTATACATATATTGGATCCTCTGCACAAAAATCAAGTGATAAATTCCTAACTGCTTTAGGCCAAGTTGCCGAAAAGAATACAGTCTATCTATCTTATCTAGTCTATTCAACTATATATCTAACATCGTCTTCAAAACCCATATCCAATAATCGATCAGCTTCATCTATCACTAGATATGTCACTTTCGATAATACTAATATCCCTTCTTATAAAAAATCTTTCAATCTACCAGGACATGCAACCAAGATATCTGGATTTCTTCTTATTTATGCTGCTTATTAATCTCTATTTTATCCACCATATGCCATTGCAACAGTTAAATTATTGGGCTTCATAAATAGTTCTACTTATTATTTTATTTGCATAACTAATTCCCTAGTTGGTGCTAGAATTAGTATTTCAGGGCCATTTACCCTATCTCTATATTTAGAATCATATTTTTGACATTTAATTTAAATAAGGCCAGGTAATAAATACCCGAAGGTTTTACCTGATCCTGTTTCAGCAACACCAATAACATCATATCCACTTAAAATCAATGGGAAAACTATGATATAAATATTAAATATTACCAACAGATTAAATAGGAGTTGGATTTCGAAATTTAAGTCCATCTACAACATTTTATATTTGGGGAGGAAATTATGTACTTTCCCAAGTTAGAAATGGATAGGGGCAAGGTTGTCCATCTAATGATTTTATAGCAATTTCCTTTTCCTTCAAGAATTCTCTAATTTTATCTGATATTGGTTGACTTCCTAATTTTTTTGGCTGGATATAGAGAATATATTTACATCTAAAAATGTTTTTTAGAAAAAAGGTAAGCCATTATTTTTGAAGCCAACTACTTTACCACTCTTAGTTTTCCATCTTCTCTTCACAATATCATCCATATCCAAATTATCAGGATCGAATTCATCATAAACAGGATTTTCATTTTAGTTATGCCTTGACATTAATATTAATGATTTAAAAACAATGGTAATAATTTGCTATTATATTGTTATTATATTAATTTATGTAAAATATAAAATCACAATAATTTTCTGATATCTGAAATATAACATTTTGAATTAATTTTATGATGCTTATTCAATTATTTCTGATCTATTCTTGGTAGATAAAAATCTTATTATAAAATTGATTATAATTTTTATTTTTATTATTATGGAGAAGATAATTATTTCCTTAATCTTGGTGAACATTATCCTGTATTATTACTTTAATATCCTTAATGACTAGGATGATGTTAATGATGAAGAGGTAGTAATTAATAAATGTTACTATTATTTGGTATGTTCTCTTTAAGTTAGCTATTATTTTAAGAAATGCTTCTTTATAAAGATGGAATATTAAGATTATTAGATAATTTATTTTTTATTTTAATCTTCTTAAATGAAGGACTATCAGAATCATTTGAAATATTATTTGATTTAGTCCTTTAAACCCTAGAACTAGGACGTTTATTAAGAGTCAAACTAGCATCACTATTATCAGTTTAATATCTTGGTCTAGGTAATGTTATATCTTTATAATTTCTTGGTAAATATATAGTTCCTAATAATTTTGAACCATTTGTTAATAATTAACCAGAATCAGTATATTATTATCTCTTTTTGATTTCTTCAAAATTAAGTAGATCTTCACAAGATGCTCTTGTTTTTGGAGATATTTATAGACATCTAGAAATTAAATAACTAAGTTCTTTGCTATATCTTTAATTTAATGGTTCATAAATTCCTCTTTGAATTTTCTTTTGTAAATGATATAAATCATTTGCTAAAAATGGTGGTTATAATTATGCCATTTCATAGATTACACAACCAAGAGACCATATATCACATTTTTAATCATATGGTTCATCTTTCCAAACCTCTGGACTTGCATAATATGGAGTACCTGCTTTTGTATTAGCAAGTTAATTTGATTTCACTATTTTTGCCACATTTAAATCCCCTAATTTTATATGTTTATGGTCTTATGTTAAAAATACATTTGCACATTTAATATCTCTATGATAAATACCATTATTATGTAATTCATTTAATCCTATTAACATTTCTATTAAATAATTCCATATCAATTATTCATCAAAATGAAATCCTAAACCCTTTTTTTTAGTATATTCTATTTTTTATTACAAATCACCTCCACCAGCAAATTCCAAAATTAAGAATAATGTTTCACCTTTAATAAATGCCTCTCTATATCCAATTATATGAAGATTAGATAAACTTGCTAATATTCTTACTTCATTCAACGCATTTTATTTTTCTTTTATTGATAATCCAGTCATCTAAACTTTTTTCATAGCATATTCTTATCCATCAGATTTTCTTCTTACCTTATAAACTGATGAATAAGATCCTTATCCTAATTTTCTTAAAATTTCAAAATCAGCAACCGACACTTCATTCATTTGTAGTTAGAAATTTAATATTGAATTCAAAATTTTATTAACATCTTTTTAATTGTAAAATATAATTTTGCATTTTCAAAGTACTTCTTTTAAATATTACATTAATCTTAAAATATTCAATTAATAATAAGATTATTAGTATATAGAAAATAGTATAACAATTTTTATATTAAATTCTTATTTTTAGATTATTAAAATATTAAATAGCATAATGATATTATAATTAATATAGTATAGAATAAAATAATAATATAGATTTAATTTTAAATGAAAATATTTATATTTATTCATAAAAATTAGAAATTGAGGTTTTCTTTTTATAAATTTATATTAAATATATAATATTTAAAAATTATTGTATGAGTAATCCTGAACTATCAGAAGAGAATAGACCACCAAAGTTATTGTTAGTTTTGAGCAAATGCTCTGATTTTAGTGAGATTGATCTAGAGAACAAATAATCTCCAAAAATACTAAAATTAAGAAAATTGTAAAATGTATTTAATACTAACTAAGAAATTCAGCTATTGATAACAATGATTAATTACATCTTGTGATTAATAAATAAATAGATATAGATGAAAATAAATAAGAAAGCCCAATTAATGAAAGTTCAAAATGGTAACCATGTAGTTGTACTAAAACTAATTGTCTTAAAATGTATTGTTCATGTTTTCATAATGGTTAAATTTGTGCAGAATAATGCAAATGTGAAGATTGTAAGAATACTAATAAACATTTTTAAAAAAGAGATGAAGCTGTAGAATATATAAAGAAAAAAGCTCATCGAAATAAAAAAGTGCCATAAGAAAAATTATTTGAAACAAAAGATATTTGGGGATGTAATTGTAAAAAAACAAGATGTCTAAAAAGATATTGTGAATGCTATATCAGATAGAAAACTTGCACTGTGGAATGTAATTGTAATCATTGTGAAAATGGAAAAGATGAAGATTTATACAATGAAATAAGAAGACAGAATGAATAGCCTTAATAATCAAGACGATAAAGATCTAGACGTTAGAATAATAGTTGAAACTTTGCTTTTAGGTTATAACTTACGATATTATTATTTCTCAATATAATCAATTTTTAATAATTAATTAAATATATATATTTTTCAAATGTTATCAAAATTCTAATTGAGGCCCTCTACTCTAAAATCTTCTGGCTTTACAATTTATGAAGCAACATCTAATTCAGAACCTTATTTTGCCTATTTCTATACAGCAATCTATGATTAAGCATATAGGTAATAAGATTTAGAACCTAAATCTGAATTTTTAAGAGAACCCTTAAAAATAACAAATCCTGGTAGTAAATATGTATTTTTTAAATATTATGGAAATTTCAGACTTGCAGATATAACAAAAAAATTATAAGAAGTTGAAGTCATTAATATTTTAAGTTAATTAATATAAGCTATATATGCTTTGCATAGATGTAAATTAATGGGGAGATGTTTTAATATTTATAACATTTTGGTAACTAATATATCAAAAGGGAATTTCTGTATAAAATTAATGGACTTTGGTTTTGGATGTCCTTTAGAGTATTAACCTTTGCAAAGTGAGCTTAACTCTCCGAATTATGATTATTAATTTGATTTATTTTTGATTGGAAGGATATTGTTCTTTTTATTAACAACTCAAGATATTCCAGAACATTATATTTATGAATCTCAGTGGGCTGAAACCTAAAAGAAGATTGATAATTCCTCATATTCTAAAAAACTATAAGGAATATGTAAAAATCTTATTTCACCAACTATATAGAATCGATATTGTTATGAAAATTTTATTTCAGATTTCTTATTACTAAAGGAAAAGTAATAATAATTTATGCAAATTAAAAAGTTTTATAGTGAGAGTTAAGAAACATTCTCATCTATTAATATGGAAATTAAAAAGAGAGCTGAAAATAGTTAAGTTGCTGACAATATTGCTCCTCCATATTTATCAGATCAAAGTTTAGATAATATAATCTTTTTTTTTAAGCCTGAAAAAAACTAGATTCACAAATACCTAAACTTTAAACTATTCAATTTTACCATAATTAATTAGGCAATTGAAAACATAAAACTTAAATTTATCTCAAGTGATCACATTTCGGTTCCTCTTTCTATATTTGTACTTGAAAAAATTAAATGCATATTTTTCTAAAAGATATTTGCAATGTTTGAAAAAAAATAGTTTGCAAATTTTAATAATGAAGAAATAAATAATTTTGTAACATCATCCCAATATTAAGATTGCTATATATTATTAAAAAACTTGAATTATTTACAATAATAATTAATGCCAAATTATTTAGATAATTTATTAAAATCTTTGTAATCTAATTATCCTGATTATTAAAATCATTTATTGTATTAAGATATAAAAATATTTTTATATCTAGATGATTTCAAATTAAGTTTTGATGAAATCAAAAATTTTTATCGATTGCCATTAAATAATTTGTTAAAAAAAATTGAAAATTTAGATGATAATAAAAGCAATAGATAATTTAGATTAGTTATCTTCATGTGCATTCTTATCAATAAAATTGGAGAAAGTAAAAATTTAAATAAACATTACAAAACAATAATGAAATCATTACAATTATAAGAGATCGATTCTCCTCTTTAAGTGAATGATTTCCTAGTTAAGGCAAATATTGAAGAATTAAATGAATAATTTGAAGAATTAAGAATCTTATACTTTTCATGAAATGTTTTAAATTTATAATTTAAATTATTAATTTAATATAAATATTATGTATATTTATCTATATATTTATTGATTCTATATCATTCTCATTTTTTAAATCATATAAAAATAATTATAACTATATCATATTCAATATATTCTTAATATTTGTCTTTCTAAAATAATAATGCTTAATTAAAATAAAATTTAGAAAATTATAAATTTCTTTAGGATTAGATTGAATTTTATATACTTATATATTAAATCCTCTTTTTGAAAAATTAATTCAGCATAAAAAGAATATAATTTTAATAATTGATTTGATCTAATTGAATTACTTTTGATCCAATTTCTAAAAAACTGAAAATATTTTTATATAATCTTAATGATGTCATAAATTACAACATATTGATTATATAGTGTTTATAATATCAAATAAGACATATTAATAAAATTTAACAAAAATAATGTAATTTATATCAATGAAATGATAACTATCTTAATATTGAATAAATTTTTATTATTATATTTAATATTTAATACAAGTTGATTAGAATAACAATTTATTTAAAGTCAATTTTTTGGAAAATTAAGAATAATTATTAAAGTGATAGTAAAATAATTTAATATACTTGCATAAATGTGATATTTAAAAAAGGTTGGAATATAAAAAGTAAAAATATTGAAATTAAAAAATAATAACTTTTTATATATATTCACCAAAATTCAAAATTCTAATTTAATACCATTTTATTATATTAATTAATGAGTTATTAAAAATTATATCTTAATTAATTGGTAAATTATACTATTCTTTATGTATCTATTAGCTACAACAATATTTTTGATAAATAATTAGAATTGTTTTTTGTTCACTCAAAGAAGTAATTTGAATACTTAATTTTTGGATGTTAAGAATTGATATATAATAATTTTAATTTAATATGAATAATAGATTACTATATTTCGGATTATGTGATGCTGCGGTTAGTTTAGTTGCTGGAATAGTCAGTTTTATCTAATCTAACTGTTGTTTTAGCTTTAGTATAATATTCATAGCAGAGCTAATTTTGATGATTGCATTTATTGTTTTGTAATATAAAAAGGTTTTAAATGACCTGATTAGAGAAACTTTTTTAGGTGTTTCATACCTTGTATGCCAAATATTATAGATTGAGTTCTTAGGATCTCTTTAATCTTCTGTATAAACTATATTAATAAATAGGAATATATTTTCTTTTTAAGTCTCAGATTATTTATTTTAACAACATCAATAGAAAGAATGCCTTTTCGAATCACTATATTTTCTATAACTTATTTTTACATTTGTATTAGATTACAATTTTATTTGAATATGTTTCCATATTTAGGATTAGCATTTATTCCTTTTATATTTATTGTTGATTAATCTCAAGAGATTCTTTCTTCTTCAATAATTGATTTTTTTTAAAAAACATTGACGAATCCAGTTCTAATACTGGATGCTTAAACAAAAGAGCCACTTTTTCATACTAAATAAATGGAATCAGAATTTAATTACACATCTACAAATTAAGATTATTTTATTCATTGTCTTTAATAATTTTAGGATTCATCACATAAAACTCTTAAAAGTATTTTTGAAGAACAACAATAATAAATTGAAAAAAAAAGTAAACTCTAATATTGTAAATTAAAAGAAATATCAAATGAAGATTATTAATATATTGAAACTCTATAAAATAAAAAATTAACAACATTATTACAAGATGAAATCAATTTTGAAAAGTAGGACTTAATAAATATTGAAAGTCCTAAAGTTTAAATAGAGAATTAAAAATTTTAAGTTTCAAATTAATTTAATGATGATACTCCTCATGGAAAAAGTAAATTCAGATTTAAGGATAGTTAATATAAGTTATTTGGAATTAATGAATTGAAATAAAAGAAAATTAACATAACAGTATAAAATTGCATATGGAACAATAAGAAAGCTTTTATGATTTCTTTAAAAGATTTAGAGAGTTAAAGGTTATTATAAATATTGACAGAAGAACTTGAAGAAAGCAAAAAATAGAATGATAATAAGGATTAGATATTGGCAACTGTATTTCATGATTTTAAGACTCCTATAAATGGAATCTGTACTATAGTAGAAGCAATGGAGGAAAGATACAATCTTAATGCTCCTTCTAAATATTATTTGAGAATAATTAGAAAGAATGTATATCTAATGTTATATATGATATATGACATTTTAGATTTTGCTAGGATTTAAAAAAATTAATTAAGATTAAGTGTTAGTGATTTTTATTTAAATGAAGTTATAGATGAGGTAGTAGAATTAGTAGCAATTTAAGCAGAATAGAAAGGAGTTATCATCTAAACACATTATGATATACCTTCTTATTAAATATATAGTGATCCTAATCGTATCAAATAGATTCTTATGAATTTTATTTCTAATTCATTAAAATTTACTGAACAAGGATCAATTACAATATCAGTGGAATCTCCATAAACTGATAAAGCTAATCATATAGTTAGAACAGTTTCATCTAAAAATGTACTGAATCAATAATAAAATTAATAAACAATTGGATAATTACGTAAATAATTATCAGGTAAATCTGTTAAGTCTTAATCTGGATAAAGTAGAATGGTTTATACAATATCTATTTAAGATACAGGTTGTGGTATATCTGATCTTATTAAACCTAAATTATTTAATATGTATGCAACATTTCCAAGTAAAGATGTTTAAAATAAAAGTGGAACTGGAATTGGATTAATGGTTTGTAAGAAACTAATTAAATTGTTGGGTCCATCTGAGAAAATTGATTTATGGAGTGAATAAAATAAAGGAACTAAAATGTCATTTTAGATTTATTCACGATTACCAGATGATCCAAAAAGATCACCTAATTATATAAGTGTTTTTAAATAAGAGAGTAGTTCTAAAAATTTTAATCTTGATAGTCCATCATTAATTGATGAATAAGAATAAATGTAATAAAAATTTGTTAGATCATCAGTATTACGTGTTTATTCAAGACCTGTTGATAAAAATGATACAGAAGCAGGTTTTGATTTTAATCCAGAACATGAAGATGAAGGATAATAGAAATTATAAAATATCAATATTTTATAAAATTTAAGATCACCAACTGCAAGTAGAATAAAAATAAAAGAGTAGACTTTGGATGATTCATAAGAAATTATGGATCCAAGGTCAAGATTACAAAAAACATTATAAAATAAAACATTTACAATATTAATAGTTGATGATCAACCATTTAACGTTTTGGCTTTGAAATTATTATTATAAGATATCTCATTAAATGTTTCATTTTTAGAAGCCTATAATGGATAATAAGCTGTTAATAAAGTAATTATATTTTGTTATATATGTATAGTTATTAACATTTTAGAAAAGTAAGAATATTAAATATGTATTAATGGATCTATTCATGCCAATTTTAAATGGATGGAAAGCAGCTGCTAAGATACGAGATATGGTAATATTATAATTTAAATTAGATAACTAAAAAACTAATTGAAGATGTAAAAATAATTGCAATATCAGGATTTGATGATGAAAGTGAATAGGAAAGATGTGAAAATGTTGGTTTTGATGCATTTATTACTAAACCTGTTAAATTAGAGATGATTGCTGAAGTATTTGCACAATTAGAGTATAATTGAATTTGAACTTTGATAATACTATTTTTTATAAATTTATCTTAATACTTTTTTTTTACAATTACATAAATTATATATTATGATACTTACAATGTTTAAAAATGAATTAATCAAAGATATTGATTTTGTAATACTAATTAATTTAATTTATATTAATATTAATATATATATATAAAAGATCAAGAATTTCTTTATGTTTACATCAAATTTCCAATAACGAATAAAATTAACTTAATTAAAAGTGTATAATATAATATAATCTTAAGTCATATATATATTATCTCAAAATGATTATGCCTTCCTAATTCGCTGTTTCTGATCGTTAACTTTTTGATTTCAAGAAACCTTAGAATAACTCAGATTCAGAAGAAGAATAACAGTAATAATTATTACTCTTGCAAAATTGTAACAAAGAAACTAAAAGATAAAAAAAACTTTTAGATATTGAAGCCATTAAATAAGAACTAAATAATAGACCATAAATTGATTATGAAGTTACTCCTAAGATTGGTATAAAGGCATCTAGATTGATGGCTAAAAGTCTGTCTAATTTTATACTTCCTACTTCTCCAGTATTGATAGAATAATTGTTATTGGTTAGATCCATCAGATTAATGAAGGAGCAACTCCCAATTGAAATTATGAATAAGGTTTACTCTGAATTAAGGTAAAATTGTCTTAGATTATAGATATTTATATGTTCCTGCTAACACTGCAGTTTATAGATAAGGAGACCAACATAAAAAATATTACATCATATTAGATGGAAAATGTGTAGTAATGAAACCTAAAGAAAAGATGCTTGGTTTATAAAAATTAGAGTAAGAATTAGAGTGTAAAACTAAAATACAATTTATACGAAAGAATGATCCTGATCCTTATGGATTGAAGAGTGCTTTTCCAGATTATCTAATTCTCAAAGTCTTAATTAATGGAGAGTATTATTTATTATTAAATGCAGCTCTTTTGGAGAGGCAGCAATCAAATTAAATATTACAAGATCTTCTACTGTATTTGCAATTGAGAATTCACATCTATTATTCTTAAGTGAATAAGCATATTTATAATTACTTGATCCTTTTTTAAGTAAATCTTTGGATGATAAAATAATATATTTTACTCAAACTCCAATTTTCAAAGAAATTGACTTTGAATTGAATGAAATTATTGGAATCCTTTTAGAATGTCATCAAATCACATATAAATCATCAGAAATTTTATATGAAGAAGATGAAAGTTCTAATCACATATATTTCATAATTAATGGTTAAGTAGAATTATCTAAATAATTGAATTCTAAACATTTAGTACTCTCTTCTTATGGTGAAAATCAGCATTTTGGAGAAGTAGAAGTCTTTCATAAAATACCAAGATATACAAAAGCAAGAGTAATATCTCCTAGACTTACTGTATATAAAATAAGATAATCTAAATTCTTTGATAATTTAGGAAATATTCAAATTTATCAAAACTTTAAAAATAATTCTAAAATAATACTTAAACATTGGACTATTATATATCAAACAGCCAAATCTTAAGATTTTTAAAAAGATGAAATCTTTTAAGCTGCTCAAGATTAATTAACTAATAGAAGAAATGAAGTCTCAAAAAAGATTGTTAATAAAAAGATTATTGAAGTTTAGGGAGTTAAACTTAGTTAAGTCAAAGTATTCTAAAATCTTGCTGATAGTAATATTTAAGATATCAAATCTATTGGGAATTCCCCCAATAAAACTATTTTATAAAGAGTTTACAGTAATGCCCTTTAACAATATTAAGCAAGATTACTTAAAAAACCTTCATAAACTCAATGTTCTGATGATCATTGCATTAGAAGTCAAAAGTATCCTTTAAATAATGAAAGAACATTTAACACTGAAAGAAGTAGTCCAGATAGAAGAAATAGCATGTTAAATCCTAAATTACCTACTATGACATCTAATTCATCTTCAAATTCTAAAGTAGATTTGAATTAGGTTTTTGAATCAATTAGTAAATTGCCTAGAATTCCAAGAGATAATCTTGTTTTATCTTTGATGTATTAATAAGCATACAAATCAGAAAATCCTCATAAAAAAGCCAAATAGATTTAATAAGTAATTTAAGCTTCATTTCGAAATGTAAGAAGAGATTTTGAATCAAAAGAGAAAGTTGTATCTAATTTTAAATATAAATCTGCTGATTCAATTATTAAGAATTTAAAATAATATGATCCAAGTGAAGAGAGGAGATTTAAAGAAGAATATATGGTTTTTGTCTAATCTAAAAGACTATCTTGATATGTTAATTTAAATTAGATTTAATAATATTATGTTGTTATCTAAAAAAGTTAAAGTTATTCATGATTAAATTTATTCTTTTTCATGAAGAAAAGACTTTGACCTTTAGGTTTGTACTTATGTTTAACACTAAATAAGATAAGGATTAATACATTTTAAGTTTATTTTTAGCTCTGCACTTAGCATTGTAGATTAGAAATTTAAGCCTTTAAATTATCGACTAATTTAATAATTCTTTCATAAATTTTATCAGGATCAAATTTTTCATTGACATTTTCAGTTAAATATTTTCTTTACAACTAATTGGCACTGACAATTATCTTTCTTAAATAGGATTAAAGTTTTTCATTAGAAGAAATAGTTATCATTTTTTCCATATTTTATAACATTTCTAAAGGTTCAACTAAATTTGCTCTTGGACCTCCATCCATTTTGTCTGGTAATAAAGCTTTAGTTTTATTAGTCCAATCACTATAAATTTCTAGTATTTTCTTAAACAAGGTCAAATACATATCTTTGTATTATTCGTGATCTTAATCAGGTATATCTTATTTATTAGTAGATGAATGAAAATTCATATCATATTGATGTTTATTTATTTATTGTTTAATTTCTAAATCCTTTTGAAGATGTAAAATTTATTTTTCAAGTTAAATATTATCTAATTCTAAATCTGAAACTCTTTTAGTAAGTACCAAGTTTTAATTTTCAAAATAATCATATTTATCTATGAATTTCTCAGCCTGAAAATTTTCAAATCTTTTAGTCATAATATTAAATTATGGAATAAACTTTTCAATTTCAACAGTACTTCTCTTAAGTTCATCTAATTATTATTTGGAATGCTTGATTTCTTTAAGTAATTGAATATTCTTAAAATTTAAACTTTCATTTGAACTTTATAATTCAAAGATTTTTCCTTTTGCCATTTCTAATTAATCCACAAGTTCTTAGCTAATTATAGATAATATGATACTTTTCTCTTGTAAATTTATCAATATAAATAAGCATTTACTATGTTACTTATTCTAATTATGCTTTAGATTCGCTTAATACCTTTTCTTTGGCAAGATTATTAATCATTTAATAAAGTGAGTTTTCTGCTTTTTATTTTATTTCCAAAATAGCTCTTCTTCTTGGATTCATTTTAGCCATTTCTGATGTACTCTTTAATAGATTATCAATAGTTTTTTTTGGTTAAAAACTTTGAGTTTTTATTTATAGTTTTTTCTTGAGACTACTTGAAGTATGTTTATGGGTATTTAATGCTGACTTTATTTACAAATAAATATTACAGAAACTTAAAGTTTGAATTCTTAATCAATAGGTCCAGGTTTAGTGTAAATATAATTTCCAAAAGCATCAAAAACAATTCTATGAAAATTCTTTTTGAATTGTTCATATTCATCTTAATTTATTTAAACTTCTTTTTCAAAATAATCATCTGGTGCATCAATTTCAGCTTATTCTTTTGTAACCCTTAAATTACACGATACATTTTCAGATCTTACTCCTACATTAACTTTCCTTTCTTATAACTTCATCAAACTTTTTGGTGTTAGACTTGTAGTAGCAGTATATTTATTTATTAATTGTTATTGATCTTGATCATCATTTGGAATTGATAATCTAAAATTTGATATTTTTTTACTATAGTTAAGGTCTTCTGGGACTCGTCACAGCTGTTTATGGTCTTGTACGAGCAGAACTTAAGAAAGAGTTCTTAGGACTTGTATGAACAGACATTTTAATAATAGTTAATATTAATAAATGAAGATTTTATATTATTAGGTGAGATTGATAAACTTAGAATTTTATAGATATTAATAAGAAAGTAGATTAATATAAAAGAGTAGTAATATTTTACCATTGTGCTTTATTATATTGATGAATTTTATATGTGTTAAACACTATGAAATGATTTAAATTTAATAAATTGAAATATTTTAGCATAAAATTTTTGTAAAGAAGGACTATAAAAATTATAACCTGATATAGTAATTTTAATTTAAACAAGTTTTAAACATCATTTTTGATCAAGAAGATAATATTGCTGAATAATTACTTAATTAAATATTATCAGGAATTGGAAAAGAGTGGTTTAAAATTTGCTGAACATTCAGTTTATAGTAAATTATACACTGTAAAGAATAAGGGAACTAAAAAATATATCTATCTTGGGGAACTCAAATATAAATAAAATTTTGGATATATATATAAAAATGTAAAATTGGTTTATGAAAAATATTATTTTAAAACTCAAATATTATTAGGATAAATAGTATAATTAAAAATAAATATTTAACAATTTATCTATTGATAATTATCTTAATAAGAAATGAATATAATTATTTAAAATTGTTTTTAATTAATTTTATTGATAATTTTTAACAATATTTTCATCTCAATTTACTTACTTTCCATTAGAAAATAGAATTGTCTTCACCTCCAATACTAAATAGATAATGATCTTCCATAGACCAAGCAATGTTAGTAATATGTGATGAATGTCCTCTTCCTAATATATATTATGATCCTTTCTTTACACAAGGATATCTATTTTAATATAATTAAAATATACCTAAATATTTTGATTTAAGAATTATCATCACCAGTTGCAATTAAATAATAATTATCAGGTGGTTTATCCTTTTCATTGTAAGTTTTATTTGATCTTACAGCAGCATTGATATCACTACCATCTTAAATATCTGGCCATATTCCTTAAACAGGCCATCCATATGGTGTAGTCCAAGTCAGCCATTTTTCATCTCTTAATTAATTTGCTCCATTTGGTAATTATTTACCAGTTTGAAGTTCCCAAAACAATAATTCATATCTTTATAAAATATTTATTAATTTTATACCCTCCACAATTGCTATGAAGATGATTTCCATCTATTGAAAAATCAATATGAGTAATATAACTTGAATGTTTCTTTAATGGTTTGTAACGTTATTTCATATCTGGAAAACTATAAATATATATGGAATTATCATGTGATCCAATTGCAATCCAAGATTGATCATGACTAAATTTAATATCACTAATCCATTCTTTGGCTAATCTATTCACATATTTTTATTTAAATTCTTTATCATAAATCTTAATATTAAATAATAATATATTACTCTAAATGTTCCATCTTTAAATCCAACACATATAGAAATACCATCCAAAGAAACAGCTATACATCTACCTTTTGTATTATCAGATAATTCACCAACTTCATCTTGTTTAATTTCTACTCCATTAGAATCAAGATTGGTTTTGATGCAATTTAACATCTTTTTTTAACTTATTGACCAAGATCTTAAAGTACCATCATCTCCACAAGTATAATATTAATCAGAATCTTATGGATTAATAGCTAAACCCCAAATTTCATTCAAAGATCGCTTATTTGGGGAACAATGAGATTTCATTAAAGTTTTAGAAACAGCAAATTTAGAATTAATATTGATTTTGGCATCTTTAGTAACTAATTCAACAATATCTCCAGAATTAGTTGATACAAGTAAAGTCTTTTAATCATAACCTAATTAAATGGATTTAACTTCTAAACCCAAAGAATTTCTCATACATTCTGATAATTTAAAAGATAATATTTATTTATAAGTTTTAGTATCTATTATAACAATCTTAGAATCAGCTCCTCCAACAAGAATACTAATAATTATTATATAAATATAATTACAAATCTTTGGAAACACTAATTGCTTCTAATGATCGATTAGCTTCTAAATATTAGAAATAAGAAGTAAATTTGCCACCAGAATAAATTTATAAAGATCCATCTACAGCACCCAACAAATAATCATCATTATTGATAGCTGCACATAAATATTTATAAGAGAGAGGTTTTTAAGGATAAGCTTTAGAGTATGTTAAACCTCCATGTCCTAATTTCCAGAATTTAAGATGATTTAATCCACATGTAACAAATTCAGAATCATTTTTCCATTTAATATCAGTAACAATATTCTTACCAATTTGATCTCTTACTAATAATGTTCCTCCAGTTTAAGATTTAGTTATGATATCAAAAACACATAATTAATGACAATCATCCATTCCAATAGCAGCTAATTTATCTCCTGAATCATTAAATGCTAATTGCAAAATTCCTTTTGTAAAATAACCTTTTAATGAACATATAATTGCTTAAGTGTTACTTTCCCAGATATAAATATTTGGATTAGCTCCTAATTATCCAGTGGCAACCTTTAATTAATCATTTGACACATCCAAACAAACCACATCTTCAGTATGGTGATTGAAAAACTTTTATTAATTGGAATTAGTATTTGCATTAGGATTGGGGTCTAAGACAACAGCTAATGCAGCTGCATTGTAAACAATCTATCCTCTCTTTAAATATTTCACATTATTTCTACAATCCTTACTGCGATAACCATGAACATATTCTAAGGTCATTTCAACTAAAGGCTGTTTATTTTGGTTTAATGGATCTTTATAATAATTAGAAGGTTCTTTGATAGCTCCCATCCATGGTCTAATAATAGTAAATTCATCTCCTTTCTCATTCTATTCATTATAATTCTATTAATCTTCATTCTTTTCTATTTGATTATCTCTTCTTCTCACTTTACCATATTTATCAGATCCTAATCTTCTTGTTTTTTCTTATGGAACTGCTAGAGCAGCCAAATCATCAATATCTTCATCTAATTTTCCATAAGCATTTTCATCTTATAACATTAACTATTATTAAGATTTAGACCAATCTGTTTTCCAAATAAATATTCCTCTATCCATACCACTAGTTGAAATCAATTTACTATCATCAAATGAAAATCTCATTCTTGTAATAGCATTTGCATGTCCAGGATATTCTTTATGAATTTAATTGAATTAACAAACAGCAGGATATTAATAAAGATTTATTATACCATTATATTCTCCTGTTGCCAATATCTACTTTTAATTATCTACACACACTGCAGTCACTGAATATTCATCCTTTTTATAGATACCTTATACATTGAAACCAAATAAACATGTCCATGTATACCAATCCAATTCTTTAACTTAAGGTCCTGGAACATCCTTCAAAGATTAAACATTTGCAAATTTCAATTCATAAGTTGATGAATTTACTACTAAGTGAATAGAATCAATAGCCCAATCTAATTTAATTAAACTACTATTTAATGAGATGTTTATTGAACTTTATTTACTAAATTTGCCTCCTTCTATTTCCCATACTTCTACTTATGATTATGTACCATGAGCACCAAAAGCAATTTTAGTACTATCAGGTGAAAATTTAATATCCTCAATCCAAAATGTTTTTCCTTATGCACTTTACTTTAAAGAACCTGCTTTAGAATTCTTCTTATCCAAAATATTCATATTTGTGGGTTCAACTAAATATATACATCCACGTACATCTCCTACAACTATGTATTTGCCATCCGAACTCCAATCCACAGCCCTTATATCATTTTCAAATTGTGATGAACATTTAACCAAAGTATATTGATTGATATCCCATTAACGAAGAACACTATCTCCACCACAAGTAATAATAGTTTATGAATTTCGACTTGCTGCAATTCCCCATACTTCTCCACCATAATGACAATCAAGTAATAATTTCAAATTCTATACATTTTTAAGTGGAGCATGATACATTTGAGCTTATTTTGTTGCTATTATAATATAGTCATTCTTAATATCCATTGATATAATACCAATTTATTTAGGCTAATGAAGAGCTTCAGTAATATCAATAACTGTTGCAACATTATTTAAATTATTTCCATTCATTTCCCATAATTTAATTTACCCATCTAAACCACTACTATATAATTAAGTTTTTCCAACTGCAACTAATGAACTTACTTTAGATCTATGAGCTTAATAACTTTTGATGTTTTTGTTTTCCTTCCAAAGAAAGATGTTTCCATTATCAGATCCTGTAATTTCATATGAATCCTTAAATGCAACACAACAACATAACATAGGTTCAAATTGATTACTATTTAGTATACCTGGATAACACTTAATATTTCTGCCATTCATTTAATAAAATGTTACATTTCTCTATCCACAAGACATAAATTCTGTGGGTGATTTACTACATATCCCATAAATATTAGATTTCATTGTTTTTACAGTAATAATTAATTATCCTATTTGCCAATCATGAACTGCTATTGAATATTCTGAAGAAAATGATAATAAAAAGACACCATCATATGAAAACTCTAAGCAATAAATCATTTTAGTATGAAAATCATTTAACATTGACAATACCTTCTTTGATTCAGTTTCCCAAACACAGATTGCTGTTAATTATTTCTCATTTAAAGCAAAAGCTTTAGTTCCTGTTGCAACAATTCTTCCTCTTGGATGTATAGCAATACAAGTAATTTCATCCTAATGATATCTGAAATAAGTCTAATTACAATATTATTATCCAATAGGAATATTTGGATCCATAATAATACCAACAGCTCCACAAGAGAATGCTATTTTACCATTGTCTAATAATTTAACTCCATTAAAATAATCTTAACCCAATTAATCTGTTTTCATACCCAAAACATAATCAAGTGTTAAATTACCTTAAGGCAATACATTATATTTCTTCTCATCAAATTTAAAATTAGTTGGTTAAGTAGCTTTAACAAATGCTTAATATTATTTCTATCCTTCTTATTTATTCTCCTCTTCATTTAAATTGAGTCTAAAATAATCCTTAGATATCTAAACATCTTAAATAGATTCACATGCTTAATCTTACTCTATCTAAGCATCTTTATCATGTGAAACTTTCCATTACATAATTGATTTATCTGCTCCACCTAAAGATATGATATATTCATCATCTGCTGAAAATCTAATATTTGTCACATGAGCAGCATGTCCCACATATCTTTAAAATCCTTAACCTGGTTATGCTGCAGGATATCTAAATATCTTGATTCCCGAATAATCATCTGCTGTAACTAAAATATCTCCTTTATTAGATCTATCTACAGCATTGATATCACATCCAGCTGATAAAGGAGGCCATACTCCTAAAACATGCCATCCATAAATGGCTGTATATGTTGCCCATTTTTCATCTTTAAATTTAGATGCTCCATCAGGTTATACTTTTTGATTATTTTCTCCTCCCAATTCATAATAAAGTACTTATTAACTCCAATCATTAATTTATAAAACTCTGCATGTAGATGAAAAATCAATACTAATAACTCTAGCAGGAGAACCACGTAATACATTTGTCTTTTTAAAATGATTCTTTATTGAATATATAATGACATCACAACTTGGTGCATCATGACCAACTGCTAATTATTCAGTATCAGGTGAAAATTTGAGACATGAAACTTCAGCATCTCTATCTTTAAAATTAAAAGTAGGCATTAATGTTTTAGGATCAATAATAAGTACAGTTCCATTAGTACTACCTACTGCCAAATATTTATAATCCTTGCTAATATGTATAGCACTACTAGGATAATCTAATTTCATGCAATTAGACATCTTCTTATCTTTAATCAACCAACAAGCTAAAATATTATCTTCACCAATAGTGTAAAAAGTAGGAAATTTTGGATGTATAGCTAAACCTCTTAAGATTCCAACAGAATGTCCTCTCATTAATACTTTACTTTTTTATCCTTGAACTTCTACCATGTCTGATCCTCTTGTTCCAAATACTAAATGAACAGATTTCTCTTAATCATTTGGTCCTATTGTAACACTTTATACTTTGAAATTAAATATTTTTAAATTTAAATTGAGAACATTTATCTTTTCTTTAGCTTTCATGTTTACATCCCAAACTATGATTGTTCCATCTTTACTACCTGATACAACACCTCCTTCTTAACTTTTTTTTGTATGAATTGCTAGAACAGCACTCTTATGAGCATCTACTGCTGTAGTAGCTCTATTGCTTTTCCAAACCAATAATTATCCTCTATAAGTACCTGTTATTACATTATTATCACATAATGCTATACATAATACAGATGAAAATGGTGATGTTTTTGTATCCCATATTCCTAGATTCAATCTTATTTGATTTTAATCATAACTGCAAAAGTATACTTCATTCTTACATGCCAAAATCAAATATTTATCAACTTTATCAAATTTAATATCAAATACAAATGATCTAGGACCCTTACCTGTGGCTAATAAGGCCTATGATATATCACCTTTTAATCTTGCATCTATTCCTTTATCTACATCATAAACAACCAATGTATGATCATCATCCATACTTACAGCAGCTAATTTCTTGCCATCATTTGAAAATGCTAAACATTACACACCTTAACGTAAAATTCCTTTAAAAGCTGCTCTTGAAGGTTCCATTTAACTTTTAACTTCCCAAATATAAATTGGAGGAATCTATCCAGCCTAACCTGTTGCAATATACTTATCATAAACATCTATGCATGTAATATCATCTGTATGTTCAAAGAAGAATCTTTGTTAATTTGTTTATGGATTATAAACCACTCCAACTGCAGCAGTAAAATATACTAATTCTTAATCAACAAATTTAATATTGTTTCTAGAATCAAAACTTCTGAATCCATATATATAATCCAATTCCATGAAAGTACTTGGTGGATTAATATCACCTTTACCTGGTTTCCAAGAAGATGGTTAACCATTCTTCACTTAATTTTTCCAAACCTCTTTATTTGTCACCTTGTGAGCTTTCTAATTATTTTCTTATTATAATTGATTATTGTCCTCCTCCAGATTAGTTTCTATTCCAATTTTCCTCAATTCTCTTTTTTAATCATATGCCAATAATCTTCTCTATGTTTCACTCTCCAAATCAGAATCTGGATATGGAACATCACCTTATTAAGCTCCACCAAAATCAGATCTCAAATCTTCTACTGAGCATAATCCATATGATAGTAGCATCTTAAGTACATCTTAATCTTTAGATAAAAGACTGTAAAATAATTAAATAATATAAACATACCTATGAAATTCAGACAAAGATATTGAAGCATCCTTATTTGTATCATATTTCCTTAATAATTCATCTGAGATTCTTTCTGCCTCTTAGATTGTACATTCTCCCTTTTGTGACATGGCTCCTAAAGCTGTCAAAGTAGTCTTAATCAAAATGACTAATTCATTTCGAGTTATTGTTTTGTTATGATCGAAGTCATATAAGGAAAATATTATATTTGCTTTTTCCTTTGTTATAATAATTCTAGACATACCTTTAAGGTGGCTTAACTTAAAAGACTTAAAGCACATACAAATTCATGACTGTCAATTCTACCATCATTGCTGATGTCAAAAAATTAAAACACTTTATCTACTTCAGTCTCTTTCAATTTCATCAACTATATAAATCCATTTCTATCAATAGTGAGATCTTCATCCGCCATCAATTCGAATTTCTCTCTAAAATACAATTTGTATAACACAATTACTTTATCAATTTAACTTAACCTGGTGACATATTCATGAATCTTTTCATTTATTCCAGGTCTCCTGGACTTCCATTAGAAATCTCATTACCCATCAGTTATTATTTATAATTTATATATATTAATTTATAAGTATATAGATATAATTGTGCACTCTTATCCTTATAACTTCAACAAATAAATATTTGTACATAATACAATTCATACAAACATTATATTGATGTAAATAATAAAATCTGTATAATTTTTAATATTTTTACTAATCCAATTTCATTATTAATATTTATATGAATCAAGAATATTTTGAAAATAGATAGCAAGTACTCTGTCTCAAATATCAACCTACAAACATAAATAATTATCGCCAACAATAAAATTGTTAACCACAAAATGAAAATCTTACTAACACCTTGATGTTGGCTTAGAGAATATTTAGAGAGTATAAGTAAAGTATTTATTGTATCTATTGAACCCATAGATAAGTTTTAAGTACGAAAAGTTTCTGTTATTCAACAATAATAATAAGATAAAGAACCAGAATAAAAAAAGTAAAAGACAACCATTATAGACTCTAAAAGATATCAAATGTATAGTAACCCAAAAAATGCAAAAGTAAAACTACTTAACTCAACAGCTAACAATTCCTTTTATACTAAAAAAAGCACAGAAAAATATTAATAATCCCCCATTAAACCTAAGACTGCAATTTCTAGAGCTAAGCGAATACTACCATAATAAATATCTATTACACCAATAGAAAGTTTAGGTCCAATAATATCTGCATAGAGCTGGTGTATTATTAATGGAAAGAATGGCCAATTAATGGGGGGTTATAATCAATATAAAAGCAGATAAATGGCTTCAATTACTAAAATCATGACATGTTGGTTAGCACTGAAACTTACACAGCAATTTCAATTGGATCTTGATAATACATATTTTACAGTGCCAGAAAAAGTAGTACATAGCTTAAATATAGGCAGAAAGGATTGGAGGCACAACAGCTTAACTCTAAAGTGGTGATAAACTCAGTATTAGAGATCTACTCTATGGGTTAATGTTACCATCTGGTAATGATGCAGCAATATCCCTTTAACATAATTTCGAACTCTATAAAGGTTGTGACTTTATTTTACAAATGAATTAAAATGCATAAGACATAGGAATGGAAATGACATCCTATTCTAATCCTCATGGTATTATTTATATAACAAAAAGGTTTGTATCACGAAGCCAATTACTCTTCTGCATATGATATTGGTATCTTAACCTATCATGCCATGTAAAATCTACAATTTGCTAGTATTGTCAAAACCAAAATTTATTTTAGTGAAATTGAAGACAAATTTGGAGAGTCAAAGGAAATCTTTTGGGAAAATACAAATAAAATGTTATATCAAGGATTTAGAGGAGTAAAGACAGGTATTACTAAAGAGGCAGGTCCATGTGTTGTAGAGTTTTATGAGGATAATGAGAATTCATATATTATAGTACTTTTAAATTGTAGATCAGTAGATCATAGATGGCAAGATGCTATCAAATTATTAGATTGGATTAGATAATGATGAATTTATTTTATATTGTCTATATATTTAACATTAATCAACTTTGTTATCCTTAGAATCCTGAAGGAGCTAAATCTGTATCATGAATAATTTCTCTGTGACATGTCCACACAGATAATATTGCTTCAGGAGTTCCTATACCTGCTCCTCTAGGATCTCCACATGGTCCAAACCAATGATTTTAGGGGGCACCTGTAGTTCTTGCTCTTATACCACTAAAAATGATATCATTTCAGAATACCTATAAGTCACTCCATTAGTAGTATTAGATTAAATATATCTTAAAAAATTGACATCATTACTAACTATACCAGCAGTCAAATGATTTTCAAGATTATTTATGATATCCAAAACTTAATTGATTTATTCAGATGAATAAGTTGTTACTATTTAAAATGGTCCAAATAATTCTGTAGTTACACTCTTATTCTTTTAAATTTAATCTAATGGAACATACAAAGCTGTAGGTTCAAATGATCCATAAATTGATGGAATAGAATGATTTTTCAATTCTTATCCACCAAATAATATTTTTGATTAAGGTATTTTCAAAATATTTTCAATATGCTATTTAATTTAAGTATTATTCCATGTAATAATAGGACCATTACTTAAATCCTATAAATTTCTAGTACTAGCCAATTATTTAATTTTATCAAGAAATCCTACCTTAACCCAATTTTCATGAACAAAGAGAATACTTTAAGCTGAACATTTCTATCCAGTACTTCCATATGCATCTTAATCTGATTACCATGCAACATAATTTTGAGTATCTATATCTGGTATATCTGGACCAAGTATTTTCCAATCAAATCCAGCATCTTCAATTCTTATCTTTCCATTCAATACTTTTGTTAAATGCTCTGCAACCTTTGATGATCCTGTAAATTAAGTATTACGAAAATTTCCCTGTCTTAATATAAATTCAGTCGCTTCACCATTACCAAATAACATATCTACATCTGTAGCAGGTAAACCACAATGAATTGCTAATCTTAACATTTATTCCATAACAACATTTACTCTACTGTCTCCTTTGAAGAAAACTTTATTTCCTGTGATTAAAGCACCAAATATTTATAAACTTGGTATTTCTAAAGGAAAATTAAAGGGAGCCACTACAGCACATGATCCATAAGGCCATCTATATCCTGTTGATTATTATCCAGGACGATCTCCAGCTACATTGAAAGATCTAGTTAAAAAACGAGGTTAATCACCACTAAAATTTTAGAAGAACCTCTCTGTTACAACTACTTCACCTGATGCTTATGCAAAATGTTTAGGTACAACTCTTTATATTAATTTCACTAAGAAATCATGAACTTCTTTTTTTTTAAGTTCTGATGCTATTTTATGGCATACTTCTCCATAAATTTAATATCTTTATGGATTTTTTAATGGATTATGTAATCCACTAATTGGACATTCTTTGGCTGAATCAATATATTTCAATAATTCTTATTTGTCCTAAACATCTGGAACTGTAATAAATGGTTCACCATTTAATGGATCTATTATAGTTTGATATTTATGGGAATCAATCCATTTTCCTCTTAAAAAGTTTTGAGCCTTATGAGGATTGCGAGAAGATCTATTGTTATTTTAATTAAAAGACTCTCTTACAATTAATATGGATCAAGTGTAAAATAAGAGGGAATTGTAGAAAATGATGCTATATTCCTAAATTTTTGCATATTATTTATGATTTATTTATGTCATTAAAGTGGAAATAACTGGAGAATTAATGTTATTATATAAAATTTATAATTATATTATGAAGTATCATCTTATTTTAGTTATATTAGAGCGTACTCTCCTAAAATTTATATTGGATGTTACTTATACTTTAGGACTAAAAAAAGGTTTAGATTGAATCCTCTTATTTTCAGGATTTGCTCTACTACTTTATATTTACTACTATTATTATTAAGATCTTATTGATTCCATCATCACATCAATAGGTTTAGGTTATTTAGTTTTATACAAACAAATCTTATTATTATTATTATTATTATTATTATTATTATTATTATTATTATTATTATTATTATTATTATTATTACATTTTTATAAATTCTCTAAATTAGTAGTATTTTTTAATAAGACTTTATTAGTATTCGAATTTGATTCACCTTAGATTATCATTCTCTGATTTAAGAAATTCTAATAATTGAGTTATGTATAATGTTGCATCAATATATTTCTTATATTAGGCTCTTTTTGAATTCTTGTACTTGATAATCTTGTTGATCCTGATAAATTAGAATTCTTGTTAAAAGATATGATTTAATTAAATTGTTTAATTTTTACATTCTCATCCAATACTGATTACTTTTAATGTTATTCCATTTCTATTATAAATTAAGCATTTTTGAATTATTTATTATAAATATTATATTCGTTTAACATATCTACAAATTACATGGTTGTTGGTTTTGAATCATTCAAATCTTTCAAAATAGGATCATAACTAATTAGTTTCATTTTAAGAAATTAATTTGCTAAATTTAATTTATTATTATATTGAGTCTACTATTTTTATTATAGATTTCTTTATCTAAGTTTTCTTTTTTTTGTATAATTTTTATCTACTAAAAGATCTAAACTTATAGGTTCTAAGAAATATCTAGGAGCATTCAAAGAGTACTAATGTATAGAAATTAGTTTTTTTAATTTGTGAGTAACCTCTTTTTCATGATATTTATTTAAATACTCCTTGCATTCAAAGTATTCTTAATCATATATGTGAATGATGGATGGTTTACCTTGATTAGTTATAATCATATTAAGATTATTAGTGTAGTAGTAATTTTGAGCATAGGAATATTTATTATATAAAGATGCATGCATTGCTTTTAGAATAACCTTTGATGAACAATTAGGCTTAAGAGGTTTCTTCTCATAATCTGGATTATATGAAGTACTTTAGTGAAAGAGTAATAACATAAAAAAAATAATGTATTCTTCACCGATAAGTTTAGTTCATTTTTATATTATAAAATTTAACTTAAAAATATGAATTCTAAAAATATTGAAAATAATAATATAACTATCTTAATATACTAGCATTTACAATATGCTCATTTTTTACAATATTAATCTATTGATTCAATATCTATTTCTTCAAAAAACTAATTATAAATAATACAAATTGTTATTTTATTTTATCATCATAATTTTCAATATTTTTGTTCAAATCTAACTAAATGTTTATTATTTCAAATAAAAATTAATCTTTTAATAGTCCCATTTTCGTTTTTTTTAATTTTATTTATTTGGAAAATCATCATTTTAGTTTTATTTTAATTATATCTTAATTTATATTAAAGATATAAATCAGATCATGAGAATGATTTAATATAGTAATTGACAATCTTATTCTTCTGAATTATAATATTGATTTTTTAACATTCCAATTGTTTCTCTATTAATAATTATTGAATTCATAGAGGTGCTTTTTTTATTTCTTATTAAGATTGTTAATTAATTAATTTCCAAAATGTTTTAATATTACAATTTTAAATATAATATATTATATTAATAGATTATAGTAATTATAATTAGCATAAATATTTGTTGAATTTTTAATCAAAACTTTTTCTTAGATTTAAAAACTAAAATATTTGTTTCTGATATATCATCATCAATCATTGAGTTTTCTGTTTAATTCAATATATTTTATTTTTCTTCTTTCTTTGCATAAGATATAATTTAATATTTATTTTTCCCTATCAATTTATTTTCATAACGATTAATTTATATTGATGTATCACCAAGAAGAGGTTTAACATTAATCTCACTATTTTATAGATAACTAATCTCTGCTCTAGAAATAAAATCAATTTTATCGTTTGTTTTGAAATATTCCTATTTAATTTTTTTATATGATCGATTCGTAGAGACAGAAATCAATTTATTATAAAATATATTTCTTTCAGATCTTTTTTTTGTTAAATTTTGATGATGTTTTTAAGATTCAGAATGTATTCTTTCTGTACTTCTTAACACATGTTTTATAACTCCATGTTTTTATACAGTAGTTTTAAACATAGGCTAAGGAGCTAAACGAGCTCTGTTAATAAAATTGTTCTATTGGATTTGATAACTATTATTAATTGCCCCCTCATATTCATCATTGAACTTGCGTTTATCCTTTAATGGAGATTTTGTGAATGATATCTACGTTTCTATTTTCTTTTAATTAAGACTACTCTATCTTAGTATTTTTGAATCTCTACTATAATATTCGTTTTAAGAGCTATAGTTCATAATTAATGTATAATTTGTTTATTTCTTTTTATGTAATTTATCAATCACTTTCAGAATCATCATCTGCTAAAAAATCATCTATTGAATCTTCCTCATCCACAAAATCATCATCATCATCTTCAATATCATCCTTAATATCCAATTCCTCTCTATCATTACTAAAATCTTCATTTTTTTAACTTTCCTTTTTTTTCTTCGGTTGGGCTACTTTTCTTATTTTTTGTTTAATTGGTTTTGGTTCTTTGGGCTATTTAGGTGGTTTTGGTTCTTTTGGTGGCTTAGGTTCTTTAGGGGGTTTAGGAGGTTTTGGTTCTTTAGGTGGTTTAGGCTCTTTTGGAGGTTTAGGTTCTTTGGGTGGTTTAGGTTCTTTAGGACCTTTTTTGGGTTTAGTTTCTGGTTCTACTTGTGTAGTATTAGGATTATTAGGATCAGCATTAGCTTCTTATTCTGCCTTTTTTGCAGCTTATTCAGCTTATTTCTCTGCTTTTAATCTCTACCTTTCTGCTTTATCTATTTCTTCTTATTGTTATTATAGAATTCTGTCATTCATAAATTAAAAGTCTTTCCAAAGTGATTAGAAATTTTCATCAAATTATTGTACAAGTTTCTTACTTTTAATTAATAATAAATTTTCTTTATTTGTTGTAACTGCAGACTTTGTCCAGTTAAAGGAACCTGTAGCAATATAATCTGTATCAATTACAAGATATTTATTATGCATCAAACTAACTGTTGAATTATCAAGTTTGATTTCAGCCTGAGAAATATATAACGCTAATCATTTACCTATCCTTTTCCTTCTTCTAATATTTGATCCAAAATAGCTTTTTATGAAGGTATCTTAGTCTAAGCATCATCAGTTATGATTTATATTTTTAATTGAGGATTCTCCTTCATCATCTACAACATTTTACCAACAATATTTTTATTGGTGAATGTATAGACACAGATACGGATATATGATTTAGCTTGGGAGAGAAATTGAATGAGCTTTTATTCATTTTCTTTAGATGGAAAGAATAATGGCTCAATGGTTACTTAATCTGATTTTTCTTCTTCCATAAATAATATTAAAATTATTCAAAGAGTGTTAATTAATTATAGTAATTTTTATTTCCATTATTGTTTTTCCTCCTCATTCAATTTAGCCAATGACATTTCGAAACATTCAAATTACAATTTGATATGTTATTCACTTTCGAATTGGCTGGTGTCAAGTTCATCATTATTCAATATTTATTGAATTTGATTTTAATTTGTATTTTAATCTTCCAAAGAATGAAAATGATCACTCATAGAATGAGAGGATTCTTATTTAATTTAAGATTGTTTTTCTGTTTAATCCATTCTATTTCTATGAATCTATTTTAAAATTAAAAAATACTTCAATTGCATATTATTCATGAAGAGTTAAAAACTATTTTAAATTTTCTTCAAATTCTTACAATATTTTAGTAAGATCTTAAGAATAAGTAGTTTATTCATTTAATTTTAATGAAAATTGTATTTTCTTCAAAGTTTCAATAAGTGTTTACCCTCTAGAATTAAACTAAAAAATTAATGAAGTTAATTACTCCATCACATTAACAACGAGGACTTTAAGTTGATGATAAAAAACCACCAATAGAAGACACATTTGTTTATTTATTCCCAAATGAATCTCGGTCTATTATAATTTACAGTATTTTACTAGAATTACTATCCTTTAATTTTTAATGCGATTCTATTTTTCCACTTTTTTAACGTTCCTCTACATTAGCTTATATTGCATAAAGTTAGAAATCCTTTTAGGAAAGTTAAAGTTCTAATAATTAAGATGAATATTTATAATACTTAATGTATTTTGATCTCTTTCAGATTATCGTAGAGTTTCTAAGGTTTAATCTAATAATTATTTATATTATTTGATCTCCATCTCTAAAGATTTATTACTTTGTTAGAGTTTCTAAAATTTAGAAAACGAATTACTTGATTGTCAGATTAAAGGTTTGGAATAATTTGACTGTTAAGGAATTATTGTGGCAAACTATCTACAGATTGACTTGAATGAATAATCTCAACATCATCATCTGACATTAGTGAACTAATTTTAAATAATATATTAATATACTCTCCAAATATAAATATATATATATAAATATAATCATTAGTTGTTTTAGCCACATTCATTATTATCATAAAATAGAGACTAAATGATGCTGGATTTTTAATGAAAAAATATATAAAAGATTTTTTTTGTTTTATTTTATCAATACAATCTCCCCACATGAACAACTAAAATGATGATTATCTGCCTTCATTGCTAAAAGAATTTTAGGGAACCGAAAATGCAGAGGGACAGTTATCTGAATACCAGAAAGTTAAGTAATGGTTTGTTTTTTAATAAAAGATTGGGGAACTTAGGCCTGATGACTCCAATGAGTAATACATTAACTACAGACTTTGAGTAAATGACATTGGACACATCTCCTAAAGAAAGCTTAGTTAATCAAAAAAACTGTCTCATTATTGACACTATTGATGAATAAGAAGAAAATATATTCAAATTATAAGTACAAGGGACAATTAATGCTTAGAAACATTAAAGTTTCAAGGTACCTAAAGAATAAAAACGAAAATCTCCAAAACATAAAACATGTTAACCACACCTGACTGAACCACTTAATCAAGGAATTGAAGATAATTAGGATGCTATTTTAGAGATGCAATCTCCTAGTTCAAATGATACTCCTTCACTTAATGCTCAAACTTTATAAATAATCAAAGAACTCTGGAATTCAGAAAAGAATGAGTCTGAGTATTTTTAGGATATTATTGATGGACATTCGATTCCTTAAGGATTGTCTTATGATTATAGTTACCTCAATTAACCATTTTACTCTCCTCCACTTCTTGAATCTCAAAGTCCTTAAGTTAAATTTGAACCAGATATTGAAATGGATCTTTATGTAACCTCTTTAGTAGTAATAAACATGGCATAAATCTATAGGATTAACTATGGGGAAACCAGATTGTTAGCCGAAAATTGTAGAAAATGTTAGAACAAGGCACTTAGGAATAGAAAGAGTTGATAACTTATAAATTGGAACGCATAAGTCCATAAATTTAGAAAGATGTATTTGGAAATTATGTTGTATAAAAAATCTTTGAATGCAGTAAAATTAATATAAGATTATTAGCAAATCAAAAGCTACAATAAAGAATGTTTAATAAATTAAAATCTCATTTCTATGATTTATCAAAAAATAATTTTGGATGCAGAGTAATGTAGAAATTAATTGAATATACATACAATCGTGAAGATTTATAATTGATTGTTCTATAGCAATTATAATCTAATATGAGATCATTAATTTATGATTTGAATGGAAATTATGTCATTTTTAAGATGTTAGAAACATATGACAAATTAAAAATGGAATTTCTCATTCCCATTGTAGAAGAATCTGTAAATTTATTAATTAAATTATTTAGTTTAACTACATGGGTTAATAAATATATGGCTGCAAAATTATTCATAAAGTTATATAATAATATACACCATAACAAATAAGTAGAATAATTAGATTATCTGTGTAGAATTATAGTATACTGAGTTAAACTGAATATGGAAACTATGTCTTATAACATATATTATAACATTGGAAACCAAGTTAAGAAAAAGGATATTTAGTTCAATTAGTTATATAATAATTTTACTAACTTAGTGTTAACAAATATGCAAGGTATCTTATTTTCTAATTTCAAGTAATACTGTTGAAAGAGCCTTAGAAGTTTTAGGCAAATAAGAATTAATAGCAATAATGAATTGGCTTGTAAGTCGAAATCCTAATTAATAGTAAATAATCTTTTTAATCTTTAGTTCAAGTAATTTCGTTATTTTAGCTAATCATCAATATGCAAATTATGTTATTAAGAAATTTCTAGTTTTAAGTGATCATAGTGTATAAAAATATATATCAGATCATTTATAGTAAAATTAATCTGAATTAACAGCCATCAAATCGACTGTGCATGGTATCATCTGAATATATATAATAATTAGGCCAAAGAATATATAGTCTTTTGGAAAAATCAATCCAACAATGAGGTTTATTAGAAATATCTGATTTCGATGAATAAATATAAAGAATATATCATGACAATAATTAACTAAATTTTCTAATATCTTCTTCACTAGTTAAAATGCTATCTAAAGGTTAAAGTAACGTGTTATGTTATTCAATTTAATCCTCTATTTTACAACTAGCTGTGTATTTGAATTGAGAATTAAAAATTATCAGTCTTTTTCTAAATTATTCTCTTGGCAATATTGTTAATGTATCTAAGATTGACTCTTTGTACAATTCAATATTAATATTAAGATCATCATTTTCAATTGCTTAAATATCCTTATTTACTTGTATTATTTTATAAATATCTATAAAGCTTTAATAATTTGAATTTTCCTTCATCATTTATTTAGATTATGTAAATTCATAACAATTAAATTCTATACAATTCATCATTTATTTAGTACAATATTAAATTGTATTATCTTATAAACCCATTTTATATTACATTTCAAAATTCTTAGTATATTGAGATATTAGTTTATTACTACATTATATATATTCTTACATTGCAGAAAATTCCTTTTTATTAGCTGCCCTATAAATGTTTACTTTATCTTTTGTGATTGTAAATACTAAGTCTTCTTCAAAATCAAATTTACAATCAGTGTACTAAATTTATTTTTCCATTTCTTATCTAATTAAAATACTCTAAAGTACTTCCTTCTTAGCATAAAACTGCTCCTTAAGAATTTATTTTAATTTTCATTTATTTTGAACTTCCATTTTTTGTAAACTTTTATATTTTGAATTCCTTATCATATTTAGTTAATTATTTATTCTCATTCTAATTTTGATTTAAATAACAAATATTTTAACTTAATTAGCTTAACATATAATCAAGATAAAATGAAAATTTGTATGCCTTTGTTAAAAATAAAATTCTAGATGGTTATTCATTTCTACGTAACCTTCTATTTATACTTACACCTAAAAGTGTTAGCTCATTTTTCTTGTGTGTAAGTAAATAAATTGAATATTATAACTTCCCTGATTTAATTGCATTTATATACCATTCATATTAAGCTCTTTTATCAATTCATCAATAATCATACCAACAGTAGTTCCTCTGTTATACTTTACTTTAATATATTATTTCATATCTGTTTTGTAGTATACTTTAATAGAATCATTCTCTTGCATTTGTTGTGATGTCTTACGAAAAGAATTTGCAAATAAACTCATTTAATTATATAATAAATATCTCATATATAGATTATTAATAAATATTTAATATATATATCATTTAACATTACTTTTATGATTCATTTAACAAGAATAATATTAAATGTTATGATTTACAATATTAAAATCTAAATTTACGTAATTATTTACTCTTTTTTTATGTATTATTTATTTAATTTTCATATGATTTTTATACTTATTAATTAATACTAAATCTTAATCATATAATTATAAAATTATAAATATATTACAATAATAAATTTATTAAGAATGTTTTAATATTTATTTTGACATTTATATTTATATATTGTTTTCTAAACTTTAAAAAATTAATATAATATTCATATTTTCAAAACTTATTCACATTAATAATCAGATATTATGCTGCAATTTATATTTGATAAATACTTTCTTTAGTTGTTAAAAAAGTTCTAAAGATAAACAAATTTAAATAAAGTAATCATTATTTTATTTTATCATTCATTCAGAATAGCTTAATATTAATGCTTTAATATATTGAGTATAATACACTTTTTTATATTTAATTAATTAATATGTAATTGGTCCAAAGTAATGTTTGTGTGGCATCATTTGACCTTACTCAAGAGGCAATTAAAGTTTAAATTAATGAAAGACAAGGTGATAGTAAATAAGCAAATGTTAAATTATAAATCAATCTAACAGAAGATTGTTTAATCACTCATTTAATTTTAAAATGGAGTGACACTTCAATAAAAGGATTTGCATTTACATCTTTAGAATGTTTAGATTGTTTTGATTAAACTTATAATCGTCTGATCAATAGCAAAGAAGTTGTGAATGCTGAATAATGTGGTGGTTAATACAAGATCGTTGGTCTTGGTTTTGGCAGAAAACTTAGACTTTGTTTCAGTGTATGTGAACCTCCTCAATAATTAGAAAATAAGTTAAAAGCTAAATTATCAATTTAAGTTTATGGATATTAATTATATTAATCACCTGCTGCTAATTAAATGGTGGCCCTATTAAACATAAGCCATATCTTTAAAAAAAATAATCGAGAAATTAATTAAGCAGAAGCAGATATACTCTTAGGTTTATCTCTTCTTTCTTCAAGAAGATTTGTTTAAGCTGCTGAAATATTCAAGAAAGTAGCCAATTTTTATGCTGAAAAAGCTTAAATTTTAGTTAAACAAAAGGATTATTATATTCTAAGGGCAAGTAGTCTAGAAATATTAATAGCTGATTCAATTAACTAGCCATCAATGCTAAATGAGAAACTATAAGCATTAAAATAAGCTGTCTAATATGTTAATGTTCAATATGATAAGACATAATTACTTTTTACATTATAAAATACAGATTCTTATGAATGCATCCTTAGACTCTCAGATGATTTAATAAAAATTATAAGTAGAGTACTATTGTTAGAAGATAATTATAATTTTGATGCTTTAAGGATGGCTAATATGAGATGTTTGGAATTTATGATAGAATAACTGGGTTGTGGTTTAGGTGGATAGATTATCTAGATTTTTAAGTTATTTTTAAAGATATTGAATTAATAATAAGGATAATTGATAGTAGAAATGATATATAAAATAGTCAATATGATATTATAAGAATTAAGCTAAGCTACTTTAAAATTGATATAAGAGATATGGAATTAAATTGTTATATAAGGATTATTTGATGTAAATATTGAAGGGTAAAAGTTAATAATGAAAATTTGTGAATATTTATTATAAGCAGATTAAGCTCATTTTAGAATTGATATTTTATTCTTGAAATAATTAAATTAAGTTGAAGAATCTAAGATATGGAATTTAGTATTACAAAATATCATACCAAAATAAAATGAAAAGAAAATTAGTAAAATTATTACTTGGGTTAATCAATAATTGATAGAATAATTGAATTTCACTAATTATAATAATCTTTAGCAATCCTAATAATATTAAATAATTAAATTATTATAATTAATATCTATAATTATTAGATAATAAAAAGAAGAATCTTAAATTCCATTTTTTGAAGAATTTCTAAATAAATAATTAACAAATACTATTAAAATTAAATAACTTTATACTACTGCTAATCAAAATTTAATTACATTAAAACCAATTTTAATAAAATTATTAGATTAAACTGTTAAGGGAAAAATTTAATTTGATTGTTTTGAACTTGTATGGAATATCCTAATTGAAATTTTAATTGAAGGGAATGAATATGATCAAATGTATGAACTCATAAATCCATTTTTATAGAATATATTTCTTATATGTTAAACTACATCTCCTGGTTAAGATATTTTAGTACTGTTAGATAAAATTTTAAAAACTATTTAATTTTAATGTCCATAATTGATATCAAAATTTGAATCATAAATATATTCATATGTTGAAATATTTTGTTAAAGAGTACCTCATAGTATTCATGATGAGACATTTAAGATATTTGATATATTGATAGCCTTTAGTTAAGAATTTTTGGATTAAGCATTAATAGAGAAATGTGTTATGGCATTGATTGATTAATATACAGTTAAAGGATAAGCTTAAAAATAATCAAAATAAAATTTTATAAAAATGATTGTTTAATATTAAACTCATTTCAATTCTTTAATATAAGTATGTCTTATAGAAAATCAGGAACCTTAAATTTAATCAAATTTAATATCAGAAAATAAAACTGAATTTAGATAAGATAGAATGAAAGATAAAAAAGAATTTAAATCTGATAATAAATAATTAACATAAGAATATGAAATTTTCAATGAAAAAGTTTAATTTATTTGTGAATTGTTTTCAGAAATGGGATAATAATTTAAAGTTATAGCATAATTGATATTAAATAATCCTGAATTTACATCTTCTTTAATTAATTTAATACAATCACTCAATTCAAAAATAAGATAAAAAGGTCATTTAACACTTTAATTATTAGTTGATTGTTATATCAATATTGAAACAAGTACTAGAATCAAAATATTTGAAGATAGAATTATTTTTGTAAAATTTATTAAAGATATCCTCACTTATTCTCTTTAAGATAAAACTGATTCAAAATGTATATTAAATTCATTACTTATTTTGAATAACATTTTCAATCTTAAATTCTAAAAGAGTGAATATTCTAAAGTTTTAGATGAAGTATCAAATTTATGGAATGATGTATCAGATTTAATAGATACTCCTTTTAATAGTATATATGTTTTATTTTTTGATCTCCTTAATTAATGGGGATAACTTTTAAATAAAATACCTAATTCAACAAAACTTAATGATTTTATAGAAAAGATTTTTGTTTGGACTTAAGAAAAATTAGATTGTTAGGAACCTTGGCATTAATATAATATATTAAAATTTTGTGGATATATTTTTGGATTAGATTCAGGTAAAAATTTTAGAGTTTTTCCTTCTATTAATTCTTCTTTTTTTGAATAAGCAAGTAAATTGTAGAATAGTTAAAATAAGTAATTATAATTAATGTCAATTGTTATGATTTAATTGTGTACTCCTGAATAAATAGCAATTAGAATTATTTAATAAATGGCAGAATAATACAATTAATTAAGACATAGATAAAATAAATAAAGAGATTAAATTAATAGATAATCAGAAAATATAATATAATAATTATTTTAGAGATAGAATTCTGTTAAAGATTTAATGATGTAATCAGATACTTTTGGATCCACATCTATGGATGAATTTGAATTAAATCAAGAAGACTTTTTATGGATTCGTAAAGTTGATTAAGAAGTACTTTCATAATGCTTATAAACTCTGTTTATGTATTAAGTTTAATAGGAAAGTAAAATCAAACAATCTGATATTTTAGATAAGGAAATCAGTATGAAATAAAGTAATAATTTAAATTAAAATACTCATAAAAATATTCTTGATGATGATCCAATTGATTTAGATGATTTAGGAATTATTGAAGTTGATGATGAAGAATGGAATGAATATGATGATCTAAGAAAAATTCCAATATTGAAAGAAAGAATTAAAACAATCTCACCTCATATTGGAAGTAGAACTCCAAATGTAGGAATAGGAAAATAGAATTAGGAAAGAAGGTCAAGTGGTAATAGACAAGTCTTTGATTAAAGAAAAGGAGAGGTTGAAGATTAAGTTTTAAAGACATTAAGACCTCATAATTAAGTATTTCGACCTTTGACTCCTCCTATTGGATAATAACCATAATAAAATTTTTCATAAACTACTGAAATTTAAAGAGATATGTAATTATTTTCTGATTATATGTTATAAAATCCATAATAATTTTAGAAAATAATGGAAGAAATTAAAATAAATAATAATACAAATACACAATCTTAATTATAACAACCTATTGCTTAAAATGAATAATTGGATGAACAGTTTGAAAATTTAAGAAGAAGAGTTGATGAATTAGAATTTGATCCTCAATTTTCAAATTCAAGTTAAGATGATATAACAGATGAACCTTAGATAAAATCTAATTAATAGTATAATTTAATTTCATTTATTTTAGACATTAATAAAAGAAGAAGAAATCAAAAAAATAACCTTCTATGAAGAAACTAAAATCACCTATCCAACATTCTTTGTATCACTCCTAAAAACAATCAAATTCTCAATTAATTTCAAAAAGTGATGAGAAAATTAAGAAAAAGGGGAAGCCTAAATAATCTTGAGATTTATTATAGTAACTTCAATTTACTAAAATTAAAATTAGATTTAAATATTTTTATAATTAATAATATAAATAAATCTTGAATTATTAAGATTTTTCATCTAATAGCTTTATAAAATGTGTTTTTAGTTTTAAGTTGAATACTTAAATACTTATTTTTATAAATTTAACTTGAGGAAGATAATAATAATTAAAATTCAGTTAAAAGAAGAATTATTACAACAAATCATGTATATTTTAACTTAAACATAATTCTAATACCAATAAGTATATAGATTTAATGAATAAAATGATTAGTCACTAACCAATTAAATAATATGCATATATTATAATGAATTTAAATAGTAGCACTTATTTACAAAAAATTTAGATATATATATATAATTTGAAAATTGAATATGTAATTTTTTAGATGTTGATAAAGTGTACATATAAAGTATATAAATCATTAAAAAATGAAAAATTAAGGTTATCAATTATGTGGAAACTAGAATTGAAATAATTAAGGTGAATTTCTAAATTATTTCTAAACACAAGAAATCTAAATTAAAATGTCAAAATAGTTTTATTAAATGTTTAATAATTAGAAGCTTTATAATTTTATCACTTAATTATTAATATAGAATAATAATTTATAAAATTGTTTTAAAAATATGTCTTGAATATAATTTATTAAGATTGTATTATATGATAGGAAATAATTGAATTAAGAAATAGTAATAATTTTAGTATTTAATAATCAATTAATTCATATAATATTTATTCAAGAGATATGATTTTGAAATATAGTTTTTGGAAATATTTGATTTTAAAATATATATATCAAAAGTAATTAATTTATATATATGTATATCTGTAAAACAGGAATAGTATTATTAATGATCAGAATTGGATAATGTCAGGATCAGACTATTTCACCTAGTTAGGATATAAATGGGACAGCATTATCAATGTTCTTTATATTCTTTTTTTTGGGGATTGGATCATTCATGAAAGAGATTAATAAAAAATTAAAGGTATATATATGATAAATGATGTAGATTCCATTTTCTCCAATGCTGTTTGTTTTAGGATTGTTTTTTGGATTTTATTGGGATTCATTGGGTATCATTGGACAAAGTTGCAAAAAAATTAGCGAAATTGAACCGGTACTAATTTAGGGATGTATGTTTTCAGATCGGAGTGTTATTAATCTTTCTACCAACGTTAATTTATGAATCTGGATACAATTTCGATTGGCACTTATTCAAGAGACTGTTTGCTTAGACTGCAATATTAGCTTTTCCTTGCGTGATAATATTATCTACATTATTGTAATTGTCTGTAAAAGTATTACTAAACTATGGGGATGACTATTTTACTTGGGAAAGTGCTTTCATGTTTGGTGCAATGTTGAGTTGTACAGATACGGTTGCAGTATTGGCGTTATTAAAAGAGAGTGGAGCATAGAAGAAATTTTAAAGTTTAATAGAAGGAGAGAGTTTATTGAATGATGGAGCATGTGTAATGTTATTTTAGATATCATATGGGATAGTTAGGGGAAGATCTGCATCAGCATTTGATGTAGGATCTTTATTTTTTACATTATGTGTAGGTGGAACATTGATAGGATTAGTATTTGGAATGGCATGTGTTTATTGGATAAAGAAAATAGCAAATGATGAAATACTGGTATTAAATATAACAATAGTCTCAGCCTTTTTAGTATATTTTATATCTGAGAATGTTGATTTTGGAGTACACATATCTGGTGTATTAGGATTGGTATCATTAAGTTTATTTATGGCAGCATTTGGAAGATCTCGTATATCTCATGAAGCAGATCATGCATTAAGAGAATTTTGGGAATATGTTGTATTTGCAAGTGAGGTTATCATTTTTATTTTGGGTGGAATTATTGCAGGAATTAGAGTATTTAAGGATGAAAGTGAAATAACATAATTAGATTTTTATAAAATGATTGCTCTTTGGTTATGTTTAATGGGATGTAGATTTATTTCTATTGCAGTATTCTATCCTTGGCTTAAAAAACTTGGTTATGGATTAACATGGCCATAGATATTAGTTTTAACATATGGTGGATTGAGAGGATCTATAGGTATTGCCTTTGCTTTAATTGTTGCTAAAGATGAATCATTACCAACTAAATGGAGAGATATTATTTTATTTCATATGTCAGGAATTGCTGTTTGTACTCTTGTAGTAAATGGTACTACTCTCTCTTTATTAATTAAATTATTGGGATTATCTACATAATCTGATATAAGAGAAAAGATATATTCTAATTTCTTAACTAAGTTGAATGAAGAAATTGAATATGAATGTAAAAAAAATAATGAATTAAAATATTTAAAAGAAGCTGATGTTGAATATGTTAAAACTCTTAGTGGTTATAAAGTCTATTAATCAGATTGTAATAAAATTATTGATAAATTGGCTAAACATGAAAAGGCATAAAAAGAAATACAAATGAAAAATATTCATTAACCATTAATGGATGATGAAGAAGATTAAGAATTAGATTAAAATCTATTGACAGAAATCAGAAGAATCTTTCTTATGGCATTGAAGGGTATCTATATGGAATAATTTGAATCTAATTAATGTAGTCCTGATACAATTATTCTTTTGACTGAAAGTGCCAATTTAGATCTTGATAATGATAAAGAACCTATGAATTCATGGGAATTTTTATAGAGTTAATTTTCAGAAAGATACATTAATTTATTATTTTATATGAAAGATAAATTTCTAATTGGTATTCTAGCTAGAAATCAATTATTTTCATATATCTATACAATTTATGATGCTGTTTCTGTTTATATTGAAGCTATTAAAATATTAAAAGAGGAGACATCACATTATCATTTTTCATAAAATTTATTATTAGAAATTTTGAATGAAGTAGAAGATAATAAAAAATCAGCAGTATCATATTTGGAAGGATATTTAGAAGTATCATTCCCTGAGATTTCAAGAGAATTACATACAAAAAAAGCTGCTTTTGAAATATTAGAATTTGAAAAATCTGTATTAAAAAATAATCTTCAATCTGGTTAATTAAATGATAAGGAATTTTTAAGAATGAAAAGAAATATAGATAAAAAAATGAAAAATTTAAATGATTTAAATCCTCCTTGGTAAATGCCTTCATTAATTGATATATTTACATAACATGAATTGTTTAAATCTCTATCATCAGCAAATATAATTAAATTATTAGAAGGTTCTAGAGAAGATTCATTTGGTAGAGATCAATTGATTTTTAAAGAAGGAGATAGAGCTAGTGAAATATGTATTATAACTAGAGGAGCTGGAAATGAATTTAGTGATAGATCAAAAATAAGAGAGAGACGAGCTTTGAATGAAGTTACACCAATTTATATGTTAGTGGCTCCTTCAATTAGATATTAAACATCATTAGTTGCTGATTGTGTCATTAATGCCACTTTTATTAAGATATAAACTATGCAAACAATAATGAAACAAATTCCAGAGTTTGAAGAAGCCATCTGGAGAAACTCAATACCTCTTTTATGTAGAGTATATTATGATCAATTAAAACCATTATGCAATTTAAAAATCAATTAGATTACAGAGATAGTATCAAAGTCAGTGTTTTAGAAGATTAAGAAAAACTAATTAATCAGATTTGAATAAGGAGGAATATTATTAAAAGGTATTAGCGGTTTTGTCATAAATTAGGTACATTATGTGAGGGAAAGGAAAGCATTTAGGAAGCATCTTCAGAAGATGAAGACGCATTAAAGAATTAAGAAGAAGAGAAGGACTCAACATAGAGAGATGCTCTATGTTTGATCAGTCCTACATCTTCACCATTAAGAGCCAGAACTGGAATAATAGTTTTATTATTCAAGCAATATTAACTGCTTGAATAATATAATTAATTGAATCAGAATATTAATGAAGGAGGTAAGCTTTCAAATAGAAGATCGAGTAAATCTGATTTATAAAAAAGATCTTTGACAGCTATACATTGAAGAGTTAGATTTTTTTTATTAGAATAACTTTAATTATTTAATGATATTCTTGTCAACATTGATCAAGGTTGCCTCAGTTGCTACAATTATCTTGCTGGCTGGTGGATCGACTTATTATTATTTATAGAATGAGAATAATAGTAAGGTGGAGACAAAACATTTAAAGGGAAATCATGCACATAACACACATTTTCTTCATGGAAAAATGGAAGATTAAGATTTGCATATTTGCAATCATGGTCACTTTATTAAGGATATAGAAATTGAAGAGCCAGAACGTCCAACTGATATTCCTTTAGAGGCTAGGTTATCACATGAATAAATGCTAATTAAGAATCATAAATAAGGAAATTGGTAAACAATCAGAATAAAGACTGATTATTCATCATTTTAAGTATGAGATAGATATTATGATTATTAGGCATCATAATAATAAGCTGATTTCATTGAGAATAGATTAGTGAAAGCAGCAACTGGATTCTTAAAAGCCGCCATAAAAGTGTATCCATCATCCAAGTTATTTTTGAGTGGATAATGTGGTACAGTAACTATCCCAAGTTCATATAAAAGTGGAGTGACTGGAGTTGATTTGGTATTATTCGTCACAGCCACAACTTCATAAGAGTCTTGGGTAGCAAGAGCAGGAGCATGTAGATTGGATCCAACAACATTAAGACCTACAGCTGGTTCATTAGAATTCAATCTTAAATATTTTAATCAACTAGATTTTAGTAAGTTAAGTGAAGGTAAATGGTTTAAATGGATTTAAACTACAATCCATGAAATGACTCATGTTCTAGGATTTAGTAGTGGATTATTCCCATATTATATTGATCCTAATACAATGTAGAAGTTAGGAGTTACTTAAATAGTTAAGACATATGGAGGAAGAGATTGGATTATTTTGCCTAAAGTAGTTAATGCTGTCAAGAGTCATTTTGGATGTTAATCAGCCTGGGGAGCTCCATTAGAAAACAATGGAGGATAAGGAACAGCAGGAAGTCATTGGGAAAGAACTAGTTTTGGTAATGAAGCTATGACTGGATCTGAATTCCCAGATTCAGTATTCACACTATTCACTTTCAATTTACTTGAATCCACAGGATGGTATAATATGGATCATAAGTAATCTGAACCATTCAATTGGGGAAAGGATGAAGGTTGTCCTATTGCTCAAGGACAATGTGTAAAAGGATTGAGAGAATTCTGTACAGCAGGTAGTGATGGATGTTCTTCTGATTTTACTGGTATTGCAACATGTTCATAAAGTGATGTATTAACTGATGGATGCGGATATTGGAGAGCTTATGGTAATTCTGATTGTAGATATAACTCTGATTTTACAAGTTAATTGGCATAATATGGAGGATATTATGGAAATGATGGCAAGTGTTTCTATACAACTTTACCTACTAAAATAGGATTCTAAGGAGTGGTTTCTGATTGTTTTAAAGCTGTTTGTTAAGATAATGTTGTAACATTTTCAATTTCTAACAAGAGTTATTAATGTGTTACATCAGGATAAGTATTTATTTAAATATATATATATTAGACAATAAATGTTAAATATTCCTATTACAGTGCAACAGTCACTTGTCCAGATGTCAAGCATTTCTGTAATACCCAAAGAATTTGCCCTAATGCTTGCAGTGGGGTTGGTACATGTAGAGGAACCACATGTTATTGTTGGTCTGGATTTAGTGGAGCCGATTGTTCTGTATCTTCATGATTATCATCAACAACAATCAATTCAATTTATATCATTTTATAATTCTTTATTTTATTAAATAGTTTATTAATTATCTTTGTTTTCCATACTTTTGAAAACATTTTAAGTTTTTATATGATTTTTATTTTAGGATAATCAAATTATAGCAAAAGTAAAAGAAAATTAAATTTTAATCATTTACACTTATTTCAAAATCCTGGAATATGATGAATCTATAGATTTATTAGAAATGTAGTGTCAATTCTGTTGTTAATCCTTTAGATGAGATAAAAATCCTACTGGATTGTAATAAATAATTTTTCATTATCTAAAGATTAATTAATTATTAGATTACTTTAAACATTAAGTAAATATATAATCAATGAATTAAACATTTTTATTGTAATTCAATTGATTAGACTAAATAACTCTTCAATTTAAATTGCTTATATAAATAATGTAAAATTATAAATGATTTAATATTTCAATATTGAAACTTAGAATATTATAGGTTAATTTTTTACAAATCATGACATCATTATAAATGAAAGAGGTCCTTGTGTTGGGACAAAGAAATTATCTCTTATTGAAATAGCTCTATTCGGAGTTTATGAGGTCATTCTTCTCCTATTAGGACTAGGTTATTGGCTTTTGTGAATTTATATTTATTAAAATTTAATATCTGATTGATCTTCCCAATCATTTGCAGATGTACTTAGTTTTCTTTAATTTATGCAATGAATATCTAACTTTAATAATTCTTTTTAAGGAGCATGAGGTTTATTTTCAATGAAGTTATTAACAATAGGTTGCATTTGAAATGTAATTTTCTATTCTATTTCTTCAAAATTAAGAGTATTTATTTTCTACTGTAATTCCCCAGGAAGTTAGATTAATTTTTTAATTTCTAAAAATCTTTTAACTTATTTAATTGCTCTTATCCTTTTAGCTTAATCATCTTATTTATTGAGAGATTCATATAAGAATATGATATCTATTATTAATTTAATTGTAATGCATTTTATTATGGGCACTTCTAACTTAAGAATGAGAACTTCAAGTTATCTATGCATTTTATAAAGTATATTGATCTGTTCATAATTGTTAGAGAAACTCTTAAGATAACTACAATAGAGAAATGCTACACTTTAGAGTACAGCATCAGCCGTACTTTTTTATGACAGTTCAATTGTTTTATCTGTTACATAGGGAGCTAAATAAAGCTTGAGGACATGAACTAGATAGTAGGACTTAAGAGCAGTTATTGTTTATTGAGGATGCTACATTCTTAGGGTGATTTTCTTAAGAGCCTCTTAAGAGTTTACATTATTTAATTCTCCACTAAGACATTTTGAAAGAGTCTATTATAATAGGTTTTGGTACAAGTATATGTTTTTATTTTGGAGTATCATCAATCAAACATTTAAGCCAAGATGTCTCAACCATATCCTTATTTAATATTCTCATATTCCGCTTAATGTTATTGAACATTTATATACAATATATAATTATTAGATTATAAAACAAATTAGATTGCATACAATAATATAAAATAACTTGTTCCATTAATAATATTTTCATATAAGTAATGAATAAGGAAAATAAATAATCTCTTTAAATTTACATAAACCTATTTTAGTTTCAATCAAATTAAAACAAAGAAGATTAATTATATTAATATTTTCATATGGTTATCAAAATATGATACTAAGAAAGTATGATTAAATTACCAAATTATTATAATAAACAATTAAATGAAAATTTATCATAAAGTGTAAATAATGTAATAGTACATATATACTAAATTTACTATTACATTATGATATTGCAATAAAAGATATCTAATATAAGATAGATTGATATAATTAAAAGCAGTAAATTAATTAATATAAAATAAATTTCATTTTTTTAATAAAATACTTCTTGATTTATCTTACATCAAATAATAAATTGATTCAATAACATGAGTTAATATTACAATTAATAAACCAGAATTATTAGAATTATTAGAATAAAACTTATTTTAATTAGTTTTAATGAATTTATTTAGAATTTTTAATTAAATTCATTTAATATTATTAGTTTATTAATATGAATCACTAATTAATTATTCAATAAATACATTAAAAAATATAAAAGATATATTTAAATGATATTTTTAAAAAATACATCAATTTGATTATTTTGAATCTATTCTAATCTATTTTAGATTCTTATCTCCATCTATTTATTCTTAAAATTAGTTTTATATTCTTTATAGAATTACATTGATTCTTATTTTCAATGACATCATTTTATTTAAGAATAGGATCAAATCTAATTAAGATTTCTAAGTTAAGATTATTATTTTCAGACAATCTTTAATATCAATCAAAGAAGAAAGATGTTTAGTTATTGCATTAAAAAATTATATATTTATTAATGGGGAACCATAATTCATTTTATTCAGAAAACCTTCAAGAAATTTATAAAATGCAAATGGTAATGTTCACTAATTATCCTTAGATGTAATGGTATGTTGGAGTAGAAAAAGAAGTTTAAAAATTAGGATTTAATGTAAATGTAAGATCAGACCATTTTCATAAACAAAACTTTATGCAATTATATACAATCGTTAAACCATAACATGAAGAAATTGTTACTATGAGTACTACAGAATCCTTATTTGCTACAGAGTTTGAAAATATTAAGAGATCCAAGAAAACTCTGGATCCTTTTAAAGAATTCTATGTTACGACTCTGATATAGGATAATGATCCCTCTTTATAAGAGTTTGAAAGATAAGTGCTTTAATAGTTATCTACATTAAATGGTTGTTTGTTGGAAATTTTTTAAACTTTTAGACAAACTTAACTGCCTAATTGCAGTAAAGAATTGGATTAATTTATTGTTATGTTTCGAGATTCATTTGTTTAAGTATATAATTCTATATATATATATATTAGATCTTAATTCATTACTATGATTTGAATTTATTTGCTTCATTAAACAAATGTAATTTCTTAAATACATCATCTCTTTAATGTTTAGTATCCAATATGATATTTAATGATTAAGTTGCCTCACATGTTTACTAAATCAAAAAGTTAGAATAAATCTAAGAAAATGAAAAAATACACAATAAATTATAATTTCTAAAAGAGAAAACATTAGCTGATTTTGGAATTTCTATTAAATATTGTTTAGATTGTACAACCAGAGAGTATATTTAGAGTAAACTATCATCAAAAGCTAACACATGTTGTTAAAGTTAATAAATTACAAAGAAAGATACTTTTGAAACACTAATTATTGAAGATGTTGATTCTACTTAATTACCTTCAAGACCATAAGCTAAATTATTATAAGGAACATTTTTCTTATAATCTCCATTTTAAAATGCTATTGAAGCTCTAAAATTGATATAATTTAGATAAACACCTCATCATAAGGTTAAATAATTAGTCGCTTGTTTCAGAAGTATCTATTCTGCCATCATAGATTATTACAATTAATATACAAAATAACCATCAATAATAAGCACAGATGAAATGATACCAATTTTTCATTATGTACTTTGTAAGTCTTCACTATAAAATCCTTACACACACTTTGAAATTATGTAAAAGTATTTAGGCAATCTAGATGGACTTGAAGGATTCTATTTAGCTATAATGGAAGCAGTATTTAACATAGTCTGATATCTTAATGATTATTCATATTTTTTCTCTTAACAATTTTTATAAATTATAATATAAATATATATATTTTTAGAATTAAAGAATATTTGAATAATTTTGTAAGAATTTAATCAAATAATAGTTATTTAAATTAATGAATATTAATATAAAATTTGTTTAGAGTCAATCAAAATCTATAAAATTAGATGTTAATATGAATAAACTATAATACTAAAATAAAAATATTATATTAAGGATATTATTCGAAAAAGATATTTAATGAAGGAATCTTAAAAATATAGAAATTTCAATCTATTTGTTAAAATAATTTTCTAATAAACTATTCATAAACATTTATGATTATTACTTATAAACAATTAATTCTAAATTTATAATTTTTTTATTAATTATTTGTTTTATCAAATATATTTGATATTATGTAAAAAGAAATTTATTCCAGACTTAATTAATTCTTCCAAAAAATAGAAAATTTTGATTTGAGGTAAAAAGTTATTTATAAGAGACTTTCTGAGGTAGAGGAATTTTAGAATTCATTTATTAAATTTCTATAACAAGATGGATCATTTTCTTATACTAAACTTAGTGATATAATATCACAAACTCAATAATAAAATCCTTTAGATAAATAAAACAATTCATTAATAATAGAATTAGAATAAAATTTTAATAATCAATTAAAGCTTATATAAGATTAAATTTAATAAATTAACAAGAAAGAGGAATTAGAATAAAGCTGGAAAGATAAAATTGATAAGGATATTAAAAATATATCAAAATTAATAGAAGAAATTTAATAATAGAAATAATAGATTAAAAATATTGATAATGAAAGAAATTTGTAAAATTTGAAGAATCCATAACCAATAAAAAGTGTTATTTTAGATATTTATTCTAAAACCACTAAGAGTAGAGTAGTTTAAGGTGAATTTTAATATTTTATACATTAAATATAATCATAAAGTGAATTAGGAAAATATTATAATTTAAAATTAGATTAGAAAAAAAAAATATATTCATAAATCTCAGGGTTTAGATAAGTAAGAGGAGATGGGAATTGTTTTTATACATCTTTTGGATATCAATATTTATAATTATTAATTGATTAATATGATTAGAATGAATATGATTAATTTTTGAATTCAGTCATTAAAAAAATGAGATTTAGAATTTAATATCCAAAAAATAAAATAGAAGATGAAATTACAGAAACTAATTTAAGAGAAGATTTCATTAAAAGATTAAACTTTATAAGAGATATAAAAAATAAAGAAATGAGAATAAAAGAATTAGATAAACAATTTAGAGCTTATGAATAAGAAGATGAATTAGTTGATGGATGTTTTTATGCTTTATCAACTATCTTCTTTAGAAATTTAAGCTTATATTTTATAGATTAAAGTGAATATAAAGGCAATTTCTAAGAAAAAGATACTCTGTTATAATGGGAAGTTGAATGTAACAATAATGAAATAGTAATTGCTTTATTAGCTTAATAATTGAAGATGTAATCATATATAATAATTTTAGTAATATTTGTGTATTCTTTTTTGATAATTAACAATTTTAGTTGATGGAATATAATAAAGAAGCTAATTAAAAAATTATTTTATTATTATAACCAGGACATTATAATATTGGAATTCCTAAAATTGAAGAATGAAAATAATATATGAGAATATATGTATTAAGTTTATTATTTTTATTTATTTCTATTAATTTTTTTGATCTATAATTATGTTCAAAGTAAATTCAAATATCAATTACCCACATAGATTTATTTAATCTGCTATAATTGAAATTGTTCATTGTAGAAAAAGGATAATTATAACGAGGTTTACTCTTAATTCTTTAAGTTTTAATAATAGGGACTCCAATGTTTGAAACAGGTAATTTATAATAAATTTAATCTTTATTAGTTGTTTTAAAGTCATGGACAGTTTTATTTAATTTATCCTTAGTTTTTATAATTTTGAATGGAGTATTAGATAAATTCATTATATATTTCTTTTTAACTTATTGAGTTTTTGATCTTCTAGATGTTTTTGGTTTATATTAATAAAAATTAGTTTCAGTCTTTCCCATTTACCTATTTAGAATATCAATTGCAATCGATTCATCCAATTTATGTAAATCCTTTAAGTTTAAACTTTATCTCATTTATTTTTCTATTCTCCATGTTTAATTAGTAACATTTGATATATCAACAGAATTCTTTTTTTTTTCTTCATATATATATTCTTTTTAAATATATTATTTAATATTAATTTATCTTGGTTCAGTTAAATATTGAAATTTCAATTCTTACTTATTAGCTATAAATTTAATAGTTTTATTTTTTTTATCAGATTCTTTGATTATGTGAATTTATTTCAATAATTTTTATGTATCAGATGTATTTAAAATTTGACTACCCGTTTGATCTGTTCGTGTTGAAAGCTATTTAGAAATGCTTTATTATAGACGAGCAGATAATTAATTTATATTTTGCATATTTTTATATGAATTATAAAAGTATTTATGTTTATAATAAATAAATAAATTTTATTTTTTAAATAATTAGATCATCTTTATTTTTTTGTAAGTATTTTTTTTATATTTTTAGGAAGTTTTGTTTTTCTTTTTTCTCTTTTTTCCTCTTTAACTTTCAATTTTCTTTCTTTTTTTGTAAGTCCATCATATTTACATAATCCACCCTTCTTTTTTTTTTCACCATCTTCATTTTAATTTTCAGGATCCTATTCTTAATCATCATCATTATCACTTAATAAAGATACATCAGATGATGAATCTGAATTACAATCTTAATCATCCTTATTTAATTCATCATCATCTTCATTTGAATCTTCATTATCATCCAATTCATTTCCATCATTTAATTATTAAAGTTCTAAATTTGCATTCTAGAAATCTGCTATTGTTTTACCAATACTCTCTCCACCTTTTTTAAATGCATTCAATTCAGATTCTATTATTTTTTATGGTAAATCATTCAAATTCTTTGGTTATATAGCACCAACAAAAACTTTATCTTATTCTTCCTCCAAATCTTCATTGATCTATTCTCTTTCTTCTTACATTCTCTCTAATTCTTCATTGATATTTTAAAGATGAGGATTTGTAATAAATTTATACAATTATCTAAGAGTAAATGTCATGATATCCTATAATAATATTATATATATATATATACCTTTTTCTTAAAATATTGATTGATATTATAAATATCCCTTTTTAAAAATTCAGATGCACTATGATGATCACTTTCCATACTTTATGATACATCTATAAAGTATACTTTATTCTTATAATATAATAGATTGTATTCACTCAAATCACCATGTATTAATTTACATTCTTGATATAATATCCTCATGCATTTTACAACTTACATGTAAGCATCTTCATAAAGTACATCTGTTGCATCTTTTAATCTAGGAGCAGGAGTCATATCTTCACCTATAAATCTCATTACTATAATATTGCTCTTAACAGAAATAGGTTCTGGACATGGTATTGATGATTGAAATATTCTTTTATAATTTCTTAACTCTTTTTCTGCCCATAATCTTACCATTTTTCTTGGGTTTGATTTACAATGACCATTTCTAAAACGAAATTCACCAGATACATATTTATCTCTATCTTTAAATACAAGAATTGAAGTCTTATAAACTTTTATTGCATATTCTAGATTATTAAAATCCCATCCATGATAAACATTAGCCTCTTTACCAGTTGAAATACATCCATTTATTTCTTTTAAGAACTTATTATTAATCATTTTCATCAGAATAACTCTTGTTCTTGGATCCAAACATTATTCTACTGTAGCTCTATCTTCTTTATCTTTGATTCTAGTCTGTCGATATTCTCTTTTTGATCTCCTATCTTCATAAGCATATTCAGGATCATCAGGTATCTCTTTTTATTGTGTTTCTTCTTCCTCTTATTCATGATAAGTTTTCTCAGCCTCTTTGGTAATTTAAGCCATTAAATAAAAAATTATAATTTATGATTATTTAAAAAACCATGTTCATTATCTGAGATGAGATTGTAATTTCTTTAATCAAATCATATAAGAAATAGAATTTATCAGTCTGGATTGAATATATGATAACTAAAATGCAAAGCAATATCATTAAAGATGAAGCAACTATCATTTTGTAAATAATTTACAATTTATTTACATATGATGGAATTTTCATTATAGAAAAATCAATATCAAATTGAAAGATAATTCATAGGATATACATTATTATTAATTATAGGGATGGATTATCAATGTTGTAAAATTTAGTATAATTTCGCTCTAAACTATTAGAAACAAGATTTTTATTTATTACTTTACATAATTTTAATAAAAAAAAAGAAGTGTAAAGCATAAATTACAAAAATTTTAATTATCTGATTTGTGAATAAAATAGGTATGATGTAAAATTATTGAATTAAATTTGTTAGTAATTATCAATTTCTTAATCCTATATTATAATGACCTGGTTAAATTAGTAAAATTATTTCATATTCTTAATTTTCTTCATATTATCTTAATTCAAATTATCCTGCTTAAAAAAATAATAATTTGATATTTCTATATAATTATAATAGAATACATTTTTAATTGTTATGCTAAAGTAGCTATTATTATTTCATTATTATTACACTCAGTTTCCCAAGTGATTAAATTTATTCTATCTTCAACATAAGTTTTCATGTCACTATATTCTAAGAGTTGATTACTAAGGTTTCTAAAAAATATAGTAGATAAAAAATAAAGGCATCCATTTCCATTATTCGAAATTTCAACTTCCCTAAATTATTGATAAATTGTATTTATTCTATCTTGCTAATTTTAGATTTTTCTTATTTATTAAAGAATATAAAGAAATTATTCAAGCAAGAGTTATTCAATTTTTTCATCATCTATTTAGAAATTTTCGTAATTAATCTTAAATTAAATTTTTTATTCCTTTACAAAATTGAAAAATTCATTAAATTAATTATCATCAAATTTTATTAGTAATAAATTCAAATATTAAAAACCAAATGCAGTATAAAAACAATTTCCATCCCCACGTACATATAATATTTTCTAACAATATTTTTTTAGATTATTTTTAACTGCTAGTTATTTAATAGAATAATGAGAAAATAATCCAGATATTTCATCGTATTATTAAAGATAATAACTGTAATTTTATTCTACTTTCCTCATTTAAGATGAAATTTAAGTTAATGATTTAGCTAATTCCACTGTTTTATCTAATCTTTTTTAATCAAATGTTATTTAATACGCTTTTGGTTATTTATTTTACTAATCTATATTATCTTTTTATTTATTTTATTCATCTATATTTTATTGTTATGGTTATTACTACTCTATATTTTATTACAATTTATATTACTATTACTATTTGTTTTATTATTTAAATTAATAATCTATATCTTCTGTTTATTTATTTACTTAATTTATATTTTATGTTTATTTTTATTATTTATCTATATTTTATTACTATTGATATTACTATTACTATTTATTTTATTATTTTAATTGTAAATCTATATCTTCAGGTTATTTATTTACTTAATTTATATTTTATGTTTATTTTTATTACTTATCTATATTTTATTACTATTGATATTACTATTACTATTTATTTTATTATTTTAATTGTAAATCTATATCTTCAGGTTATTTATTTACTTAATTTATATTTTATGTTTATTTTTATTATTTATCTATATTTTATTACTATTGATATTACTATTACTATTTATTTTATTATTTTAATTGTAAATCTATATCTTCAGGTTATTTATTTACTTAATTTATATTTTATGTTTATTTTTATTATTTATCTATATTTTATTACTATTGATATTACTATTACTATTTATTTTATTATTTTAATTGTAAATCTATATCTTCAGGTTATTTATTTACTTAATTTATATTTTATGTTTATTTTTATTATTTATCTATATTTTATTACTATTGATATTACTATTACTATTTATTTTATTATTTTAATTGTAAATCTATATCTTCAGGTTATTTATTTACTTAATTTATATTTTATGTTTATTTTTATTATTTATCTATATTTTATTACTATTGATATTACTATTACTATTTATTTTATTATTTTAATTGTAAATCTATATCTTCAGGTTATTTATTTACTTAATTTATATTTTATGTTTATTTTTATTATTTATCTATATTTTATTACTATTGATATTACTATTACTATTTATTTTATTATTTTAATTGTAAATCTATATCTTCAGGTTATTTATTTACTTAATTTATATTTTATGTTTATTTTTATTATTTATCTATATTTTATTACTATTGATATTACTATTACTATTTGTTTTATTATTTAAATTAATAATCTATATCTTCTGTTTATTTATTTACTTAATTTATATTTTATGTTTATTTTTATTACTTATCTATATTTTATTACTATTTTTATTACTATTACTATTTGTTTTATTATTTTTGAATATACTAATCTTTATAATTTGACTAGTGATCAATTTTTTTTATTAATTCCTTTTCTTAAGATTATTAAAAATTGGAATACATATTGCCTTCCTTTTTTATTGTGTTGTTATTTTTTTTATTTTTAGTAGTTTTAACTTATTATTGTGTCAATTACTGGTTATAACTGTTATTCTGAATTTTTTTTTAATATTTAACTGGTGTTTAAAAATAATTGTTTTTCTCCTATTTTAGAATATTTTAATTATATGGAGATTTTGTAATTTTAGACTTATTTTCAATAGATTGTGATTTATTTTTTTTTTCTGATTTTTATTCTTACTTTAATAGACGAGATATATGTAGTTTTTAATTATTTTGTGTTAAATTTTTGTTATTTTTATAAAGTTAATATGATCTTTGAGGAGACGATGAGTTCTAATATTTAATAGGGATTTAATTCTTTTAAATTTTTTGATGATGGATTATATTATCATTTTATAAGATAATTTGTGCAATATTTTAAGGAGAACCCTTTAAATTTTTTTATTATTATTTATTTTGTTTATGATAATTCTCTCTTTCATGAGCTTAAAACAATTATTGTTATTTTTTTTAATCTATATTATAATTTGGTGAACATGTTTGGACGCTTCTTTTTTTTTTGTTACTGTCACAGTAATTCTAGAAACTTGCTGTTACTTTCATATAATGAGGTGTAGGATTTTTTTTTTAAGACATTTTTTTACACTATTAATAATAAATAAAATTTTATTAATTAATAAATTTAACAACATCATTTTATGAATAATAATTGGTTTTATTCAAATCAAATATTATTTTCAATATCAATTTCCTTATTTCTGAAATATACTTCTATTCCTAATTTATAGAAATTTTCGTTATTTTAATCTATTAAAAGAATCATAAATTGTTTATTATGCAAAATTTTATGTATAAAAGAATATCATCAAGTAAGAATGCTTTTACTTAACTAATTTTATTGTTTATTTATAATATTTAATTTTATGATACTCATTATGAGACTGTATAATGTTCTGGACCAAGTATAACCTTTTTACCATCTAATGTAAATTCAATATTTTATTGTAAATTTGGTAATACTAATAATGTTCTTATAATTGTATCAACCTCCTTTTCATTATATGTTTACTAAGAAATAACAATTAATTTATACCAACAATTATTATTTATTGAAAACTGGAGAATATTTAGTAATTAAAATGCTAAATTTATGGTTATCTACATCAGTGACTTCTTTGCCAATAACATCTAAAAATTAGTGTTTATAATTCGATGAGAATATAGGTTTTTTAATTTAGTTTTTAATCCATGCAATTTCAGATTGAATTGCATTTGATAATTCAGATTCAGCTTCAAATTAATAAAAGATAAGAATTTTATCTTCTAATTATATACCAAGTCTTTTTCTTAATTTTTAGATTCTATTAGTGAATTCTCTTGCCAATCCAAGATTTTTGAGTTATTGAGTCTATGAAGGATCCACAATAATAGAAAATCCCTCTTCAGTTGCAAATAATAGTTATTTATGTTTTTCAGTGTTAAATTAATCAGTTATTTTAACATGTTTTAATAATAATTCGCAATCCATTTCTATTTCAATATATTCAACATTCTTTTTACCCTTTTTAACTTTAGGATCTGGTTATTGTTAAACTTATTATTCTTCAACTTTTTTTTCTTTCTTTACTTTAACTTTAAGTTACAATTTTCCATCTGTTTTGAGTGTACGTATTTATTCTTAAGTGAAATTACGAATTTATTAAATTAAATCTGGTCCAAATTTATCTTTCAATTCTTATCCACAAATTTTATTATCTGGTTCAGCCTTAAGTTAAATATATTATTCTATATTCTTTTCAACTAAGACTGAAGGAGTGTTAATTTCCTCTTCTATATATTTTGATAAGAATTAAACACTTTAAAGTAATTATTCATCTGTAGCTAATATTGTCAAACTATTAACTGGTTATTTTAGACTAATTTTATGAGTTTCTCTTAATTTTCTAGCAGATTCAACAACAATTTACATTTTTTCAACTTAAGATTCAATTTTAGGATCAATCAATTCCTTTCTGACTTCAGGAATTTAAAGGAAATGAATTGAATCTTAATTATTTTTACCTTATGGAATACATTTCTTGAGATTTTGATAAAATGATTCTGTAATGAATGGGACATATGGAGACATCAAAAGTGTGATTTTTAAAAGTACATCAAATAATACATTTAAACTTACAACCCATTCTTAATTACCTTAATCTCCCTTAATTCTACTTCTATTTAATCTTACATACCAATTAGTCAATGTATCTAAATAACTAATTAATCTAGGAACTATAGTATAAAGTCTATATGCTTCCATTTCATTTCTAACAAATTCAACTAATGTTTAACTACTAGATACAATCCACTTATCCATAGTATTATCACCTTTTGTTATAGTATTTTCATCAAATTCAAACTTGCCTATAACACTTTCATATCTTTGTACATTTTAAATTAAAAATCTATAAGCATTATACCATGGTAAAAATACATTCTTAATAACGTCTTAAACTCCATCCTTGCTGAAATTTAATGCTTAAGCTTTAACCAATCCACTATTAATTAGGTACAATCTCATAGCATCAGCACCAAATTAATTAATAATTTCAACTTCAGGATCAGGATAATTCTTTTTACTTTTTGACATCTTTTCACCTTTTTCATTTAATACAATTCCATTTACAATTAAATTCTTATAAGGAGTATCATCACGTAAAGCTGTTGCAATAACATTCAATGTATAGAACCAACCTCTTGTTTAATCTAATCCTTCAGCAATAAAATCAGCTGGGAAGATTTTTTCAAATAACTCTTTTCTTTCAAATGGATAATGTTATTAAGCAAAAGGCATAGATCCACTCTCAAACCAACAATCAAATACTTCTTCAATTCTTCTTAATACACCTTTACCTTATTTGCTTGGAATTGTAATATGATCAATATATTCTCTATGAAGATCTGTTATATTATCAACACCAGAAAGTTACCTCAATTCTTCAATAGAACCAATACAAACAATTTCTTCAAAATCATCACTTACCCAAATTGGTATAGCATTACCCCAAAATCTATTTCTACTGAAACACCAATCTTATGCATCATCTAACCAATTATTAAATCTTCCCTCTTGAATTGATTATGGTACCCATCTAGCCTTTTTATTGTTAATAACAAGTTTATCCTTAATTGCTGTAACTTTAATAAACCAACAATTAACTGCCTTATAAATTAATGGAGTTTAAGATCTCCAACAATATGGATAATTATGTTGAACTTATCCATCCTTTATTAATCTACCATTATTTTTAAGTGTTTTTCTAATTTCTTTATCTGCATCTTTTACTTACATTCCTGAGAAATCTTTAACTGATTCCAAAAATCTTCCACTTGAATCAATAGGTACCAATGGATCAGATGGAGTAATAATGCCAGCCTTTAAACATGTTTTATAATCATCATCACCAAAACCAGGTGCACAATGTACAATACCAGTACCATCATCACTAGTTACAAAATTGGCAGCTAAAACTCTATAACATCCTTATTCTTTTCTTTCAGGAAAGTAATTGAATAATGGAACATATTCAATACCAACCAATTCAGAACCCTTGAATTTTTACACTACTTCATACAATTTAGCATCATTATACAATTCAACAATTCTTGATTCTGCTAAAATGTAATGAGTATTTGATTCTTTATCAAGTAATTTCACATAATCAAAATCTGGATGAACAGCTAAAGCTAAATTACTAGGTAATGTCCATGGAGTTGTTGTCCAAGCCAAAAATTTAGTTGTCTCATCATTAACTAAAGGAAAAGTAACAACAATAGCTGGATCCCATACATTCTTATAATTTTATTAGGTTTCAAAGTTGCTAAGAACAGTGGAACATCCATTAGAATATGGCATCACTTTACATCCTCTATATATTAACCCTTTCTCCCACATTTATTTGAAAACCCACCAGACACTTTCCATAAAGGATGTATCCAATGTTTTATAATCATTATCAAAATCAATCCATCTTCCTGTTCTTCCTATTATTCTTCTCCATTCAGATGCATATCTCATTACTATTGATCTGCATTCATGATTATATTTATCAATACCCATCTAAACATTTAATATTTATTATAAACCTTTAAAATATCACCTCTATGTTAAATATTTAGACTTTTATCAATTTCATGTTCAACTGGTAATCCATGACAATCCCATCCAAATCTTCTCTCTACATATCTCCCATTCATTGCAAAATACCTACACACTATATCCTATATTATTTTACAAAATCATACTTTAATTGTACCAGCACACATATGACCATAATGAGGTAATCCAGTAGCAAATGGAGGTCCATCATAAAATGTAAAACGAGGACAATCTTTTGTTAATTCCAATTATTTATGAAAAGCATTGATTTATTCCCAATATTTTAGGATTCTGACTTCTTCTTCAGGGAAATTGGGTCTTTCAACAACTATTAATTAAATCTAAGTATATACCATTAACAAAATCTGTCTTCTGAGCCAGGCACAAAAAAGTTAAGAATTTTTAGATTTTAAATTAAATCCTTTAAATCATGATAAAGAAAGTAATAAGTGTACACACACAATTTATATTTATACTCATAATTCTCCATCATATAGTCCATCATTAAAGTTATCATTTAAATAGAATCGACATGTCATTATTCTTTCTAAAAATACATGTTAATCATCTGCTAAAAATGCAGCCATCATATTTTTATCTTCCTATTTCATACAAGGCATATTTAGTTAATTTTTCACTTGCATGTCTTCCCTCAATTTTCATCTAATTTGCTAACAAAAATTTCTTTTATGAAACCATATTATCCTAACTAAGTCTTAATTTTATATTTGAAATATTCATCAAAATCTTTTGTTGTAACTATATTTGATATCTTTATTTTTCGTCTATCTATTAATAAATATTCTTTTTATTTATGCTATTTAAAAAGATTATTCTACAGACTATATTTTATCGAAGTATATTATTATAATCTAATGAACTAAATCTTAATCTCTCCAAAACTAAATGATTTCTTTATCACTTCTTTTGGATTATAAATGCCCTAATTGTATTTGCCCAACCTCTAAACAAAATTTATATTCAAATTTCTCCATCATTTTCAATGCTTTCTCATATCTTATTTCTATCTCATTATAAGAGGGCTATATTTCTAATTTTATTTGTTATGGATAAGAATGCTCATTTTAAGTATTAGATTGAATTATTTATCTTCTCAATTTAGATCTATATGGATTATACTCTTAAGGCTTATTCATTATTGGAGTTAATTTTTTTGAGTTCTTGTAAATACAAAGAATGGTACCCAACTTTTTATTAAAGTGAGATATGTTCAATTATTATTATAATTAATAAAATAATAAAACTTTTTTAGTTAATTAGTTAGTTTCTATTATAGTTATTATTATTCAAGTTATTACGCTGCTTTTGCCTATGATTATATAATTGAATTCACTAGTAAACTATATTGTGAAGGAATTGCTTCTACTGTTTAAAAAGTTTCTACGTTTTATAATTTTAGCAAAAAGATTTTGCATAGCTCCATTATTCTAAACATTTTGTGAGGTTAAAATTTAAATTTTAGAACTAGATTATGTGCTTTCTAGTTAAAGTCCCTTAAATTCCATTTCATTTAAAATACATTTAAACTATAAATTATTTAAAATTAAGATAATCAATTTTTAATACCAATATTGTAATGTCCAGGCTTAATAAGCAAAATTATTGACCTATTTTTATTTTCATACTCTTTGGAATACTCAAGTACTTAGAACTCTTCACCTGCGAAAAATATTAATTATATGTGTCTAAAATAATTTGATTTTAATACAGTCTAAGATGTTTTGCTAACATTGCAATCACCTGTTCATTACTATTACATTCTTCCTCCCATTTCAATAGGGTTTCTTTATCAACAACATTTTATCCATCTTCACTTTATTCAACTATATGCATGCTTAAATTTCTTAAAAATAGGGTTGTTAATGGTTAAAAATAACCATCCAAATCATCTTACATTTCATGTGCTCTAAATTATCTCACCAATTAATTTGAATAGTGCTCATGTTATTTATAATATTTTTCTAGGTTTCTTAAATATTTTATTCTATCCCTAAATTAATTTAATAACTCTCTTTATTATTCTTCATTTCCAAATGAGATATCATTAAGCTATATCTTAAATGGTATTGTAAAATTTTCTTAAAGAAATTAATCAAATTCTTCATCAGAATACTAATAAATTACAATCTTCATAAATTAATACCCAAAAGAAGTGTAAAAACAATTACCATCACCTCTTACATGTATCATTTTTGTGCAATATTATTATAGTTATTTTTTTATTGATAATTTCTTTATTGAATAATAATTTTATAGATCTCTCTCCTCTAATGTTTCAATTAAATAATATTTTAAATTTTCATCAACATTTCTTTTTCTTGATGAATTATCAAGAAGTTAATTTATTAATTCCATTGATCTTGGTAATGCAAATTGTGACAAATGATTTTATGAATCTACCTTTGATACAATATTAGGATAGCAAATTTCTTAAACAATAATGGCATCAGATTCATTTGGGCTTAATTAATTAGCAGGTTAAGGTTATCTTTTTTACTTTTATTAGGACAGAAGCTTTTTCGCAATAATTACACCAGAAATTATTACAATAACAGCATATTTAACTTTCGTTGACTTAGGTAGATTCCAGAATGTATAAAAGATCTTTTTTATTTACATCTAATAAAAAATATTATAATTAAATCAGGTATATGAAATTCTATTAATTTTATGGATTCATTCATTTTTTTAACTAAATCATTTTTTATTAAATGTATATATATAGTAAATCAAAATATTAAATCTTTATCGATAAATATACTTTATTAATGTGCATCTTTTTAATTTTATTAATGGTTTAAATAGAGGCATAATTAAATTATTAATATTATTTCAAAAATCAACTCGATTTATTTTTTTTCTTAGTCTTAACCCCAAATTTATCTCTAAGTTGCTTATCTATTCTTTGATCAACTTCCATTTACTCTTTTACATCTTAACCTTTCGAATTATCTTTCATTTTCATATATAATAAGTCCAATCTATAGAGACAATCAGAAGGTAAGGGGCATGATTCTAACTCGAGAATATAAGGTCTAAAATAATTGATAATATGACTACCTATGAATTTCGATATCCCAATATGTAACGTTATCAAATTATAAAAATGATGTCCATCTACCTTTAATATTAATATTATATGTATCTAAAATTTCTTAAGGTAAAATTTTTAATTTTATGCCTGAATTAGTTTTATGAGCTTTTAAACATTTTTAAATGCATTCCGGTGTGACCTTACAGACTTTCCCAATAAATTGATCTATCTTTTAAGATGAGGAACTAAAAAACCCAGCATTTTTATCTTTAGGATTGAATGTAATTTCAACTAATAACTGATGTTCAGGTTGGAAACAATAACTTCTTTTATGACAATTAACACTTCTTTATCCTAATAGAACTCCATAAAGCATAAATGGTTAGGCCATATAATAGTATTTGAGATTAGTATTCTAGAAATGTATTTATGAGTGACCTTATTATTCACCAGCCAAACTATTAGTTCCCATATTAACCAAGGGACAGAAAGTTCCAAACAATTTATAACCTCTTCCATACATAATATAATTGGAAATGGGAGGATGATGTGAAGATTATTCTAAATATATAGGACATCCTTTAATCCTTCCTTCAAAGGTTTCTCCAATAATTGGGTTGAATGGTTTTTCTTATTGGACACCCATCATAAAACTTGCCATATGGAATGAGATTGTAAGCTTTAATTATTCAAAAACATCTGTAGTTTGAGCAGCTTTTTCAAGAAAAACAGGAGCATGTCCTTAACCTCTAGCCATTCTTTCTAAAAAAGATCTTGCTTCAAAAACTTAGATAGGTAATGAGACAGACATTAATGATTTTCCACTTAATAAATTTGATCCCATTCTTTTAATTATATCCAATAAGACACTTCTTTAATCACTGATTAATTTTTTATTTGTATAAATTAATCCTCCTTTTTTAGGATCAACTTCATAATATTTAGTCAACAAGAAATGACCTTCTTCTTTGGTAGTTTCTAAAAATTTGTCTAATCCATTAAGTATATTTTAATTAAATTGTCTAGAGATTGATTTTTATATAAATTATCCTGTTTAAACTAGATCTAAAATTTCTTTATATTCCTGAAGTGATTATTATTAATGTTATTCTGAAGTAATTCTTGGTATTTCAGGTACTAATTAAATAAATGAAATCTATAAATTATCAATGTCATCATCTTCATTCTTAATTAATACATGTTCTGTTTATTATTTAATATAATGATCTGCTTCAAGTATTTGATTATCTATATTTTCTAAATTGAGGAGAAATCTTTTCATTACTTCTTCTCCTTTTTCTCTATTTTCACACTCTAAATATATATCTTCAATAATTTAAGTTTTAAATTTATCTTCTTATTTAGCTTATATAAGAACACAAGATCTAGTAATTTTGTATTCATCTGTTCCTTCAACTTTATCCTTATCAATTTAATTATGATGTATTTCATTTCCAATATATTTTTTCATAATACAATATGCATTTTCATCTATTTAAAAATGCTTTTATGTGTATATCAATCTGATTTTCTCAATTTAATTAGGAATTTATGATTTTGGTTATTTGGAAAATGTATCTTATGAAAAAAATTCATGTTCAATATCCTTCAAACTTCTTGGTTTATTTTATTTAAATTTATTGTTGTTATGTTATTATTTTTATTCCATATTAAATTCTGTAAAGATTATTGCACAATCTTTTTTGGTTGGATATATTTAATATATTGATACTTATGGACTCCAATTATCAACAAATGTATGTATTGACAATTCCTAATATATTAAAATAATCATTTTTACATCAAAAATCCTTGAAGGAGGCATTTCTGATTTTAAAAAGAATCTCATATGTAATTAATCATTTGGATCTTAATAGAGTTATTTATTTTAAGATTAAAATAGAATTTTAAATGAATGAATATCCGAAAATCCTTATAAATTTTCATGTGTATTCTCTAATATTATTTCAATATCATTCTTTTTTTTTATAACTTTATATTTACTTATAAAAATTAAGGCAATAATGGTATCATCTATCTCATACGAGATACCTAACTAGGTTTTATAGCCATTGAAGGAACTCCTTGATTTATTACTCTTTCTGATTCTGGCATAAATTAATCCCATTCTTATAATTTTTTCTCTTAATTCTCCTTTTTTATTTATATAGCCAAGTATTTCCCGTTAAAAAAATCATACCATTATAATGCATCTGATTGATTATTCCAACCAAATCTAGCCACTTTAGGTTCGATCTCTTATTGAGTTTTGAACTTTATTGCCCATTTCCCTTGATGAAATGCAACAGGATGGATAATATAATTTTGAATTAACAACTACTTTTATGTTTAACCCTTGACGTCAATATATCTGAGTATCTCTCTATATATCAAGCCCTTACCTATTATATCAAATCATATATTAAAAGTCTTTCTCCCCATCCTTTCAATACACCACTCTCTTTAAATGCACTACAACTCATTAATGCATTCTTATTATTATCGAGCATTATGATAATTAAATTTATAATATATAAAAATATCAAATAATCTCTTAAACAATTTATTCTTTATCAACGCTGATGAGATATTATAAAAAGGAACCCTTACAAGGAGCTATTTTATATAATTCTTGGCAATGTATGCTTTTTAAATTACAATAAACACAAATCTAAGCCAGAACTATTGAAAACTCTTACTCCTTCATTACATCTGTCAATTTATTTATCAATTCCTTTCTTGAATTCTCATTCCAAAAGTAACAAAATGCTACATTTCTTTCATAATAAGGATCTATTCTCAATTTCCCCATTTCTATTAGCTAATCAATTTAATTATGTAAAATCAATTGTTCTACTACTTTCTACAATTATGCCTAAGGAGTATAATTTATACTAACAAAATATTAGATCTATTTGTATGAATTAAATAATTGAATTTATTCAAAATTTATTACTCTAATATTTCCTTAAGAATTTTATTTAAACTCTCGTAATTCTCCTAATGTACTTGGATTTAAAAATTATCGATAAATTTCATCCTTTATTTTACATACAATTTATAAAGCATATGGCTTCTTGTCTTGCCTACTATGTAATTACATTTGATTTAACAATAAAGTTATACAATCTAATTGAGTTCTTATTACAAAAACTAAGTCCTTTTATGATATATTAAATAGCAAAGATTCTAAATTAACTATATATTCAAATAATAAAGTGTAAGCCTAAAATTATAATAATTAAATTACTTTTGCTTTTGATTCCATTTTTATAAGAAAACTAAAATAAGATATAATTCTGTTCTTGTTTGATAAAATTTAATATTTATCTCTTGAAAAACTAAGTAAATATTCTCCAATTTTATCTGTAGTCCTCACATCTAATCTGAATGATAATAAATTATCAACTATTAGTTTCAAAGAATCTTTGAGTTATAATTAATCATTTAGATTAATAATTTGAAATAATAAATGATGTTATTTCAATTCATTTGCATAATATAATAAGCAATTTAAAACTATTTTTTATTCTTCATCTTATTTTGGATTTTATTTTTAAATAACAAAACTAATTTTTAATTTTAATTCTTAATTCAAATTTTAATTTTCTTTAATGAATTTTACTACATCTGTTGGTATCTAATTTGTTTATTAAGCTATTCTACAATGTCTAATGATTCCTTTAGAATTAATATGATGTGAATGGAATATCATTTAATTATGAATGAATTCTTCACAAAAGTATTCATCTGGAATAGTAAAACTTTAAAAAATTTCATTATATATTAAATTTATGTAAATTTTCAAAACTTCTTAGATAGAATTTAAATTTGAAAAGTTAATTAAATCTTCTACACGATGAAATTGATTTCTTAAAATATTTTATATATGTATCAATTTCTCATCTTCAACTAATGAAAGTAAGCACATTGTATCATAAAATTATTTAAATTTTATATCAAATTATATTGATTACTAATTTAAACTTTGCAAAACCCCTAATCCTAAAAATATTTCTAATTGCATTTGGTAATAATCTCTTAAAGTATGTATCACCAAAGATTTAACTATAAGTTATTTATTAGTACTCCTTTCAAATTCTTTATTAAGTAGGTTCATTTAATCATTGTTTTTAAAAAACTACTATAAATTTGAATTCACAGTTTCTAATTAATAAATCAATTCATTTTATATTACATTAATATCTAATTATAATTTTTGAAAAGTAGGTTTAATATAAATATAAATATCTTCCACTTCATCCATTAGATTTTAAATAAATTGTACAGGTAAAAAATTATTATATTATTATTTCATAATAGATATCACCTTCCTTTGATCTAAATTTCTATGCATTATTTTTATCAATTATTAAAATTAGTTGAGAATATTGTCAGATGTTGGATGAAATGCTATTGATTAAATAATAATTTCATCATCAATCATATTCTATTGTTTTTTTAAATTATTCTTAAATTTTGTTACCTGATTTCTTAATTCATTCTATTTTATACTAATTTTATCTGAAATCAATCTAATGTATGTTAATTAATTCTTATAAAATAATAATAATTTGTCATCTTAACTCAGATATCCATAAACTGAATATTAATTTTCATTTATTAATTCTAAATTCATATTTTATTAATCTAATTAATAGATTTCAAAATCTTAAATCAAAATAATCTAATTTTATGTACTACTTAAATAATAATGGTTATTTAGTTGTATTTTTGATAAATTTACAACATAATTAATAATTAATTAATTTTAATTTATAGTACATATTTTTAGATTATCATTTAATTAATAGCATACAAATAATTTTCCACTTGGTTTTTATTAAAATATATCAATTTGATTACTTTTGATCCTATCCTAACATTATAATTAAATTGTTTGAAACTCTGTTTTTTGCATTTCTAATAAACTAAATTGATAATTTTATGAAAAATTTAAAATCTACTTATCATTTAATTGAAAGGCAATCTTCTAATCTTAAGAAAAGCTGTTTAAAAGTTTACTAAAAATTTTAGTACCAAAACTTATTTGATACTTATTTTTTTAAAATTCCCCTCCAACAACATCTAAAGTTACATGATATAAAAGATCTGTGTTAGTCATTAAATAAAACTCAAACTTTTCTTTTTGAATCAATGATTTTACGAAGCATTATATTTTTATATTTTCAATCATCAAATTCTTTAATAACATTGAAGTATTAGTTTTTAAGTTTCTATAGTAGATGTGTCCAACTTGTGTAACTACTAATAAGTAAGGTGTATTATTATCATTTATTAATGTGCATCCATTTTATGTAATTGGACATGTAAAGTTTACATACTCACAAGTATATGAAATTGGTTTCGTGTATATCTCTTTCATATGATATATGTTAATAGACACTGTCTAACTATTAGCTAATTTTCTAAAGGGAATAAAATTATGCAATACAAGATATAAGCAGTTTAATCAATTTCTAAGGAAATAGATGAATCTGTGCATTAATAGATATCATTTGAAGCACTTCCTGAAAGTGTAATTTTTGAATGCTCAATAATATCCGATTAAAGAATCTCGCTCACTTTAATTTCTTCAAACATTATTTTTTATGAATATTTCTAAATAAAATTAAACAATTTCAAAATTCATTATTTTTATTAGAATAAATAATTTATATATAAATTAAGTATTTATATATTTATGAGCAAATAACTAACTAGTTATAAATTTAGGAATAGATTTAAGAATGAGAGGAGAAATGATAAAACTATTCTTGTTTTTTTTAGTATNAATTTACAACATAATTAATAATTAATTAATTTTAATTTATAGTACATATTTTTAGATTATCATTTAATTAATAGCATACAAATAATTTTCCACTTGGTTTTTATTAAAATATATCAATTTGATTACTTTTGATCCTATCCTAACATTATAATTAAATTGTTTGAAACTCTGTTTTTTGCATTTCTAATAAACTAAATTGATAATTTTATGAAAAATTTAAAATCTACTTATCATTTAATTGAAAGGCAATCTTCTAATCTTAAGAAAAGCTGTTTAAAAGTTTACTAAAAATTTTAGTACCAAAACTTATTTGATACTTATTTTTTTAAAATTCCCCTCCAACAACATCTAAAGTTACATGATATAAAAGATCTGTGTTAGTCATTAAATAAAACTCAAACTTTTCTTTTTGAATCAATGATTTTACGAAGCATTATATTTTTATATTTTCAATCATCAAATTCTTTAATAACATTGAAGTATTAGTTTTTAAGTTTCTATAGTAGATGTGTCCAACTTGTGTAACTACTAATAAGTAAGGTGTATTATTATCATTTATTAATGTGCATCCATTTTATGTAATTGGACATGTAAAGTTTACATACTCACAAGTATATGAAATTGGTTTCGTGTATATCTCTTTCATATGATATATGTTAATAGACACTGTCTAACTATTAGCTAATTTTCTAAAGGGAATAAAATTATGCAATACAAGATATAAGCAGTTTAATCAATTTCTAAGGAAATAGATGAATCTGTGCATTAATAGATATCATTTGAAGCACTTCCTGAAAGTGTAATTTTTGAATGCTCAATAATATCCGATTAAAGAATCTCGCTCACTTTAATTTCTTCAAACATTATTTTTTATGAATATTTCTAAATAAAATTAAACAATTTCAAAATTCATTATTTTTATTAGAATAAATAATTTATATATAAATTAAGTATTTATATATTTATGAGCAAATAACTAACTAGTTATAAATTTAGGAATAGATTTAAGAATGAGAGGAGAAATGATAAAACTATTCTTGTTTTTTTTAGTATAGTTAATTTAGAAATTTGATACTTTTTGTTATTAATAAATAATTTCTAATACTTCTTAAATAATAAAAAAATTTATTTAATTTGTTAATAGCTAATTAATTACTCTTTTAAGAGAGAATTAATTCGGGTAGATAAATATATATATAAATTACAAGATTTTAAATAAAAAAATATATTATCTCATTTTCTCAAATCCAAAATATATTTAAATATTCAAATCAATAATATTGAAATTTTTACATTATTAAAATATTACAATAAAGAAATTATATAAAATTAAATCCTCTTATTCAAAATTGAAATTTTGCTATAAATAATTATTTTATTTATTATAATTTGAAATAAATAAAGAGATTTTAAGTCTATTAATTAAAAAGATAATTAGTTTAAACCTAAATTGATCTTTGAGAAAGAATAATTTTTGAATATAATATAATTCATAATATTAATATGAATTCCTTTTCAATTCTATTTATGTATTTAAATTTCCCTATCGCTAAATAAGTTCTCATCATCTTTTGGATCATTATTATCCGATTCCATCTATTCTTATTATTAAGCACTTAATTCTTTCTCTAATACTTTCATTAATTCAGGGCCTAATAAAATAATTAATCTTTAATTAAATCTAATTTATTCTTAAGTTGTATTTTCTTATTCTGATCCAGTAATTTTATCATATGAATTTACAAGATCAGTAAATTGTTTCATTACTCCATAATCTTCAGCTGTTGTCACTCCATCAATGATACATCTAAATAAAATTATAATCTAACCTTGTTGATCTTCTATTGTTTTTATCTTAAATCAAGGATATTTTTGGTTTGCGACTAAAATTAAATAGTGTTATTTATTCAGAGCTAAACAACACCTTTTTTAGTTTTGTTAATTCATGAAGTTATTTGATTATATACTCAATATCTAATTCTTTATTTACTTAATCACTTATATAATATATTATTTCTATACATAGCTCTTTGTAAAACAATACAATCGTCATCTTTTAAGGATTCTATCGGAATTATGGAACTTAACATAACTCTAAAACCAAGTCCAATAACATGTTTCTTTTTCAAAAATTCTTTGAAATCATCAAAATATTATAATGATTTATTTTTCATAGCAGATAATCTGGATTACAATGCTTATTGAGTTGGTTAAAAAAACTCAATTGATTGTTTTTTATCAACATTTAGTTTTCTTTTTTATACCATATCAGGTTTATTTTAAAATGCTGTAATTGTTTGAATTTAAGGAATAGTGTCTATTTTTCTAGACATCTTACTCTTCAACATTTCTCTGCCTCTCTAAGTTCTATCTAATAAGTTTTTTAAATGCATTTGAGTATTCTGCCTACCTGAACTCATATCAAATTCATATAAGTCATTAGCAATAGATATGATTAAATGTTAACGATTATAAAATCTTACTATTATACCCACAACAACAATCATAAATTAAGTAAATCCTCCTAAATAACTTAGTAATTCATCAAGTCTTAAGAATTTTCTATTTATTCTATAAGAATATGGACTTCTTTAAAAATAAAATGCCGCATAATAATTAGGTGTTATTCTAGAAATTTCAAATTATTCTCTTTAATCTCCATAATCTCGAAAGGCAAAAGTTTCATTTTATTTATCTGGATACATTAGAATTCCTTGATCGGTTGTAACCTTCTTTGTTCTGAAAAATATATCGGATTAAACAAACATTTTATCTGGAACAAAAGTATAGAATTAGTCTACAGCTAAATAAGGTTATACATAATTCTCAGGTCTGTTTGGATTTAATAACTATTTAGATATTGATTATAATTACAAAATTTGTTGTATAAACTTAAAAACGAAAACTTCCTTATCTATTTAATGTTGATTAAATCTCATCTGAAGTTTTACAAGTGGGCTTCCAAGTAAAATTACTAGATGAGGAATCTCTACAATTAGTGACAGAAAACTTTAAAAAGTAGTAGTCTGTGCTTGCCCATACACCTCCAACAGTTAAATTGAGACTATGAATAAAATTGAGGTTTGGACACAAGAAGTTTTATAAATTTTGTTGTTCAAATTATTCTCTAAAATCCACACTGTACTATTCGAATAAAGGTAAAAAATGTTAAAGAGTGCAAGGTACGAGATCAATATATTTATTTGGATGGCGATATTAAGTTCCATTTGGAAAACGATAATAGTGACGCTACTCAACAGTGATATTAAAAAAAGGGTTAGTGGTAAAATTATCTTGTTCAATCTGAACTGCAAACATAAAGTGGTCCTTATTCAAGATTAGGGCATCAGGATCGTCTGCAAATGTAAATTCTTGAGTAGAAGTCACATTCAATTTTGCGAAGAAATTGATTATGTTCGAATAGAAAAAGCTTATAATTGTTCCGATAATACAGATTGACAAAAAACCTCCCATACTTGTTTTGTATTGTTCTTCTTAACGAAAACTAAGATTAATAGATTAGCCGAAAATATCTATTTATCTTAATCCGTCTTTGAATTTCTATAGCATTTATTTATTTTTATTAATATAAGATAGGAAACGAATTTCCTTATCAAATTTTGTTCGTATCTTGATTAGAATAATCCGTCACAAACCTATTACTTTGAAATTTTTTAATTCCATTTCAAGATTACTTTGATAATTTATATTCTGTTAATGAAAATACTACTAGAGGAAAATAAGATTATTAATACTATAATATTTATAATACTTATATAATTGGTAGCATATAATAATATCATCTTCTTTGTAATTATGAAAAGTGATTGTTCTATGTTTTATTAAATTTTACCAAAAATTAAATAAATTGAAATATATAAATTATTATAGTTGAAGTATTAATAAGACTAGTCTTGTCTCCTTTTAATATCTTTCTTATTTCTATAGAATAAATAAAATTCTTTCTATTCTTCTAAGCTTGATAATCTAACAATTTAAGAGTATTCTGATTATTTATCTCATTTTTTCTGATTTAATTAAGTTATTAAGCCTCATTTACTTTGAAATGTAATATAAGTAAATAACATAATTATTCATTAAAAAGAATAATAGCATATAAAGGTGAATTGTTATTGATATATTATTATCTTGTATAATTTATTCGTACATTCCTATTTCATAATTGAATTTCGAATAATAAAGCACTCATTAATTAACCTTAAAATTTATTCATATTTTATTCATAAATAATTATACGCATTTTTTAAACGTATTTGATTATTTATTTTTGAATAATAATATAATGGATTAAATATATGAATGTTTAATGAAAATGCAGAGTTACTTTTCAAATCCGCATAGTCAATTTGAGCCATAAATTGAATCTTGTTTAACAGGTAATGGTTTTATTAAATTTTAGAACTTAAAACACATTTCAAAAATATGGAAACATGGGATTCAGAAAGTCCTAATATTTAATTGTACTTTGATAGATTATAAGAACTTTGGTTTAATTTTAAAAAGAAGAAGAATACTTCTCCTCAAAACTTGCAATGGGCATAATAATAATTGAAAGAGATTATTTCTGAATATAATGAAATTGAAAATTATTAGAGTAGCGATTAAAAATCGGAAAATATACATCTTAAAAATGAAGTTAACATGCTTAAAATGCAATTAGATTGTATGTAAAGAAAGCAACAAAAAGAGAGAATAGATACTTAACACTTTTAAAGAGCTGCTGAGGAGTTAAAAAATAAAAATTAAACGATCAAAAAATTATAAAAGGAAGTTTAACGATTAGAAGAAAAGCGTCAAGAGGACTTAAAGCGACATTAAGAAACGATTCAAAATATAAAAAAAAATTAAATGCAAAATAAACCTTTTGATGTTAAGCAACTAGAAGAAGAAAATATGAGATTAAAAAGCATGAATATAGAATTAATGCAAGATGTTTAAAATTTAAAAGAATAATTAAAAGGCAAAGATTTTTTAATCTAAGATACAAGGGAGTTAGAAAAATATAAAGAATTAGTCTAGAAATAATAAACAGAAAACAGATCTTTAGAAGAATAAATATCATAACTTTATGACGTAAATAATATTATTATATAAATTAGAAATTAAATTTAGGTAAATAAAATGAAATGGAAAATGAAATTGCATAATTGGAAACTAAATTGAAATAATAAACAAATTTATTGCAAAAAACTAATGATGATAATAAAAACTTATAAAAAAGAATTGAATAACTTAAATAATAAAATCAAAAATTAATTCAAAAAACATTAGAACCTTTGGGAATTCGAATTCTGCCAGAAATCAAAGGAGTTCAATCTCATTTTAATGCTGTTATGCATTTATTAGAAGCAATAACACCATTTTCAGCTGTTTTAACTGTTACAGATAAAGTAAGTTCGATCATTCTCAAATTCATTACATATATTCGAAAAGAAGCTGAGTAATTTTCCCCTCAAACAGCAATATAATTGTAAGAATTATTAAGAATTGAATTATAAAATGATAATAGAGCCAATGATTTCTTATTTCAAATAATTGATCATCTCTCAAAAGCAATAATAAAACAAGATGAATAAAAATCATAAATAGCATCAATCATTCAAACATAGGATTCTCCTATATATGATTAATTTTTCTTTTTATAAAGAGTCTTTCCTATGGATTTAGAAAGTAAAAATAATTTAATTATTATTAGTTCAATAAAATGAAGTTCCATTAATTAATAGTATAAAACATATTCGATATTTTGAAGCAATTATATAGCCAGGAGTTGAGTTCTTTACTTATTTGCAAGGATTGATTAAATTAGAGGGGTAAGAAAATATAATTGATGACAATGTTGGAGATTTTAATTTCTTGATTTTTCCATAATACTTGATATTAAATGTTTGTGAGTTGTCTTTACAAAAGGCTGACATTAAAATATCATTTAAGTTACCATCAAGTTGTTTAAATTAAAATGTTTAAGATTTTGAATATTCATTGATATCAATAGTTCATTGCAGCGATGGCCTAGATGGATAACCGACATATTCGATAACTTTATGCAAAAACAATAATTGGGTTTAAATTTAAAATGATAATGCAACGTCCATTTCAATAAACGATATACTTACATTCAAATAACCTTATAATGATAAAGAACTATTAATTTACAAAAGGACTAAAAAATGAAATATATCCATATTTACAATATTTATATGAAGATGATATATAGTTAATAGAAAATCAAGATTCTTGTAAAACCTTGTTATAATGTGTATTAAAACTGTTTATTTTCCAATTGTTAGCCTCAACTTAATATTTTCCAACTCCTGGAGTAAATTATCTACCAATATATGCAAGTCTAGGTTATTATGACTTAAAAGGGGCAGTAATTTATTTTTAACTTACAGGAGGAGCTTGGTAATTATAACTGGTTGGAACAGCTTATATATCTGCGTTCTCTTTAAATCTTGGTTCTCCACAATAAAAGCCAGGTTTTAGCACATCTATTTTTTATAAATTTTGGATAAACTTCATTTATTTTTATATTCGATTTCCAATACTATCTTAATCTAATCTATATTGACCAATTTCCGGTCCAAAACTTTTGTTAACTTAATCTCTTTTAGATGATGACTTAAAACATGAACTAACAGCTCTTTTCTTTTCATCTCTAGTAATATCATAGCTTCCGGGACCTGCTTAACAAATTGAGGTTTTTTCTTAAAATCGCCTTTCTTTTCCTCCAAAATATCCATTAAGTCCTCTATCTTACTTCTTAACTAAGTCTGTATATAAATCTCTTTGAATCTCATATGCACCTGGTCCAGGTTATTGATCTTCCAATAAAATTGGTTAACCTTTTATGGATGTACTTAAAAATGTGGCATTAGTATAATTTTTTTTTCGAATCTGTTAATCAAAAGATGAATCTAAAACCCTATAATCTCCAGGGCCGACATTGCTATCCTAAACCAATTTAAATCTCTCCAAAGAAGATCCAAAAAACTAAAACTCTTTTGCTTTTTATTGTATTTTGATAGCTACTCTATTTTCATTATATTGTCCAGGTCCTGGAGAATATTAGTCTTTGAAATTGATTTGTTTTCTTAATCCCGCATTAATCTCTCTATTAGTCTTATAAATCAATTAATCATAATAAGATCTAACAGATTCAGAAAGAAAGGCAGGAGATCCATTTCTTCTTTTTTTTTCCTCAACAATATTATATTTTCCTGGACCAATTTCATTTGTTTGCTCTTAATCAAATCTTGGTCTAGTACTCTTATCCCATGATAATCCTCGATATTGCTATTGTTATTGAATTTCATAGGTTGTTGGTCCTACAACTTTTTATTGTTTTTACTCTTTCATAACTTTTTGATGCTATGCCAAAGTTTCTATGTCATCATAAATCATTCCTATCTAGGTTTTTGGCTCTGGAATTGAATTAATTCTTCTTCTAAGGTTTTAACTTCTAATGTCATCTATCTTTTAATTCAAAAACAACGGTTGCTTTTATTGTGTATTGATTTATTAAGTTTCATAATAACCAGGTCCAGGAATCTAAAATAACAATTATCACCATAAATTACTTCCTTAACTTTTTTATCTTCCTAAAATCTTTCAATTCCACTTTTAAATGCGCTACTTCCATTTCCTTAAACTTTTACTATGATTGTGCTTTTATTCATGTATGCCTAAACACCTGAATCCCCCATATTTTAAGATACTTCATATTGTCCTGGTCCAGGATTTAGAATTTTTAATTTATTTGTCAGTTCTGTTTGTCTTTTTCCAGTTGAAAGAAAAGGAGCGTATGCTATTCTAGGTTAAGTTTCAGGTTATTAGTAGACTCCTGGTCCTAAATGAGGATAAGGATCCTTGACTTATGTTAAACCACGATCTTCTTCAAATAAAAATGCCATAAAATATATAATTTATGTAAAAAAATTGAATTTATCATTATTTTATAATTTATCTTTGATAGCAAGACATTTATCCAATTTAAATAAATAAACCTAAATAAAAAAAATGATTCAGTCTTTTCTATAATATTATTAAATGCTGTGTTGAGAATACAAGTAGTATTGTGATAGGTTAGATGGAAATTGGTGATAAATGAGGGCTATTGCTTTTTGATTTCAGCCGAGGAATAAGATTGATTAAAATGGTTTAATATATATAATAATTAATTAAATAATTCATCATTTTATTTAACAATTAAGTAATACTTCTCACAAACAGAAAAGTAGTTTTCACATCAGAATCTCTTTTTCTTTATTTAGATTCTTTATAAAAGACTTGAACAAATAATTTGAAAAAATTGGAAAATTACTATTACAACCTTGAAGTAATCTAGCTTATTCACACCTAAAAGTAATCATTTTAAAGAGTTGTTATTTAGAGAAATCATTAACTATAATTTCCTAAAAAGTTAATGTCAATAAAACAGCCTACGAATACCATTTTTATATTATAGCACCAAAATGTTAAAATAGTGCTAGTTCTACAGAATATCTGTTTTCTAATTGAATCAAATGATATAAAGTAGAATAATATGAAAATATATTAAAGAAAAAGAAAGTTCTTTTAATCTTTAAGGAAATTTTCAAAGAATATTCATATTTCATTCATGTATTATCACTCTTTATCATTAATCCTTTTATTATTTCAATATTTTTTTTGCTAGTTCTTTCTTAAATAACATAAGAGATTCTTCACTCAATCTTTTATGTATCAATCTTATTTTGCATTTTGCTATCTTTTGCTGTTAGATTGTGTCTGTGTCTAAGTTTAGCTTATCTTCGTCTTTCATCAATTTTATTAATTCGAGAATCAAATTCTTATTAAAAATTCTAAATCTTTCTAGAACATTAAAAATAATTTCCCGCAAAATTCTTTAATTTAGTATAAAAAAAAAGTTTAATCTAAATTATTATGATTCTGCCGAAATAGAAGTCAAGAAATTAAGGATAACAAAAAATTATAAATATCTTATTCATATATTTATAATCATAATAAGAGAAATAACAATGTTATTTTAGATTAAAAATCAATAAGAATAGTTGTTAAATAATTAATTAATCATACCATTAGTATTGCTTTTTTTGGCCATATCTTAAAATTTTATTCAATTATTAATCAATATATTATTAGACAAGATTAAATTTTTTTACAACCAATCAAAAATTTAAATGGGTTAAATTCAAATAAACCATTAACAAAAGAAATACATAAAAAATAGAAAAAATTATTACTAATCCTTTTTTTAATTTAATTATTATTAAGAGTGAAAGAAGGAGAAAGAATTAGAAATTGAGATATATTATATTTAAGCCAAATGATGTTTAATTTTGTTTCAAATTAAAGCAATACTGTAAGTTAATAGTAATTTATTGCTATAATAAACTTTTTTATAATTTAAAAGAATTCACTACATCATTCATGTGAACAATAAAAATTTAATAATTCTTGATATTTATATGTTTTAGTAATTTTTTATTCAATTATTTTATTTGAATCAATTACTAAAATATTATGATTGTTTTTAGAATTTTTGTTTATATGATTCCATTATATCTCATTTTCTCGATTCATATTTGATTATTTGGATAAATAATAAAGTATCCAGAGATGATCAAATATTTAAAAGATATAAAAGTTTTCAGATATGCTTCTCGTTCAACTTTATAAAGAGTCTCAGTTTACTTTTAATTTATATGGAATATGTAATTTATTAAAAACTTAGTATTACTGATCGGATGCCTATGTTGAAAAAAAAATAATATCATAAAAGTTAGTTTTTACTTTAAAATACAAATTATTTTGATCAAAATAGACATGAATGTATATATATTAATGAATTTTGTTAAATGAATAAAATAGGAAAATCAGTGTTAACTTCAAGTCTTCTATTTTTTAATTATTTTCTTAGCTAGTTGGTGTTTGAATCTCAGAAGATTTTGATAGCCTTCCTCATCAAATTGGTAAAACACTTTTTTAAAATTAGATAGTTGTTGTTTAGTAATCAATACTGTTTTTGGTTCCTCAGTTTAACCTTCTATAGAATGATTTTATTTCGAATTTTTTGTATGATTTTGAGTCTCGTTTTATTGTTTCATTTTAATAGAGATAAATTTGCAGAAAGGATGAGTTTAAGGAATATTTTAATAAAATTAATACAAAACAAATTAAATATATATACATATATTTAGTGAAAAATAATAAATTACAACATTGATACTAAATGTCTATCAAATAAATTGCCATTGGAATAGAATATAAAAGTAACTAAACTACTTCTCATTTGTATTAAGAGATTAGGAATAAAATTTAACAAATAAACGTATTTAATATATTGTTAAAGCGCTAAATTCAAATTTATGTCAATATTCATTTAAATGCAAGTAAGTTATGGTGAACAAAAAAATAAATAATAAACATAAACAAAACTCAAATCCTTTGTTCACAACAGTGTAAATGAGGTTCAATTCCATGAATAATTATTCCTTTTATCAGAAAGTATTTTCTAAGCGAGTAATTTTTTAAAACTTCTCAATTCTTAGGCATCTGAGAATGATATCATTTATGTAGCTATTTTTCTTTTGAAAATTCTGTGACTCAAATAATGAGTAATTGTTTATGTTTCATTACTGTTGCCTTTCATTTATTAAAAATATAAATATTTTTTATTAACCAAACCCAAATTCAAATGACTTTAATATAAACAGCAAAATTTGAATTTTATAAATGGTGGGTACTTCAATTTTGATATTATCAAATATATTTTAATTAAGAAATTAAGATTAGCTATAATTTTATTTGACTTATAATAAGTATTATAATCATATAAGAGCGTGAGGAAACTGATGATAGATTTTCATTAACAAGAATTGCTTAGAACTTAAGCAAAATCAGACATCTAATTAAATCTATTTTGATTTCTTAGAAATTCGAAGGAATTCCTATCTTAAATTCAATTTTCTCTGCAAACAATCTTGAAGTACAAAATCAATATTTTACACTATTCTTTGAACAAAGGATTCTAACTTTATTTTTTAGGATCTTTCAATTTTCAATAGTAAATGAGTACAGAATTAATTTGTAAAAGAGAGTAATAATTAAATTACATAAAATTATTTCAAATATATGTTTTGGTTTAAGTATTTTTTGATAATTAAATCAACATTTTAATATTTACTTTACAGCTAATATATATTATAAATTATCATAATTTAATAACAAATAATTTTTATATATTAAATTGCTATTCAGTTTATGCAAATATTAAGACTATTATAAAATTCTTATCAACTACTTACATAATTCTGTTAAAAAATAAAGGGATTGATATTTTTATAAACATATAATGCCTGCTTGATTGAATAATTTAATTGGAATAAGAAAATTCAAAAATAAAATAAAATACTTTATAATTGTGTTTTAAGAAGTAGAAAAGACATTCTATTACATTACCTTATGAAATCTAAATTATTAATTTTTGTTGATCAATGTTATTGCTCCAAATCTTGTAAATGTTAGTTTTTATATATTTAAAAACAATAAAAAATATTTTTTTCTTTAAATTTTTAATATATTACAATCCTATTAACTATGTCATTTAAATAAAGGAATAAAGGTTCATATTAAAGATTTATTCTTTTTTTCTTCATTTGTTGATCATTAAACAAATAAAATGATTATTAGAAGGAACTGATCAAGTAACATATATAAAATGTTAATAGTAAAAATTGCTGTATTTATCAAAATGTTGGCGCTTATGCTTTAACTAATTAAAGAGTTTAGAGGATTATTAAGTTGGTAAGACATCCTTAGAAACAAATGCTTTCTAATTGAGCATTTTCTAAATATAGATTGAAATATATCTAACAAGTTTGTTTTGCTCATAATGTAGCTTTAAATACTTTTATTATTGCAATACTCTATACAATAATTGATATATTATGTGATGTATTCTTATGGCAATTTAAGTTCTCCATATAATAATGCAAATACTTCTAATGAATTTTGATTGACATCACATTTAATATACACATCTAGGAATCTAGTATAATATAAGGTTTAAGTACTCTTCGAATCCCTCTAGGTGGCTTGTTGATACCAATAAAAATTTACTTTATTTTCTCAAGAATTAATGGTATAGATTAATGGAATGATTAGCTTTCATCTTTAGCAAGTGAATCCACAATTTTTAAGCAAGTCTTTTTTTTTTTAGAAAATCGAATAAAATCTATGACCGATAGTGTAAGCAAGTTCCTTTTATACTTCATCAGTTATTTCTGCAGTACAAAAAATTTTATGTAATTTCTTTGCCTTGACTTACTTTATCTTAATTAACTTCAAGAAAGTTAAACATTAATCATTGCCATATTATCATTCCATTAAATTCAGAGGTAAAATTGATAGGAATGGGTGTTAAATAGTCTCCCTGAAATGGTGTTAAATGAAAATATGGCGATGTAATTTTGTCCATACAAGTATATGAATTAATTAAAAATATTCATGTTGGAATAAACGATTGTTGAACAGTTAGATTAGAAAAAGCATTAACACTAGAGTTTAAAATTGGAACGAAATTCCATCCATCTAGATTAACAACCTATTGAAATCGAGATTCTTAGATGTTGATTGGTATTTGGCAGAGGATTGGATTTGATAAGCTAATTAGAAGTTGATCCTAATTTCAAAAAATCAAATAAAATACTATGAGAGCCTCTATTTGCAAGAAATATTGATTCGAAATCGTTTGATTTCTTACAGAAGCTTTTAAGTTTTTTGGAATTTCAAACTAAGCGATTTGTGCTTCTAATCTTTATCCTTAATTTACCCCTGATAGGATTTTAGAGAAAACCACTTGGTTTAAAACTAATCTATCAACTTAATCATCATCGATGAACAATAATTTGTTAATCAGCCTTATTTCAACCCTATTAACATTTTTTGACGAGAAGGAATTGTCAATTTGATATTCAATTATTGCTTGTTCTCCTGGTGTAAAATTAGATTTATTTAACTTTATTGACAAATAGGCTATTCCTCCGTTTAAGCAAAAATATGATATAATATTGGCCTCACTTTGTCTTTGAATTTCTACACTAGATTACACTCTTGCATTTATATATACTTCTGCACTTTCTTTCAGAATATTAAGACACTCATCTGGATTTTCAATCTGAAGCGTTATCTTATAGCTGCATTTTCCAGATTTTAATCCTTTATTTCATATCCAATAATTATTACCATCTTGACTTGTGTAGAAGAAACTTGATGTCATGTTCTCTTTGGTTGGTATAGAAAAGAAAAATTTATAATCTCCTGGATTTACTTATCCTTTAAATAATTCTTAAGAACTAAGCAAGAATTTCTGTAATCCATATTACCTTATGATTCTATAAATCACATTTCCATTGAGTTCATATTTTTTTTATTTTTGGGTTTTTTATTGTGAATCTATTGAGACTTGAATTCTTTCAATTTTCTCTAATTCTTTTTCTGGTATCGAATTTGGAGTAACATTGGGAAGCTCGATTTGTCATTTATTTAGCATACCTTTCTTTTCTAAATTAGCTTTGAATATTGTTTAGCATAAAATGAAAGACTTATCAGACATTTAGGTAGCTCTTGAGTTATTCTAATACAGCATTATCCATTTATTGGGTCACCGGCTAATGTTACGGGAGATTTAAATATAAAAATAACATTTTTATTCATTAAATAAATAAAGATAACATTTATTTAATCATGATTGATTAATCTGAATCATCAAATCTTTATAACCAAATTTCAAAAATAAACTCATTAACTATTGAATAGATTTGCGATTGTAGAATACTTTAACTGATAATTTATTTAATTTTTTATTTTTTCAAAACTTATAATAGAGTAATCTGCTAAAATAAAATAATTTATAGTTAAATTAATACATCTTTAATATTAATTTCAATGCACTTAAATATTTCATAATTTAAAATATTAAAACCATTTATTTAACATTACTTAATTTTTTTGCTTTGTTTGAACAATTAACAATTTGCTTAAAATTTGAAACTTTGCTTAATCGAAAAATTTAGATGAATTTTTCCTTTTAAACAACTAAACTACAACTTATTTTGTTGTCCTTATAGACAATTTCATTGTCCAATAAATATTTTCAACATATGCTTACAATAACAAGCACAAGTATCAGTTAATCAAGAACCTATCTGAAATTTATTATCAATTTAAATTTTAAGATTCTAAAATAAAATAAATATCTTTTGAAATTCATAATTTAAAATTTTTTATATTATGAAGAAATAGAATGATTTTTCTTTGATCGATTCTTTTGATGAAGATTAACTGAAAGAAGTTATAATTCAAAAACTATTGGAAAATAGTAACAATTTATAAAAAAAAACTGGCATAATAAAATTCGATCTATATCAAAATGAAATATCAGTCCCATAATCCAATGACTGGAAGACACTCTTATAATTTAAAATTCTCAAAGAAATTGAAAAATGTGAAAATAAAGCATCTAAACAGAATGATCCATAACTAATATGTTAATATGTTAGACACATTAATAAAAGGAATTACATTATTTTTTGAATTTATTAGTTTATCTTTTCTTGTCTCTGCAAATTACTCCTATTAAAAACTTAATATTAATCTAAAATTGTATTTTCCATCTTTCATAATTTCGATAATTAGGAATAATAACCTTATCTCTTAGACTAATTTATTCTTATCAGGGTTATTTTCATTAAAAAAATTTATTTTCTACTTACATGAAATCTAAATAAGGATAGTTCGGTGCTGAATGATAATTTATATCTCTATAATTGATGGATTAGAAGTTTACTATAATGGATTTGGTATGTTTTTCTATGTTCCCTTAGATTTTAATTTTACTTAGGCAATACAGAGGCAGCCAGAAGCAGGAATTAATCAAAATACAAGATATGTTATTGATAAAATGTTTCATTTTTAATATCCTAGTAATGTTGAAGGTGAATTCTATCATTTAGAAAAGAAACTCTTTAGAAATAATGCTTTGAAGTTATTTTGTTTTTAAAAAAAATCAACAACTTTCTCAATTCAATGTAAGCATATAAAAAACAAAAGAAATTATCCAAAAATAGAAAAAGTAAATTTTATTCCTCAAATTTTGTTGTACTCAATATCTTTAATAAATTAGCATAATATCAATTTTTTCAATTATAATTTACCAATAAATAAGAGAGTCTCATATAGATGTAACATTGAACTTAAATCAAAGGTAGGGCTCACAGGAAAAACAAGAAAAATAAATGCTAGGTAGTGAATATATTTTGTAATTTATGAAACCTAAGACTGATCTATTTAAGAAAATAAGCTGAAAAATTTGAAAAGAGATTCATCAAAGAATAAATGCAGTTAAGAATATATCTTCATTTTAAGTAAATTGAGTCCTTTTTATGGAATTTAAGGCAGAAAAAGGGTTGTACTTTATTTTTACTTTTTCGAATAATGTTGTGGTTTTGCTTTCTTTGTCAATGTAACAGAGTTCGATTAAATGTTTATATTTTTTTAAATTTGCTGTGTATATTAGAAGCATTTTTTTCTAAATAAATTAGTGAGACTTCGGAAAGTATTTATGATGGCTTTTAAGTTTAAACCTATATTTTTTAACATATCTTTTGATAAACCAGTCAAGAAAATTGTAATTACTGATAAACATTTGCTGAATATTTATTGGAAATCAGAAAAGGAGATCAGTGTGATTTTGAATTTTAAGAAACAGAATAAAAATAATAAGAAAGGAACAGAATTTGTAATATAAAAAAAGAAATCTTCATACACATTAATGTTTTGGCAAAGTTTAATTAATTAATTTGAAAGGTTAGTTTGAATATTTTTGTATTTCCCTATTTCTTCACTTAAATGGCAATTTTTGAAATTAAAAATAACATTATTTTTGTTAATACTCAAAAAGTTACATTTTTATTTTCGATGAACAGTTTGGACATATATGTACTAAAATTCAAATTTATCTATAACAAAAGTAAACTCTTAGTATTAAACAATGAAATCGAAATATAATAAATATGATGAAAAATTTGAAGTTATACTCAAAATAATAATATTTTGTTTTTATATTGATAAAAAATAATTCTATTTTATGAAGTTTTTTTTAAGTGTCAAACTTTGATGGTATGTTAATATAATTAATATTCTGTTTTGTATTTTAAACTAAAATTTCCATGTTATACAATCCAAAAGTTAAAAGGACTAATTTTCTTCTCTAATAATGATACGAATGATAATTGGAATCATGTTTTAATTTTTTTTTGATCTCTATAAGGTATTTAGCAAACATACTGCAACATTATAATAGATGTTTAAAATCTTTGTCTAGCCCTACAAATGGTTCATTAGAAGTAAAACAGCATGATTTGCAATATCCAAATAGAGGTACCGTATCATAGACTAAGTCTAGAAGTTTCACTCTTTTATTTTTATGAAACTGTTTTATATGTATTGACACTTTATATTTGTGGCATATTTAATAAAATATACAATTAGAAAATTATTCCATATCATCATTACTCTACTATTTTAATCAATCATAAACTAAAGATGTAAGGGATCTTACCTTAAGCAGTAATCTTCTACAAGTTTAGGTTTGAATAAAATTTACGATTTGGCAGTCTCCTATAAATCTTAATCATCAGGTCTAATTGTACACCATTTAGTTAAATACAATTTAGATATTCTTTCTTTGCAAGCATCTGATACTTCAGCCCATCATAGTGCATTTTTAGGAGAGATTGAAGAAAAGTAGTGGCTTTGGGCCATTTATACAAATGTGTCTTATAAAGTTGATTTTATCTAAGCATGTCATTATTTCAATTCCTATATTTTCTATTGTTAAGATGAGAATAATATAGAATTTATTTTACCGTTAATTTAAACTCCCAATTATCCATAACTTAATTAATAATGTATTCATGGAAACAATTTTAACTGTATCCATATGATACTCTTTCAATATTTACTTACCAAGGTCAGACACAGTCATTTTAATCTTAAAGACCACCTGGAATGTAGTCAAAAAAAATATTATTAAAGTAACTTGTTAAATATTACTGATGCTACAAGTTTTTCTCTTACAATCTTTCCAAAAAGATTGATTATCTCTTAGCTTCTTCATTAGTCTCCAATTCTCTAACGATTTATTAGAGTTCTTATTTTCTTAATTTTATCTCTTTCTACTGCATTGATATATTTGACTTTTATAAATCCTGCTAT